CTGCTGCTTCCTTCCCTGGTGGTCCAGTGGAGGAGGGGATCCTTGCTGCTGTGATCCCTGGTGGTCCAGTGGAGAGTGAGCTCTAGCCCCCTGTGGGGCTAGAGTTCACTCTCGCGAGATTTGAGCGTTGCCGTGGCAACGCTCATATCTCGCGAGAGGAACCCGGCGGAGCTGCCGGCAATAGCTCCGCCGGTCCTCTCCTGCCTCCCTACCTGCATGTGGGTCAGTGGGGAGGGAGGCTGAGAGCAGAGCCGGCGCTCGGATAGCGCCGGCTCTGCATGAGCCGACAGGGGAGATCCTGAGATCTCCCCTGCCGGTCTCAATATACATAGGCGTGCCGCGGGATTAGGGTGTGCCCAGGCACACCCGGCACACCCCGTGCGCACGCCTATGTTAGGATCAGAGTATTTACAGAGCCCACTCTCTCTTTTACAGCTTTCAAAGATTATGTTAACTAACAAGATATGCTGCTGTGCCCCAGAAATATGATGAGATAATATACAACTCCCAGTTTATAAACTATCTGGGAAATATATATTGATTTCAAACTTCAGTTTTAGGAAGTGATCTTCATGATAACTGGAGATAGAATGGATTATTGTACTGTAGTAAATAATAGAAATAGATTATGGACACAATAATTCATTCACACCAGCTGCTATTTGGCATCTTTTAACCGGGCCGTCGTCCTCTCTTCAAGCCGCGCGCGGTCCTGCGGCTGCACGAGCCGCGCGCGGCTCATCCTACTGCTTCAGATGGAAGGCGGGCAGTGACCGCGTGAAGCGGTCACGTGTCCCGCCTGAAACTAAGAGCGCGCCGCGAGTCTCGGGCGCGCTCTTAAAGAGACAGTGGGAGCCTAATTGCCAAAAGGCTCCCATTGGCTCCTGTCATGCCACACTCCCTATACAATTACCTATGGGGTGTGTGGAAGTGACAGGAGCCAATCACTTTCGTTTAAAAGCTATTTAAACTTACCTTTTTCCCTTAGCTCGTTGCCCTATCGTGGTTTCTGTTTCAGTTCCCTTTAGCGCTTGTGGTGTTCAGTTGTGTTTTCTCGTATTGACTTTGGCTTCGTATTCTGACTTCGTTTTCGCTTTATCCTTATCTGTACTGTTTGCCGGCTTGCTGTTTTCCGTGTACCAGACCCCGGCTTGTCCTAGTTTACGCTGTCTCTCTGTGCCCTTGACCTCGGTTTGTTCCTGGCTCTGTCTCCTCTCATATACGTCGAGTCCGGCCATTCTAAGGTCCGGTAGACGTATCTCTCCTCTGTATTTGCCTCTGTTTAGCTGGATCCTGCGTGTAGGGGTATATTCTCGTTACATTACGATAGGGCCATGGACCCCGCAGATTTAGCTCAACAGATGGCGCCCCATGAGGCAAGATTTGTAGAGCAGGATCACCGTATGGATCAAATAGCTCAGGCTCTCCAGACGCTCCTAGCTAGAACCGTTCCAGCAACTACACCTAACCCTCCTACGCCCCTTCTCCCTGAAGTATCTACTTTGCCTAATACTTCGGCCCATTTAACACCTCCTCCTAGGTATGGAGGGGACTCTAAGACTTGCAGAGGGTTTATTAATCAAATTGAATTCCACTTCGAAATGTATCCACGTTCATTTCCCACAGAGAGGTCTAAGGTTGGGTTCTTTATGCACCAACTTACCGATAAGGCACTTGAGTGGGCAAATCCTATTTGGGAAGCTAATGGACCTATGGTACATGATTTCAACAGTTTTCTTACGGCTTTTCGTAGAACTTTTGACACAATGAAAAGGTCAAAGAATGCCGCGAGAGCATTAATGAGAATTAAACAGGGTTCTAGGTCTGTGGCTGATTATGCTATTCAGTTTCGCACTCTTGCTTCGCAGGTAGATTGGACCAACAATGGGTTAACTACTGCCTTTATGGAAGGTTTGTCAGATACGATATTGGATGAGGTAGCAGCTAAGGAGCTTCCTATTGCCTTAGAGGACCTTATCAATTACCTCATTGATATAGATAATAGAATTCGTGACAGGCTCTATACCAAGAACAGGAATAGACGTTTTGTTACACCCATTAACCCCAGAGTTAATATACCAGAGAGTGTTAAAGTGTCTGAGGAGGAACCTATGCAATTAGGGGTTGCCAAACTCTCTGATACTGAGAAATTACATAGGAGAAGGGAGGGACTCTGCCTATACTGTGGTAGGAGAGACCATATGGTAAAGGAATGTCCTTTACTCCCGGAAAACTCTCGCACCTAAGACCTTATAGGGGACTGGCCTTGGGTGTGATATCTAAGTCTCCTAAATTGCCTCCTAACCGCTTGCTTCTCCCGGTTTCTTTATATATGGGAGAGATTTGTATAGTTGACAACATATATGCTCTGGTTGACTCTGGGGCAGCTGAAAATTTTATAGACTCTGGCTTTATAAAGAGAAACAACATTCCCATCAGAGAGAAGGAGATACCCTTGGCCGTTGAGGCCATAGATGGTAGACCATTAAGTTCTCCAGTTGTTACTCATGAGACTGTACCATTACACATGTACACAGGGGTTTTACACTATGAAACCATTCGATTCCAGGTCATCACCTCTCCCTCTTCACAGTTAGTATTAGGGTATCCATGGTTACGTGCTCACAATCCCATTTTTGACTGGGAGACAGGGCAAATAAAATCATGGAGTGAGGCCTGCCACGAGTCTTGTACGTTGGAAGTCACACCTTTGAATTCTATTGAGGTACCTACCAGTCCTCCTTTGTCTACGGTTATACCCCCTCAGTATTTATCTCTAAAGACTGTTTTCGATAAAAGGGAGGCTGAGAAATTACCGCCTCACAGACCCTATGATTGCGCTATTGACTTGTTGCCTGGCACTATACCTCCAAAGGGCAGGGTGTACCCCTTATCGGTTCAAGAAAACCGTGTCATGGAGGAGTATATTAAGGAATCACTAGAAAAGGGGTTTATTAGGAGATCCTCTTCTCCAGCTGGAGCAGGGTTCTTCTTTGTATCGAAGAAAGAAGGTGATTTAAGACCGTGTATAGATTATAGAGGTCTAAACAAAATCACTATCAAAATGCATACCCTATACCTTTAATTACAGAATTATTTGACAGGCTGAAACATGCCACTGTGTTCACTAAATTAGACCTTAGGAGTGCATACAATTTGATACGTATAAAGGAAAATCACGAATGGAAGACTGCATTCAACACTAGATCCGGTCATTACGAATATACTGTTATGCCATTTGGGCTTTGCAATGCCCCAGCAGTATTCCAAGAATTTATTAATGATGTCTTAAGAGATTTTATTCACACATTTGTTATCGTATACTTGGACGACATTTTAATATATTCTACAGATATACACACTCATCACAGACATGTTACGACAGTTTTGAAGACCCTTCTTGCTAATGGTCTTTATTGCAAGCTAGAAAAATGTCTGTTTGACCAAACCGAAGTCCAGTTCTTGGGGTATTTGATTTCCGCTAAAGGTTTTCGTATGGATCCCCAGAAGCTTGCTGCTGTAATAGAATGGCCTCTACCGCAAGGTCTGAAAGCTATTCAGCGTTTTCTTGGGTTCTCCAATTATTATAGACGTTTTATCAAAGGTTTCTCGTCCATTGTAGCACCTATTACCCGTATGACTAAAAAGGATGGCAATACTCGTGTTTGGTCTACCGAGGCACTTCAGGCTTTTGAATTTCTTAAAACTACGTTCGCCTCTGCACCTATTTTACAGCATCCTGTCCCCTCACTGCCCTATATTCTTGAAGTTGATGCTTCGGATATTGGGGTAGGTGCTGTCTTATCCCAAAGAGAGTCGCCTGAAAAGCCATTGCATCCATGCGGCTTCTTTTCTAAACAAATGTCCAAAGCAGAGAAAAATTATGATGTGGGTAATCGCGAACTCCTTGCTATTATTTTAGCACTTAAAGAGTGGAGACATTTGTTAGAAGGAACTAAGGATCCTATCCTCATTTTTACGGATCACAAGAACCTATCCTACCTTAGCGAAGCCAAAAGATTGTCTTCCAGGCAGGCTAGGTGGTCACTATTTTTGTCCCGTTTCAATTTTATTATCACCTATAGGCCAGGTGATCGCAACACTAAAGCAGACGCTCTGTCCAGACAGTTCGAAACTACTGACAAACAGGAGATTGATGTTACTCCTGTCATTCCCCCAGACAGGATAATAGCTACTACTATTTTGTCTATTTCCTCGTCCCTCTTGCAGGCCATACAAGCGAAACAAAGCATGGCACCTAGCGAGAGGCCTAATGATAAACTGTTCGTTGATGTTCCTGAGAGACGGGATATTATGTCGTTATATCATGATACTAAGACTGCTGGACATCCTGGTATTTCCAAAACGGTGTCAGCTGTTTCTCGGTATTTTTGGTGGGATTCCTTACGAAAGGATGTCACTGACTATATAAGTGCTTGTACTACTTGTGCCTGTATGAAATCCTCCCGTAGAGTTCCTTGTGGGCTGTTGCATCCGTTACCCGTTCCCGAGAGACCTTGGTCTAACCTGTCCATGGATTTTATTGTTGAATTACCCCCTTCAAATGGTAACACAGTAATCCTGATGATAGTGGATCGGTTCTCCAAAATGGCTCACTTCGTGTCTCTTCACAAGTTGCCCACATCCAAGGAACTGGCTCATATCTTCGCTCAGTGAGTTTACATGTTATAGGGAGTGGGGTATAGTGACACAGTAACAGAGGGATTGAGGGTCCTGCTCAGTGAGTTTACATGTTAGAGGGAGTGGGGTATAGTGACAGTAACAGAGGGATTGAGGGCCCTGCTCAGTGAGTTTACATGTTAGAGGGAGTGGGGTATAGTGACACAGTAACAGAGGGATTGAGGGCCTGCTCAGTGAGTTTACATGTTAGAGGGAGTGGGGTATAGTGACACAGTAACAGAGGGATTGAGGGCCTGCTCAGTGAGTTTACATGTTAGAGGGAGTGGGGTATAGTGACACAGTAACAGAGGGATTGAGGGCCTGCTCAGTGAGTTTACATGTTAGAGGGAGTGGGGTATAGTGACACAGTAACAGAGGGATTGAGGGTCCTGCTCAGTGAGTTTACATGTTAGAGGGAGTGGGGTATAGTGACACAGTAACAGAGGGATTGAGGGCCTGCTCAGTGAGTTTACATGTTAGAGGGAGTGGGGTATAGTGACACAGTAACAGAGGTATTGAGGGTCCTGCTCAATGAGTTTACATGCTAGAGGGAGTGGGGTATAGTGACACAGTAACAGAGGGATTGAGGGTCCTGCTCAGTGAGTTTACATGTTAGAGGGAGTGGGGTATAATGACAGAGTAACAGAGGGATTGAGGGCCCCGCTCAGTGAGTTTACATGTTAGAGGGAGTGGGGTATAGTGACAGAGTAACAGAGGGATTGAGGGCCCCGCTCAGTGAGTTTACATGTTAGAGGGAGTAGGGTATAGTGACACAGTAACAGAGGGATTGAGGGCCTGCTCAGTGAGTTTACATGTTAGAGGGAGTGGGGTATAGTGACACAAAGGGTAAAACTAGGGGTACGAAGTAAGTTGTTAGAACAATATATACTGAGAGCTTAGTAGGTAATATTTGACAGTTGTAGGAGAGGAGTCGTTGAGGGGGGAAGGATAAAAATCTGCTAACAGTTTAATTGATATGCTTTCATGAAGAAGTGAGTTTTCAATGATTTTTTGAATGAGTGGAGACTGGGTGAAATTTTTACGGAGGAGGGAAGGGAGTTCCACAGAAGAGGTGCAGCCCTGGAAAAGTCTTGGAGGCGAGTGTTAGAGGTGGGAGTACGGAGAGAGGATATATGTAGGTCTTTGGCAGAGCATAGGGGCCTCGACGGGATATACTTGTGTATAAGGGAGGATAGGTAGGTTGGAGCAGCAGTATGTAGGGACTTGTAAGCAAGAACCAGAATTTTAAATTGAGCTCTATATCTAACTGGAAGCCAATGCAGGGACTGAGAGAGGGGGGAGGCGTGGGAGGTGCGAGCGGACAGGAAAATGAGCCTCGCCGCCGCATTCATTATAGATTGCAACGGTGCAATCTGGGAACATGTAAGACCACTGAGAAGAGTATTGCAGTAGTCCAGGCGAGAGAGAGAACAAGAGCATAGACCAGCACCTTAGCCGCTTTCCGGGGTTAGATAGGGGCGGAAGCGCGCTATGGTTTAAAGTGTCATTCTTTGTCCATTTGAAATGTTTGGAATTATGATCTATATTAGACATGTGCATTCATTTTTATACAAATAAAATTTACTAAAACGTAAACAAAAGCCCTACATACGAAATATAAACATAACGAAAGGGAAAATGCCGACTGCATTACCTTTTAATTTAGCTTCTTTCATTAAATAGACTCCGCGCTGCAGGGGAATTAACCCCCACAGCACAGAGAAAATAACACAGCGCAAGCGCTGGGGAAAAAAGCAAGGAGTGCTACCAGCTCCCTCCTTGCTGTGTAATTTGACTTACAGCACTCTGATTGGTTGCTTTCAATCAACCAGAGTGTCAAATTGCACAGCATTGGAAAATTCCAAATAACTTTCCCACGCTGTGAAAAATGACTCAGAGAACTCTGATTGGTTGGATTCCAAACATGTAGTTGTAACCAGACAAGTTGGACACACAGGAACAGAGGGGTTGAGGGCCCTGCTCAATGAGCTTACATGCTAGAGGGAGTGGGGTAAAGTGACACAAAAGGTAAGGATAGTATTAGACTAATGACAGTTGCAAGAGAGGAATCAGTAGGGAGCTATTAACAGTTTAATTGATACGCTTTTTTGAAGAGGTTGGTTTTTAATGATTTTTTTGAGGAGTGGAGACTGGGTGAGCATCTAAGGGAGGAGGGAAGTGAGTTCCACAGGAACGGTGCAGCCCTCGAGAAGTCTTGAAAGGAGCATCAGAGGTGAGAGTACGGACAGAAGATAGACGTAAGTCTTCAGCAGAGCGTAAGGGTCTAGACGGGACATACTTGTGTATTAGGGAGGATAGATAGGTCCAGAATTTTACATTGAGCCCTATACAGGAAGCCAATGTAGGGACTGACAGAAGGCTGAGGCGTGGGCGGTGCAGGAGGACATGAAGATGAGCTTCACCGCTGCATTAATTATGGACTGTAACGACGCAAGTTGGGAGCACGTAAGACCACTGAGAAGCGGAATACAGTAGTCAAGGCGAGAAAGAACAGTGGAATGGACCAGCACCTAAGTCGCATCTGGCGTTAAGTAGGGTCGGATGCATGAAATGTTTTTGAGATTGGAGCTGCACGATTTAGCGATCGGCTGAACATGAGGCATGAAGGAGAGGTTGGAGTCAAACACCTAGGCAGTGAGCCTGCATGGTGGAGCTGATGTTAGCACCGTTGACTTGGAGGGAGACAGACACAGGACTAGCAACACTTGAGTGAGGAAAGACCAGAATTTCAGTTTTGGTCAAGTTGAGTTTAAGGAAGTGGGCAGCCATCCAGTTAGAAATAGGAGAGAGGCAGTCAGAGACACGAGTCAAGAGGGGCGGAGAGAGATCAGTAGAGGACAGATAGATTTGCGTGTCATCCGCATATAAATGATATTGGAAGCCAAAGGAGCCGATGAGTTTACCAAGGGAGGCAGTATAGATGGAGAACAATAGAGCAATAGCTGCCCAGTCAGTAGTTTTACATTTGTTTAGGCGACATGCCCCTACTCGCGGCATGCTGCAAGTAGGGGCATGCGGGAGGATTTAACCTGTGCCAGGTCGCTCATTATTGCACTAGCAACTGGGCAGCAATAGCTGCCCAGTCACTAGTAGTTTTAAATGACAGCGTGCAGTCACTGGCTGCTCGCTGTTTAGGTGACATGCTGTGAGTAGGGGCATGCGGGATGATTTAACCTCCCTTTTATTAATATGGGGGTCAGAGTGACCCACATAGGTTAATGCGGGGTGGGGAGGGGTGTAATGGTTAATGATTTATACAAGGAGGAGGCTGGCAGCGCTGCCGGCTTCCTCCTTGCTTTTTTTTTTTTTGCACATGTGTAGTGCTATTTTCGTCCTAATTGACGAAAACAAATTATTTTTTTGCGAATTTCGTTCGAAAACGAATGGTTTACGGCCAAAATTCGGGATTGACAAATGACATTTTTATTTTTAGTACGAAATAATTTGTACGAAATGAAAATTTCACTGGTGCACGTCTAATCTACATATTGTGTGACATCTACAAAACATCAGCATGATCTAGAATAGGGATAGGCAACCTTTGGCAAACCAGATGTTGTGGACTACATCCCCCATAATGCTCTTACGCCCATAATGCTGGTAAAACATCATGGGAGGTGTAGTCCAAAATATCTGAAGTGCCGAAGGTTGCCTATGCCTGATCTAGAACATCCAAATCTACATGTTCTAAATAATGTGTGTGCACGAAGACATCTACACATAGCAGGTTATCTCTATGGTACAGGACTCCTGCATATTCCGGGAGAACTAACAGGAGTAACATCTAACTTATTTACAAATCTTCTTAGGATCCATAGGCGTGCACAGCCTATTGCATTAGGGTGTGCACCCTAAAGCACAAGCCGCATATATATATGTATGTATGTATATATATATGTGTGTATATATATGTATGTGTGTATATATATATATATATATATATATATATATATATATATATACATACACATATATACACACACAGCATGTGTGTGTGTGTGCTGTGTGAGGGTGCTGTTAGTGTGATGTGTGTGTGACGATGCTGGTAGTGTGCTATGTGGGTGAGGGTGTTTGTGTGTGCGTGCTTGTGAGAATGCTGTTAATGTACTGTGTGTGAGGGTGCTGTTTGTTTGTGTGTGTGTGCGCTTGTGAGGGTGCTGTTAATGTACTGTGTGTGAGGGTGCTGTTTGTGTGTGAGGGTACTGGTAGTGTGCTGTGTGTGTGTTTGTTAGGGTCCTGTTTGTGTTTGTGAGGGTACTGTTAGTGTGCTGTGTGTGTGTGAGGGTGCTGTTTGTGTGCTGTGTGTGAGGGTGCTGTGTGTGTTTGTGAGGGTGCTGTATGTGTGTGTGTGTGCTGTATGTGTGTTGGTGCTGTGTATGTCTGTGGGTGCTGTATGTGTGTGGGTGCTGTGTATATCTGTGGTGCTGTGTGTGTCTGTGGGTGCTGTATGTGTGTGGGTGCTGTGTATGTATGTTGGTGCTGTGTGGGTGCGTGCTGTGTATGTCTGTGGGTGCTGTGTATGTCTGTGGGTGCTGAATGTATGTGGGTGCTGAATGTGTGTGGGTGCTGAATGTGTGTGGGTGCTGTGTCTGTGGGTGCTGTATGTCTGTGGGTGCTGTGTATGTCTGTGGGTGCTGTATGTGTGTGTGTATGTGTGTGGGTGCTGGGTGCTGAATGTGTGTGGGTGCTGTATGTCTGTGGGTGCTGTATGTCTGTGGGTGCTGAATGTGTGTGTGTGCTGTATGTGTGTGTGCTGTGTATGTCTGTGTGTGCTGTGTGTGTGCTGTGTGTGTATGTGTGTTGTATGTGGGTGGGTGATTGTGGGGGGTGGAGGTGGGGGTACATTAATTGCTATCCCCCCTCCCTTCTTACCTTTTGTAGGGAGGGGGGATCGTGCTGCTGCTTCCTTCCCTGGTGGTCCAGTGGAGGAGGGGATCCTTGCTGCTGTGATCCCTGGTGGTCCAGTGGAGAGTGAACTCTAGCCCCCTGTGGGGCTAGAGTTCACTCTCGCGAGATTTGAGCGTTGCCGTGGCAACGCTCATATCTCGCGAGAGGAACCCGGCGGAGCTGCCGGCAATAGCTCCGCCGGGTCCTCTCCTGCCTCCCTACCTGCATGTGGGTCAGTGGGGAGGGAGGCTGAGAGCAGAGCCGGCGCTCGGATAGCGCCGGCTCTGCATGAGCCGACAGGGGAGATCCTGAGATCTCCCCTGCCGGTCTCAATATACATAGGCGTGCCGCGGGATTAGGGTGTGCCCAGGCACACCCGGCACACCCCGTGCGCACGCCTATGTTAGGATCAGAGTATTTACAGAGCCCACTCTCTCTTTTACAGCTTTCAAAGATTATGTTAACTAACAAGATATGCTGCTGTGCCCCAGAAATATGATGAGATAATATACAACTCCCAGTTTATAAACTATCTGGGAAATATATATTGATTTCTAAATCCTTCAGCTTTAGGAAGTGATCTTCATGATAACTGGAGATAGAATGGATTATTGTACTGTAGTAACAATAGAAATAGATTATGGACACACATCCATTCACAATCTGTAGCGTTACTTACCTTAACCGGGGGCCGGTCGCGGTCCTCTCTTCAAGCCGCGCGCGGTCCTGCGGCTGCACGAGCCGCGCGCGGCTCATCCGACTGCTTTGGATGGAAGGCGGGCAGTGACCGCGTGAAGCGGTCACGTGTCCCGCCTGAAACTAAGCGGCGCGGCGCGCTCTTAAAGAGACAGTGGGAGCCTAATTGCCAAAAGGCTCCCATTGGCTCCTGTCATGCCACACTCCCTATACAATTACCTATGGGGGGTGTGGAAGTGACAGGAGCCAATCACTTTCGTTTAAAAGCTATTTAAACTTACCTTTTTCCCTTAGCTCGTTGCCCTATCGTGGTTTCTGTTTCAGTTCCCTTTAGCGCTTGTGGTGTTCAGTTGTGTTTTCTCGTATTGACTTTGGCTTCGTATTCTGACTTCGTTTTCGCTTTATCCTTATCTGTACTGTTTGCCGGCTTGCTGTTTTCCGTGTACCAGACCCCGGCTTGTCCTAGTTTACGCTGTCTCTCTGTGCCCTTGACCTCGGTTTGTTCCTGGCTCTGTCTCCTCTCATATACGTCGAGTCCGGCCATTCTAAGGTCCGGTAGACGTATCTCTCCTCTGTATTTGCCTCTGTTTAGCTGGATCCTGCGTGTAGGGGTATATTCTCGTTACATTACGATAGGGCCATGGACCCCGCAGATTTAGCTCAACAGATGGCGTCCCATGAGGCAAGATTTGTAGAGCAGGATCACCGTATGGATCAGATAGCTCAGGCTCTCCAGACGCTCCTAGCTAGAACCGTTCCAGCAACTACACCTAACCCTCCTACGCCCCTTCTCCCTGAAGTATCTACTTTGCCTAATACTTCGGCCCATTTAACACCTCCTCCTAGGTATGGAGGGGACTCTAAGACTTGCAGAGGGTTTATTAATCAAATTGAATTCCACTTCGAAATGTATCCACGTTCATTTCCCACAGAGAGGTCTAAGGTTGGGTTCTTTATGCACCAACTTACCGATAAGGCACTTGAGTGGGCAAATCCTATTTGGGAAGCTAATGGACCTATGGTACATGATTTCAACAGTTTTCTTACGGCTTTTCGTAGAACTTTTGACACAATGAAAAGGTCAAAGAATGCCGCGAGAGCATTAATGAGAATTAAACAGGGTTCTAGGTCTGTGGCTGATTATGCTATTCAGTTTCGCACTCTTGCTTCGCAGGTAGATTGGACCAACAATGGGTTAACTACTGCCTTTATGGAAGGTTTGTCAGATACGATATTGGATGAGGTAGCAGCTAAGGAGCTTCCTATTGCCTTAGAGGACCTTATCGATTACCTCATTGATATAGATAATAGAATTCGTGACAGGCTCTATACCAAGAACAGGAATAGACGTTTTGTTACACCCATTAACCCCAGAGTTAATATACCAGAGAGTGTTAAAGTGTCTGAGGAGGAACCTATGCAATTAGGGGCTGCCAAACTCTCTGATACTGAGAAATTACATAGGAGAAGGGAGGGACTCTGCCTATACTGTGGTAGGAGAGACCATATGGTAAAGGAATGTCCTTTACTCCCGGAAAACTCTCGCACCTAAGACCTTATAGGGGACTGGCCTTGGGTGTGATATCTAAGTCTCCTAAATTGCCTCCTAACCGCTTGCTTCTCCCGGTTTCTTTATATATGGGAGAGATTTGTATAGTTGACAACATATATGCTCTGGTTGACTCTGGGGCAGCTGAAAATTTTATAGACTCTGGCTTTATAAAGAGAAACAACATTCCCATCAGAGAGAAGGAGATACCCTTGGCCGTTGAGGCCATAGATGGTAGACCATTAAGTTCTCCAGTTGTTACTCATGAGACTGTACCATTACACATGTACACAGGGGTTTTACACTATGAAACCATTCGATTCCAGGTCATCACCTCTCCCTCTTCACAGTTAGTATTAGGGTATCCATGGTTACGTGCTCACAATCCCATTTTTGACTGGGAGACAGGGCAAATAAAATCATGGAGTGAGGCCTGCCACGAGTCTTGTACGTTGGAAGTCACACCTTTGAATTCTATAGAGGTACCTACCAGTCCTCCTTTGTCTACGGTTATACCCCCTTAGTATTTATCTCTAAAGACTGTTTTCGATAAAAGGGAGGCTGAGAAATTACCGCCTCACAGACCCTATGATTGCGCTATTGACTTGTTGCCTGGCACTATACCTCCAAAGGGCAGGGTGTACCCCTTATCGGTTCAAGAAAACCGTGTCATGGAGGAGTATATTAAGGAATCACTAGAAAAGGGGTTTATTAGGAGATCCTCTTCTCCAGCTGGAGCAGGGTTCTTCTTTGTATCGAAGAAAGAAGGTGATTTAAGACCGTGTATAGATTATAGAGGTCTAAACAAAATCACTATCAAAATGCATACCCTATACCTTTAATTACAGAATTATTTGACAGGCTGAAACATGCCACTGTGTTCACTAAATTAGACCTTAGGAGTGCATACAATTTGATACGTATAAAGGAGAATCACGAATGGAAGACTGCATTCAACACTAGATCCGGTCATTACGAATATACTGTTATGCCATTTGGGCTTTGCAATGCCCCAGCTGTATTCCAAGAATTTATTAATGATGTCTTAAGAGATTTTATTCACACATTTGTTATCGTATACTTGGACGACATTTTAATATATTCTACAGATATACACACTCATCACAGACATGTTACGACAGTTTTGAAGACCCTTCTTGCTAATGGTCTTTATTGCAAGCTAGAAAAATGTCTATTTGACCAAACCGAAGTCCAGTTCTTGGGGTATTTGATTTCCGCTAAAGGTTTTCGTATGGATCCCCAGAAGCTTGCTGCTGTAATAGAATGGCCTCTACCGCTAGGTCTGAAAGCTATTCAGCGTTTTCTTGGGTTCTCCAATTATTATAGACGTTTTATCAAAGGTTTCTCGTCCATTGTAGCACCTATTACCCGTATGACTAAAAAGGATGGCAATACTCGTGTTTGGTCTACCGAGGCACTTCAGGCTTTGAATTTCTTAAAACTACGTTCGCCTCTGCACCTATTTTACAGCATCCTGTCCCCTCACTGCCCTATATTCTTGAAGTTGATGCTTCGGATATTGGGGTAGGTGCTGTCTTATCCCAAAGAGAGTCGCCTGAAAAGCCATTGCATCCATGTGGCTTCTTTTCTAAACAAATGTCCAAAGCAGAGAAAAATTATGATGTGGGTAATCGCGAACTCCTTGCTATTATTTTAGCACTTAAAGAGTGGAGACATTTGTTAGAAGGAACTAAGGATCCCATCCTCATTTTTACGGATCACAAGAACCTATCCTACCTTAGCGAAGCCAAAAGATTGTCTTCCAGGCAGGCTAGGTGGTCACTATTTTTGTCCCGTTTCAATTTTATTATCACCTATAGGCCAGGTGATCGCAACACTAAAGCAGACGCTCTGTCCAGACAGTTCAAAACTACTGCTTTCCACGCGGAATATTCGTCTCCGGGTGCCTTCTATGAAATTGGCTCCCCGCTTCATTGGACCTTATCGTATTATACATAAGGTTAATCCTGTTTCTTATGCCTTAGGCCTGCCTAAGAATCTACGTATTCCTAATGTTTTTCACACCTCATTGTTGAAACCTTACGTACGCAACCGCTATACCCGGCATACTCCTCCTCCCCCTCCTATCTCAGTGGAGGGTCATGAGGAGTTCGAAGTGTCTGCTGTTCTTGACTCTCGTTTCCTTAGGGGTCGACTTCAGTACTTGGTACATTGGAAGGGTTATGGGCCTGAGGAGCACGGTTGGATTTCGGCTGATGCTGTTCATGCTCCCCGTCTTGTGCGCTCTTTCCATTCTCGTTTTCCTGCCAGGCCTGGTCCTACCCGCCCGGAGGGCGTGTCCTCAGGGGGGGGTACTGTAGCGTTACTTACCTTAACCGGGGGCCGGTCGCAGTCCTCTCTTCAAGCCGCGCGCGGTCCTGCGGCTGCACGAGCCGCGCGCGGCTCATCCGACTACTTTAGATGGAAGGCGGGCAGTGACCGCGTTAAGCGGTCACGTGTCCCGCCTGAAACTAAGAGCGCGCCGCGAGTCTCGGGCGCGCTCTTAAAGAGACAGTGGGAGCCTAATTGCCAAAAGGCTCCCATTGGCTCCTGTCATACCACGCTCCCTATACAATTACCTTTTGGGGGTGTGGTGGAAGTGACAGGAGCCAATCACTTTCGCTTAAAAGCTATTTAAACTTACCTTTTTCCCTTAGCTCGTTGCCCTATCGTGGTTTCTGTTTCAGTTCCCTTTAGCGCTTGTGGTGTTCAGTTGTGTTTTCTCGCATTGACTTTGGCTTCGTATTCTGACTTCGTTTTCGCTTTATCCTTATCTGTACTGTTTGCCGGCTTGCTGTTTTCCGTGTACCAGACCCCGGCTTGTCCTAGTTTTCGCTGTCTCTCTGTGCCCTTGACCTCGGTTTGTTCCTGGCTCTGTCTCCTCTCATATACGTCGAGTCCGGCCATTCTAAGGTCCGGTAGACGTATCTCTCCTCTGTATTTGCCTCTGTTTAGCTGGATCCTGCGTGTAGGGGTATATTCTCGTTACACTTGTCAAGGCTATTGAATTACTTTAAGTTGAGTGACTTACAACAGATAATTTACCCAGACCCAGTGCACACCTTCGACTCATTGACGCAACAAAGTGTACCACGGTCACTCTATTCTGAAGATTCCGGTCTCTCACACAACTTTTCTGCAGCTTCAATTACTTTAATTGGTGAGTGTATATCCTGTGCTCCTGGTGGCCTATGACTCTACACTCCCCAACAACACTGCCCTGTGGTGACAGCTAGTATTGTTTAATTGTATTTCGTTTCAGCCTCCTATGGCTCTCTTCCTTCACTCACACATGTTCATCTAACCTATCCTCCTGAGTCCTGATTGTCCAGGAACTTGCTTCAAACTGCCTTCAACAACACATACATAGGAATGATAAAGCCCGATAATAAAGAGCACTCATCCTTTGACCAGCACTAGTTGTAAATACCTTCAAACTGCTTGGTTTACAAACATGAAAATAAAACATGACTTAATTGCTCATATTTTTCAGGGTGTTTTAAAGACACCAACACGTTTTAATCAATCTCTTCCCAGACACAGTTCACCTTATGAATTTATCATGACACCTCTATTGAGTAACAATTCTGTGTATCCACTACACGAATCACATTGACTAACAATATTTTTACATAGAACATTTCTTAAACAAGTCTTAATAAGAGCATACAAAACATTATAGTCTTTTATTTCTATTCATACTACAACATCTTATATAATGTCAGTTAAACACAGGGGTGGCTATAGTAATGTCACATACTGGGTTTAATTTGCTATAAAATAGTATTACTAATTCTGATTATAAATCTTTATGCTTGAAAGACGAATATTCACTTACTGTATTTGATGAGTGGTATTTTCCTGCTTGGTCACTTTCTCCCTGAAGATATGTTTAAAGTTGTCCAAGAATATCTGTAATGTGTTTGGTCCAATAAAGCCAGTATCATGTTTAGCAACCATTTCCTTTGTAGCTAAGAGCTCAATTCTTTCCTGGGATGAGAAGTAATGCTTTTTATTTATTAATTTATTTATAAAATATTTTACCAGGAAGGATACATTGAGATTTCTCTCATTTTCAAATATGTCTTAGGTCCACAAAACATTGCATTGTTACAATAGGGTACAATATTACAAAAATAAAAAAAATACAATATATATATATATATATATATATATATATATATATATACACACACACATACATACATACCCACATATATAAATTTAAAACATAATAGGTAATAAATATATTCAACCACGGCAGGTGCATTCTGTATAGAGGCAGGATTTGTTTCTGTACAGGGCACATAGTTTTTTAGAAAGTGCTTATGCAGTAAGTAAGGGTCAGAGTGAGTTTTTGCATAGGCAGGTATCACTCTTAAAGCATTGATTCTTTATAGATGGGAAGCCAGAACATATTAAATGTAGGAAGGAGCCAGTAATAAAAAAAAATGGGTGACAAAGCAATGAAGAAAATACATATTAGTCATTGATAGGATAACGAATGGATACGTCTTATAGAGACTATGGCAAGGTACAAGCATAGGATTAAATTCCAGGACACATGGGGATCTGATTGTTGCATGATAGAAACTAATTAGATTTAATACAGTTCAATCCATTCAGTCTGTAGAAAAGAAACACCAGCTGACATTAATTAAAGTAGAAAGGGAAATTTAGGGAATGCAACAAGAAATATATGTTTTTACAAAATAGCCACTTATTCATCAACAAAGAGGAGCTTAAAGGACCACTATAGTGCCAGGAAAACATACTCGTTTTCCTGGCACTATAGTGCCCTGAGGGTGCCCCCACCCTCAGGGACCCCCTCCCGCCCGGCTCTGGAAGGGGGAAAGGGGTAATAACTTACCTTTTTCCAGCGCTGGGCGGGGAGCTCTCCTCCTCCTCTCCGCCTCCGATCCTCCCCGCCGGCTGAATGCGCACGCGCGGCAAGAGCTGCGCGCGCATTCAGCCCGTCGCATAGGAAAGCATTTACAATGCTTTCCTATGGACGCTGGCGTGCTCTCACTGTGAAAATCACAGTGAGAAGCACGCAAGCGCCTCTAGTAGCTGTCAATGAGACAGCCACTAGAGGCTTTGGGGGAAGGCTTAACCCATTCATAATTATAGCAGTTTCTCTGAAACTGCTATAATTATGAAAAAATGGGTTAAGCCTAGAAGGACCTGGCACCCAGACCACTTCATTAAGCTGAAGTGGTCTGGGTGCCTAGAGTGGTCCTTTAACTAATGGAAAAAGATTTCAGATGCATGATTTTTAGAAAATGGCAAAAAAAAAAGCATGTGCAGCAATTTCATTATAAATGTATAAATGAAAACATGAAAAGTACATGCATGTGTGGCCAAGACGCTGCTCTAAAATATACATATATATATATATATATATATATATATATATATATATATGTATGCTGTGCATAATAGGCTTTTTTTCAGTTTGCAACAATGCATATGATCACAAGGTCAAAACTGCAGTCTATGCTAGGTTTCTGGTCTCTGTTCCTTTTGGATCATAGTCCATGAATTGATAAAAAAAAAAAAAAAAACTCCTGTGTTTAAAATAGCATCCATTGCTAAGAGTATCTACAGAAAGTCAATATGAAGTCTGAGACATGATGCCTGTCTATACACATTTGCATATCAGGCTGGAAACTCTGGGATAGTTATGGAAACACGATTTCTTGAGTTTATGTGCGTAAGGAAGATTCTTTAAAGTTCAACTTAAGATATGCAGGTTGTGTATGCATGTAATATATTTACAATACAATAATATACTCTTTGCATAGATGTAAATATATTATATATTTTATGTACTATATATATATGTTATATAATTTAAAAAGGTGAATAGTAGTTGATACCTGAACAATATCTTTGCAGTATGGTAAATGAGCAAGACGTTTGTCCCCCATTTTGTCCTCTTCTCTCTTTAATTCTTTTGCATTGTCACCAGATATGTGTTGAGCAGCGTCTTCAGCCCACAGTACCTGATTATTTTCTTTCAGCATGAATTTATGGATCAATGAAATGGCCAAAGCCACCCTTTCTCTGCAAAAATAAAACTGTTATTCATGAGAGGTATATGAATAATATAAATAGTGGGGTTTTCTTTACAATAATACAATTAGTGCTATGTTACCGTGTCTCCTCTGTATGGGTCTCCATAACTTGGTGCTGCATTATATAGTGTTTGGCTTCTGAGTTAATAGCATCTTGTGACCAGCTATCAATCCACATTAGTTGGCAACCATTTAAAAATCCTGGATATTTCCTAAAATGTAAATACATTATTTTCTAAAGGTGTTTTTAAAGCTTGTGCCAGGTATACACATATTGTAAATACAGTAAGCATGACATTTGTTTTCCACTAATAAAAGTAACATGTTAACCATGCATGTGGTAGAATTACAATGCATTATTAGATGATAGATGATACAAAATACTGTATATTGATGGTAATTTTATATTAAAAGGATACTTCAATGTCCATGACCACTTTTGCTTTTAGAAGTCGTCATGGAGCAAGCAATCTATAAGTGCAGCGTTTCAGAAGTTTTGTGCCAAGGGCTAGTTAAACCCTCAGCACACGTGATTTAGGTAACCTGGAACTATGCCTAATTTTAATTCTGTGCAAAAATAACATCTGTCATCAGCGATAAAATTAGCTTTTACCCTTGCTGGCAATGCTGGAAGCATACTTGTAAAGGGGGAGCTTAAATGTCCCTCCCTTCCTCATTTCAGACTTCCCCACCTCCCTGGATACCTTATTTTTTTTAAACAAATTCCTTGTCCACCACCCACTCTCTCCCTTGCCTGTTTGGCTCAGAGTGCATGCATGTGCTTAAAGCTTGGAGATATGTCCAATCAAATACTTCTCACAGAGAAGGATGTGATTGCACCATGGAAAGGGAAGAAATAATGTGGGTTCCAAGGAAGTTTATTCTTATTTGAAATCTTTTTTTTTTTTTAATAAAAAAAATAAAAATGGAAGTGTACAAGCTTCTAATGCCCAATATGGCATTAAGTATATAAAAAAAGTTTAACTATTCATAAACAGCTACAAAATACCATACAATAGTTAAAACACTGCTTAAGGAAATAGATCAAAGGAGAACTGAAAAATCAGAATGGAAGTAAGTAAAATGGGATTAAATCCCAGTCTTACCAAAAACTATTATATTAAGGATTGGATCATTAAAGGACCACTCTAGGCACCCAGACCACTTCAGCTTAATGAAGTGGTCTGGGTGCCAGGTCCAGCTAGGCTTAACCCATTTTTTCATAATTATAGCAGTTTCAGAGAAACTGCTATAATTATGAATGGGTTGCTTTCCCCCTAATCCTCTAGTGGCTGTCTCATTGACAGCCACTAGAGGCTTGCGTTTCTCACTGTGATTTCACAGTGAGCAACGCCCATGGAAAGCATGTAAATGCTTTATGACCTGAATGCCGCAGCTCTTGCCGCGCGTGCGCATTCAGCCGGCGGGGCGTAACGGAGGCGGAGAGGAGGCAGAGAGCTCTCCGCCCAGCGCTGGAAAAAGGTAAGTTTTTACCCCTTTCCCCCTTCCAGAGCCGGGCGGGAGGGGGTCCCTGAGGGTGGGGGCACCCTCAGGGCACTATAGTGCCAGGAAAACGAGTATGTTTTCCTGGCACTATAGTGGTCCTTTAACATGGAAGTCTTAAACTGATAATGTAGAAAATGCATCCTGCCTCACTGTGATTGTTCACATATAGATTTTAAATTTTATATAATATTCACACTAGCTGAACAATGAAGTGGTTTAACAGTGTTTCACAGGCCCTTTTTTTGACACTGTATTCCCAATTCGTGGCATTTCACCACCTTCAGCTACAGATAGCAGCTCAAGTAATTATTTCTAATTGCAGATTTACCTTGAGGCAGTCTTCAAAAGTATGTGGTTTGGTGGAAGACAAACCATTATCCGAAGAAGAGACTTCACTTGAGAAACAAGGTACCTTGCTGGGTCATAACCAAGATGTGGATGTTTTCGTCTGAGAGCTGGCCCCAGAACCTAATAAAGTGGTACAGTGTAAAACAATGTTTAAACAACTGCAGTTTTTTTTCTAATATGTAGTTAAATAGCATCAATGGGTTACTCAGTGACAAACTGAACAATAATATATATCGCATATTATAGGTTAGAGTGTAGAAAAGACTAATTAATTTAGATGAGGTTTGGGGCAAATGATAAAGCGAAATGTACTAAGTCATTATAGAATTAGCGATAAGGAACAAGAGAGAAATAATGATTGATTTATCAAGATGGCTCCCATGAGAGGCCCCCCTGAGGGTAAAGTGAAAATATAGGTATCCTAATGAGGTGCGTAAGGCACAAGAACACAAAGATCACAACATAAAAGATCAGGCATTAGGACAGAGAAGACACTAGTATGATGGGTTCAGGTATGGAGCCAGAAACTGAATATTGTCCAGTTCCTAATTCTGCTTCATCCTATTCCCACTGTGGGCAGTACATAGTCCTGAATCAGAGATAGATACTGCAGGTCTCCATGATTTGGAGTGGGCAGACTGGTACAGGCTGAGGACAAGGTCTGGGCTCCCCATGCTTCAAATGTAAACTGTCTTGCTATTTGTTTCCATGCCACCTTGGTCAGGAATGATGTGCGTTGTGCTCTCCGCCGCCAACTTGGGGCCATCTGAGCTGCTAGAGCCGAGGTCACTTGGAGAGTGCTTCGCCGTGGCGAGTATCTGCTCAGCTGCACTGAGGCAAGTTGGTACGATCTTTGCTCCAGCTTTCACCAGAACTCTGTGAATATACTGTCTAGTTTGGCCAGGACATCAAGTGCAGCCTCACTGGGACCATTGATGCAGGCTGCGTCCGCCATCTTGGAAGAGGCACTGCATGGTATCCCCATCCCTGCTGCTTCGCCCTGCGCTCTCACAACATCGTGTAGCCTCCCATGGGAGGACCGGGATCACCCCCACCAGTCCAAGGAGGGGTTACGGGGAATGTGCACAACCCTAACGGCCCCTGGGCATCACCGGGATAGGGGATCGACCACTTCTTCCGCACAACATGCACCAGGCAACCAGGGGTATGCAGGCTCCAAATGGGTTGCTGATCACCACTCTGTATATTCTCCTTGGTAAGGGCTAGGTTGGTTGCCTTTGCCAGTCCTGATCGAGCATGTAAGGGCTGTAGAGAGCTGTATTCCTCAAGATTGTGCGGGAGCCCATGTTAAACATGTCTCACCGCTATGATGCTCAGGCCCCGCCCCCCTATATGAGATATTTATATCACCTTTTTATAATGTACAATATAAAACAAATGAATAATGACATTTCAAAATGTAGCATCTATTATCATCTGGTGAACTCTGTTTACATTCTAATATCATTAGAAACATTGTTGGGTACCATAGCTGCTGACCTAGGCAATGGCTGGCATGCAATGCAGCATAAGCACCCTTTCCATTAAGGCCCTCTAAGCTTAGAACACAAGCTCACACTCTCATTTTGGTTGTATGTAGATATGGACTTACTTGCAAAAGGTCATTCATTTCTTCAGATGAAAACAATGAGGCATACTCCCCACATATCAGTAGACTGTTAATGATATCCAGATAGCTGTCATTGACCAGTTCTTTAGCCTGTTTTTCACAGAACAATGCAACATATAATTAGTTTTTTAATTGAAAACATCCTAAAAAACAACTTATAATAATGCTAAAATGCACATTTACAATAGCAATACAGATATTTAATCTAAATCAAAGTTAATAATATCAGATATTATAGGTCTATGAGTCACACTGGGTTATTCACTAAAGTGACAATCATTTAAAACTTAAAGTGAATTTCAAATTTAAGGCCAAAACAGTCGAATTGGAACAATTATCCAAGTCAGTTATACTTCCAGTTACACTATTTTGACATTAAATTGGAAACTGATTATACATTTCTGACAATACTCACTTTAGCGAATAACCCTGTAAATGTGAAATTTTAGCACTGCCATTTCAGGGTACAACTCCTTTAGCTAGCTGAAGGCAGAAGTGTACTGCTGTAGCCACCTTTTAGAAGCCAAAGGGACCTCTTTGATCATTTGATGCAAAAGAAGGTCTGTTTACAAGCCAGGCTGTGTAAATACTAATTTGGGTCAACTTGACAAATTATTATTATTTATTTATTATTATTATATTTATATAGCGCCAACAAATTCCATAGCACTTTGAAATGGGTGGACTAACAAACATTTAATTATAACCAGACTAGTTTTATGCACAGAAACAGAGGGGTTGAGGGCCTTGCTCAATGAGCTTACATGCTAGAGGGGGTGGGGTAAAGTGACAAAAAAGGGAAGTATTAGGGAAGAAGATTGGTAGAATAGTATTCGATGAAGACTTAGTGTGGGGTTTATTGGAGCCATTAACAGTTTAATTGATGCTTTTGTGAAAAAGGGAGTTTTAAATGATATTTTGAAGGAGTGGAGACTGGGTTAATGTCTAATGGAGAAGGGAAGGGAGTTCCACAGGAACAGTGCAGCCCTAGAGAAATCTTGCAGGCGAGGTATAACTAAGAGAAATCAAGGTTTAACGAAGGAAGACCATGTGGATAAAAGGTTGGAGAATTCACTATTGAATTCAAAGTGGAATCATGTTCTTAAAGTGGCACTGTCATGCCGAACTTACCTTTCCCCAAGCGATCCCTCTTCTCTCCCTCTCTGAGGATCTGTTCTTCATTTCTTCCTATCTGCTCTAGTTTTCTTTAAAACATAAGACAAAGTAGGGACTATTTTGTCTTATGTATTTTTCCTACGCTTGAACAGCTATGATGACCCAGGAGAGGAGCAAAGTCCACTCTGTTTCCTGTGGTCAAAGCAATTTCCATACAATTCTCACCTTCCTCCTGCTGCTTGTTCGGCGTTCGAATGTCGGTGAAACTACCAAATTTCATCCTAACAGAATGAGAACAGTTTGTCCATTCATGTTAGGACGCAATTCGGGACTTTGTTCAGATGGGAATTTCATTAATTTTAAAGTTTTTTTTTTTTTTTTAAATATTAAAAATAATAAACCATATAGAAAATGTATATCTATATTTCAAAATATATCAACATATTAAAATATTTTTCAAAATATTAAAGCATTTTAAAGTTTAAATAAATATATGAAATAATTTCAAAATCCAAATAATTAAATAAAGACCAAAATTAGGGAGCATTGAGATTTATTACAGAGAGATGAAAGTAGTGTTTCTCCATTGTGTTTCTCCAGTTTTCCTTTTAATTGGTTTAACTTTAGGGGATTTATAACATAAGCATAATTTATATTTACTTTTAAGGGCCACTATAGATACCTAGACCATTTCATATCAATGATGTGGCATGGGTGCAGTGATCCTGTTCCCTTAACCCTGCAATGTAAAACATTGTAGTTTTAAAGAAACTGCAATGTTTACATTGCAGGGTTAAGACTGCTTCTAGTTGTGGTCTACCAGACACCCACTAACTGTGCTTCCTGCTGTTTCACAGAGTTGGACTCCCTGAAACAACGCTGGATGTCCACAAGCTTTGCTGAGTACGCCCAGCGTGTAGAAAAAAACCCACAGAAAAGAATTGTGTTCCTATGGGGAAGGCCTAACCACGCATGTGCATTCGGTTACCTCCAGTGGCAGACGTTGGAGGAGGAGCCGACCCAGCACAGAGGAACATCGGTGCTGAAATCAAGTAAGTGTTTAAAGGGGTTTCAACCCTTTACATGGCTGGGAAGGGCATGGGGTAGAAAGACACTGTAATGTTAGGAATGCAGATTTCTATTCTTAACACTATAGTCCCTTTAATACAAAGCATAAGCTCCAGGATTAAAATAATATGTAATATTAATATAAGATATGTGTTTTATCCAGATAACTAAATGAGACTAAAATAGCAGAAGTGATACCTTTATTGGCTAAAGCCAAACAGGGGTCATGTATGTCCCTCTGGAGCTGTAATTTATCTTATCTTAAAGGACCACTATAGTGCCAAGAAAACATACTCGTTTTCCTGGCACTATAGTGCCCTGAGGGTGCCCCCACCCTCAGGGTCCCCCTCCCGCCCGGCTCTGGAAGGGGGAAAGGGGTTTAAACTTACCTTTTTCCAGCGCTGGGCGGAGAGCTCTCCTCCTTCTCTCCGCCTCCGTTCCGCCCCTCGGCTGAATGCGCACGCGCGGCAAGAGCTGCGCGCGCATTCAGCCGGTCACATAGGAAAGCATTCATAATGCTTTCCTATGGACGCTGGCGTGCTCTCACTGTGAAAATCACAGTGAGAAGCACGCAAGCGCCTCTAGTGGCTGTCAATGAGACAGCCACTAGAGGGATTAGGGGGAAGGCTTAACCCATTAATAAACATAGCAGTTTCTCTGAAACTGCTATGTTTATTAAAAAATGGGTTAACCCTAGAAGGACCAGGCACCCAGACCACTTCATTAAGCTGAAGTGGTCTGGGTGCCTAGAGTGGTCCTTTAATTGCCCTAAGTATACAGAAAATCTGGTGATATCAAAACTGATCAAAAGGAAACTTCACAAATCCACGTGAAATTATTGCAGACACATTGATCACAAACTGTTTCCCCCTAGGGTTGTTTGTATAGTTGTATATTTTTCTATTTCCTGGCAACTGTAAAGAGCCATGTCTAAAAAGACTTTAATCACTGTGACAGAAGCCTTCATGCCATGGCCTCTTATTCACAGGCTGTGGACCTGGTACCAGGAGTCACTGAAATAAGTGTGGACATTTGCAAAATGAGGGTAACCAAATATGGGATTAAATGTATATAGTATTGCTTTTTATTGTGTTTAAAAATGTTCTTTGTTTTATATAGTTAATGTATTCATTTTAATTGCTCATTTGCTAATGTTCTATGTATTTGTATTCTAAATGTTTGTCACCACATGTTTAAGTCCCATAGGGATAGACCTAGCTCAAAATAACGTTTTGTATGTTAGTTCCTTTTGGAACGGTGTGTCCTGTGTGGATTTTTAGGCATTCCAGTAACAAAGTCTTCAGACCTGTTGGCTGGCTGCACAATCCCTCTGGACCAGAGGTAAATCAAGAGAGTTAGGCCTGAGTGCCGCAAATGTCTGTATAAAGACAGGAGCAATCACTATAAGCAGAGATGCAGAAGAATAGGCAGAGGGAATAATACCTGCCCGGAAGGAAAGCTGCAGTTGAATAGGCAGAGGGGACGATACCTGTTTGGAAGAAGAGTCTGGTTGGATAAAATATTTCTGGAGAGACTCCAGCCTTCCTCCGCAATGGTTAGGAAGCGGATTGGGTGGAGGTACATGGTCAGAGTACAGGAGCTCTGTTACAGCAAATGACTCACTTTTCCCAAAGTCACCTATTTCACCCAGTTCAAACAGTTCAGTATCCAATTGGGTCCAAGTTAGACGTTACTGGATAGACTCCAGATGGTATGGAAAGAAACAATGCCATCACAACCAAATAGATTGGGCAAAAAATAGGCTAGGATGTTGCCAAGTCATTTGAATTCACTTAGTTAACATTTCATTAGCTTTCGTTTTTATACTGAAATACGGAGTTAATATATAAAATAAAAATTATATATATTTTACTAAACAATGGCCTTTTGTTTCCTCAGTGATCTACGCTCTTTGAATATATGACTAACAAGATAATAATCAGGGCTTTAATCATTACTGCAATTATCGTGTGATTGAACATAGCAGGCAACTGATTATTGCTATAATAACTGATCGCACTAATTCCTACAAAAAAATCGAGAAATTGTTTAGCTCAAACAGGGGCCGCTAGAGCAGCTGAACTAAGGATAATTACACTAATCATCAAAATTGCAATTAACTCTTCACATAACAACACTGCTGGATGATATCCCAACTGTGAATGTAAAATAAGACATTACTTTCTGTTCACAGAAACCTAACAGCTTAATAGTTGAAAATAGGTCATTCATAATTTTATACCATAAGATACAGTAAAATGCAAAAATATTATATGTACGGTTAGCAAGATGGCCTTTGGTTTTCCTTCTACAGCAGAGATCTGAATGGCTGTCTTTAAACTGTTGATAAAATTGTTGTGTCCGGATGTGTCCAAAGGATGAAGGGGTACGTCAGCCACATAGAGAGCAAGCTTCACCAGGGTAGATAGCTGAGAGCCCACTGATCCAACCAACAGAACATTGCCCCTATAATGCAATGAAACAGTAAAAAGCTTTTCAAACGTTACACAAAATGATGCAACCTAATATGCATGCCATGTCAGTGTGATCGAAGGAACAATTGTGGGGGGAAAAGGAAGTAGGTCAATAGGATCTGTCATACTTTTATTATTACAACACAAAAATGATGCAAAATATTCTGTATATATTTTGCTGTACTAATTTGTTAAAAAAAAAAAAAAAGGCTACTTTTAGTTAAACAAATATAAATTTACCTTATGGGCCTCCTTTCTGAAAATCATCAATGGTTTACTGACAATATGAATCAACTTCCAATGACTAATCTCAACCAATAATCAAATTGCACAGGAATGATTTAGCATCCTGATATTTTGATGTGATTCTACATAGATCCTTTAAAAAAGTTTGACCTACAAAGTTTTTACATTTGTTGAAAAATATGTTTACAGTCATGGTACCAATTGTGACTTTGTTACTGCCTGTACTGTCTATGACCGTTTGTTGCTAACATAATGCTCCGAAAACACAAAACGAATAAAGAATAAGTAAATAAAAAATATTTAAAATCTAATGCATTTTGAAGAACCACAAAAACAAAATGCAAAAATCTGATTTTGATCGAAGAAAGAATAAATTGATTTTGGCAACAGAACAGTATTTCTTCAAACATTATATCTTGTAAGACAGATCCATACTACTCTCACATGGAGCCTGGCACTAATATATGTTCTGTGTTGCCCACGCTACCATATAAATCCATGTGCATATTGTATTGGTTAAATACAGATTAAAAATAGGCTTTTATTTGATTACTTATTATGCTAGGCCAACTTCTCCTCTTCCCCTTTCTATAATTGTAAAGCGCTGCAGAATATGTTGTTACGAATATGAATTATAATAATAATATTACTGTGAAGTAAGGAGGTAGCGGTGAGATGACATATTTTGGGGCTATGTACTATATGATCTAATGCAGGAAGAAGCTGTGGTATAGGGAACTCTGATAAAGGGATGCAACAAGAACAAATTACAAGTCTGGCAAAATAAATCAAGGTAATTTATGTAAAAATGTATTTAAAAACCGAAAATACTACTTTTACTAATACTACTAATAATGATAATTAATTGATACATATTTTCATGGCTAAAAAGATATTTAACCCCTTAAGGACCAAACATCTGGAATAAAAGGGAATCATGACATGTCACACATGTCATGTGTCCTTAAGGGGTTAAAGGGACACTATAGTCACCAAAACAAGTTTAGCTTAATGAAGAAGTTTTTGTGTATAGAACACGCCCCTGCAGTCTTATTGTTCAATTCTCTGCCATTTAGGAGTTAAATCACTTTGTTTATGCAGCCCTAGGCACACCTCCCTGCATGCGACTTATACAGCCTTCCTAAACACTTCCTGTAGTAGTCATCTAATGTTTACACTTCCGTTATTGCAAATTATGTATAATTTATAATTTTCTTATCCCTTGCTCGGTTAATAGCTTGCAAGACTCATCAAGAGCCTCCTGTATGTCATTGAAGTTTAATTTACAGAGCAGGAGATAAAAAACAAGTTGCATCTGATTGAAAATGAAACAATTTTGTTTTCATGCAGACTTAAAGGTGTGGTTAAGGATGCATATACAGAAACAAATAGTGATTTAACTCCTAAATGGCAGTGAATTTAGCAGTGAAAGTTAGAAGAACAATGACAGATTATTATACCCCTTGCTCTGCTACTTACCCATGCTCACTGGATAATACTCTATGTATGCGTATTATCTCCATCACAACATTCTCTGACAAAGCAATGCTAAGTTTCTGGTGTCCAAGTTCTTCATTGTAATGCTGCAGTACGGTTTGCAGGTAGCTTCTCACATCATTCAGGTGACTGATTGACTGCAGCTGTACCTAGGAGGTAACACATATAACAATGCAGCCAATATTACAATAAACAGCTGGTGTCATTAACATGCACACCAAGGGCAGCATTTGATATTACCTTGACAGCTCTCTTCTCTGTAATGGTTTGATGAGAAAACTTCATTTCCAAAGGAAAGGTGATAAATATTTTCTGATGTGAAGGTTCTGCAATATCTGAAAAATACTAAGTTTATAAAAAGTAAAAAATGAGTCTTTCATATAACTGTCTGAAAACGAACATATTTACTTTTTATCAAAAAGTCATGAATCTGATCATTTCCATTTCTTTATGTAATGCATGCATTGGAAAGACATTGTGCACTGACAAAGGTGAACCGAAGGACATTGCTTTTTTTATCTTGAAGTTTCTACTTTATGCTTAAAAGAACTGTTAGCGCTATGTGGCTGCATTTGGGGGTTAATTGAGACTTTTTATGCACTGCAGTGACCTGTTCTTTAACTCTTTTACATCCATCACTAAGATGTTAGTAAGCTTCTGAGCAGTAAACTCACATGTAAAGGCCGGAATACCACCTTGAAAGGATTCTAAGTATAGGAAAGAATGTAACGTGAGATGGGGACAGCAGGAAAGGTATATAGTGTAATATATTTGATGATATTGCCTGGAGATAAAGGAATGGATACACTTACAGCATGAAGAGTTATCAGATAGCTCTACTGCTTATTGAGGAAACTATTTGGTGTGTGGTGTACCCAGGGCCGGATTAACATAGGGGCTGATGGAGGTGCACCTCCAGGCCCAGGCCCATGGAATAGGCCCATTTAAAAAAAAATATATTTTTTTTTTTTTACACACTACTCTTGGGTTTGCCACCTGACTGGTAATTTACCAGCACAGGCGGTATTTAGGGCTGCCTGGCCGTGCCAGTATTGTAGTAATACCGGAAATACAAATGCAGATATTTTTCTCAGTATAAATGGAGATTACTCTGCAATACCAGCACCAGCCAGTAGGGGTCACTATGTGTGGAGAGAGGCAGGAATAGGAAGTTACAGCATATCCCTCCCTGCCTCTCTCTACTCGCTGATCCGCAGGGGAGCAGCTACACAGCACAGAGAGTTCAGACAGCAGCTCCCAGTCTGCAGACAGACAACAGCTCAGGGAAGTGAAGGATGGGGGGGAAAGGCAGCAGGGAAACATGGGGACACTGAGACACTTGGGGACACTGAGACACTAGGGGACACTGTGAGACATAGGGACATTGGGAGACAATAGGGACACAGTGTCTCCATGTCTCCCAGTGTCCCCATGTCTCCCAGCCAGTGTCCCAGTGTCCCCACAGCTCCCAGTGTCCCTAGAGTCTCATTGTACCCATGTGTCCCAGTGTCCCCAAATATCTGTCTCCAAGTGTCCACATGTCTCCCAGCCAGGGTCCCTAGTGTCTCAGTGTCCCCATGTCTCCCAGTGTCCCTATATCTCCCAGCCAGTGTCCCTAGTGTCTCAGTGTCCCCATGTCTCCCAGTGTCCCAAAATGTTTCAGTGTCCCCATGTCTCCTAGTGTCCCCATGTCTCCCAGCCAATGTTCCTAGTGTCTCCATGGCACCCAGTGTCCCCTAGTCTCCCAGTGTATGTGTCCATGTCTCTCAGTGTCCCTAGTGTCGCAGTGTCCCCATGTCTCCCAGTGTCCATATGTCTCCCAGCCAGTGTCCCTAGTGTCTCAGTGTCCTCATGTCTCCCAGTGCCCCAAAAATTTTCAGTGTCCCCATGTCTGGGTCCACAAGTGCCCCCATGTCCCACAGTGTCCCCAAGTGTCTCAGTGTCCCCAAGCCTCCCAGCCAGTGTCCCCATGTCTCCTAGTGTCCCCTAGTCTCCCAGTGTCTGTGTCCCCGTGTCTCCCAGTGTCAGAAATGACACAAGTCTATTGATTTGTCATGGACATATCTGCTTTCTAAGCCTGTCATCACCTAACATAAGAATAAGTATGTCTGCAAAATCTCTCTGTTTGACAGACGTTCGTAGAGACATGGAAAAATTTGGATCTCCAGCCATGGTTCATGGTGCTCTTTAGAATCAGGGACACAACAAGCTTGATGGAAGAGTTTATGGCAGATAAAGTCTGGATATCACTTTGTTCGAATAAGAATGTCTGTCTGACTTCCATGAAATGATAGCCCATTCAATGACACTATCTGAACTCAATGGGTATATATGACTTGGGTAAATGGGATCTGCAGGTCCAAGTAGTCCCTTCCTATCTTGTTTATACTCCCCCGTACATCTATTTTCCTCCCTTCTCCTTTATATTATCTGATTGTTCTATGAAATTTGTAAGCCAAAGTACTGATTTTATTGCTGAATATATATATATATAATGCCAACTACCTAAATGTCTCTGTGTCCCTAGTGTCTGTGTTCCCATGTCTCCAAGTGTCTCCATGTCTCCTAGTGTCCCCATGTCTGTATCCACAAGTGTCCCCAAGTGTCTCAGTGTCCCCAAGTGTCTCTGTGTCCCCATGTCTCACTGTGTCCACATGTCTCACTGTGTCCCCTAGTATCCTAGTGACAAGGGAAACACTGAGACATGGGGTCATGGGGAGAAATGAGGACACTGAGACACTGGAAGACCAGGGGACTGGGCGTCCAATTCTTTGGACAGACATGCCCCCTTTTTGGGCATGTTCGCCCCTTTTGGCAGTTCTGGTCACGTGATTCGCGTCAGTGGCCCACCCTTTTACCCTGCCCATTGACTCCCTGCTTCACTGGACACTGCTGTTAGGGGGTATGGATTTACTTGAAAGATGAAAGCATAAATTAGAGAGAGATTAGCATAGAGTATGTGTATTCTTATAGCTGCATCCTTTGAGTTTCCCTCCAACACCATCTCCATCAGATACACGACGCTTGGGAGGTATGACTGTTTTAGTGTTTTTGGTCTATAAAATCTGTAATTAGGCCTCATCATAATTGCCAGCACCAGGCCCCCTGGGCTCTTAATCTGGCCCTGGGTGTACCTAGCCTCTCTTGTCTACCTATGTGTATTAGGAATTTGCCTTCCCCTCCTGGAGTCCTCTTGTCGGAACCAATTTCTTTTTACGTGTGCATTCTTTTGTGGATTTGCAAACAGATACTCGTGCATACTGACAAATACACATATACATACACTGACACTCACACACATACAATTAATTATTTACACATGCGTAGCCACCCTACTGTTTCCATACACTTTGGGTGCAGGGGGATAACATCCCTGGAGTCCTGTGGGATCTGGCTGCTGGTTGAGGCTGATGGGAGTCTGAGGCTTGTCCAGCCTCTTTTCTTCCTCTCTCCCCTTCTCTCTTTGGGCCATTCTAGTCCACCCTGCATGGCTCTCTGTAAGTTGGGTTGGGAGAAGGTGACCTGAACACTCTTCCTCAAAGCACTGCCAATCTTACTGCAGTGCCCAACCGATTCTCTGGTCAGATTTACACTTTGGGTTTCCCTAAGTGTGAGAGACACCCTATGCCCCCAGGCTTGTGGGCCCCAGTGTGGCTGTTGTAGCTGCTGGACTGTCAATAGTTTTGCCACAGAGGTGAGTATTGCACTCCACTTCTGAATCACGTATAGCCACTCATCACATTTTCTTCTACTATGGGGGCTGCCTGTAAAAATTCAAAATCTAAACATTTAAAAAATAAATAAAACTGGACTAGTCAGTGCTTGCTGCCAGATGCCTGACAGTGTTTGCTCCTCTGTGTCATGTGAGATATGCTTGCCATAAGTGAGTTAGCAGTGGAGAACCTAACACCCTGGAGATGGGCATAATTCAGCATAGATCTGGTATTAGATTTGTTAAAATTCATAAAATTAAAAATAATTTCACACAGATATGTACTTCCAAACAAACACATGGCCATCCACATAGATTGGGTAGCTCTGTAATTCTCTCATAAACTAACCAATAATATTTGTGTTTCCTTGTTACTCTATAAACTAAGTTGTGAGGTCACTGCTGTATTGCTGATATATAAACTCCATTTCACAGCACCCCCATCTTATTCAGCACTGTCCCCCATTATCAATTCCCAATCTTGGTCATCAGCACCCTATTTTATTAATCACCCCCCGCCCCATCAAACCCCATCTTATTAACCAGTTCCCACATTAGCAAGCCCTTCCTCATTCTCCAAGGACCCCCATCATATTCATCATCCCTAGCCTAGTCTTATTTACTAATCCACCATCTTATTCACTGTCCTCTCTTTATTAAATACTGATCGTATTCACCAATACCTCTTATTCTAACAGCCCCCCTCATGAATTCAACATATCATGATAAAAATGCCAACAAAACCCAAATTATTATTATTATTTTCATCTTAGACTTAGGGCAGACTCAGTACTATGACATATCCTGGAAAAAGTGCTGCACAACAAGGAAGCGGAGCCTTAATCACTTGACCTCTCCCCCTCTTCCTTCTTTCCTTTAATTGTGCCGTGTGAATGACCAGCATACACCATGTTTCCTCACTGACAATTGCGATCATGGTATTTTAGGAAAAACAGAGCCTAATTTTAAATATTATGCAGTAGCAACCTGCCTCCATGTCCATCCCTAGTGGACTCTGTCTTTCCCAAACCGCAGGGATCAGACAGAACCTAATTTTTTAGCAGAGCAATAAGAAGTGGTCTCAGTTATGCTATGGGCCACAAAAATCTGGTTCAGGGGCTAGCACTTTAATAACTCTTACAAAAGAGCGTGGAGATTTTTCAAAATGTAATTTATGTAAAGTGCAAAGTTGTAAGAGTGGAACTGTCATCAACAGAACGTACCCGAAACCTAACTTTTAGATGGAACATTGCACCACTTTTAAGAATCCAACAGATTTGTTATACTGTAATGTAGCTAAACACATACCTCTTTTGTTGTATCTTTTAATGCAGAGTTAAACCAGTTCAGGTCAGTGCGGCGGCAGATCTTATTCTTAATAATGCAATTGATTTCATGCAGCCAGTATGCAAAAACAGTACTGCGGTCTTCTCGATCTTCGTTAGACATCTTGCGGAGAGACTGCAAATAAAGTGTAGACCTTTAGAAAAATGCTTATTCTTTTTTGTAAAAATGTGTAAGCTTTTCCAGTCTTGCAACAAGTTACTAATGGAATACCCCAATTTCTTTTGATGACTTTCAATAAAATTGTAAGCAATTGGTTTTCAGGAATTAGGCTAAATGTATGTGACAACAAACCATTGAATGAAAATAAAAGAAAGTTACTGTGTTAATAATTACATATATACAACCAAATGCATAAATAAGAGAGTTCAGTTTGCTATTCCATACAGCATTATATGCAAACCAATGAAAACTCTTTACAATATAAATTAAGCATTATCACTTCAATATGTAAAAACATTTATCCACCTAGTAAACCTCTCTCACATACTAATGGAAATGTAATGGTTTTATGTGCATCCTTACATCAATAGAATTGTAACCTGCATCTTTCTAAATCAATCATGTAAACAAATATGGCCTATGAAACTGACAAATAGGGTTGAGGTCTAGATAGGCAGATATAATATATATATAAAACACAGAGAAACACTGGTTGCACCAAATACTGTTTATAATAAGTCTTTGGCGCAATCTGTTTTTCTTTGTATTTTGTATGTTCTTTCTACAGTAAGGGGTTGAGGCTATCCCTTACATTCACTGTTTGTTGCCTATTTCTCTGTTCATACAATTGATTCTCTAGCGCTTATCCTATTTTTTATATTAGATATACTATATATATATATTTACACATTTGTCATTTATCAACAGAGACCTGGAATATCTTGCTGATGTCTCTCAGAGAAAACAGATAGTGCTGCCGTCCTGCTGTTGAAGATGGCACCAATACTTTCTTAATTGATTCTAAAAGGCGACATGAAGCCATGGCCAGAGACAAATGCAACTCTTCTTGTAAGGGAAGTCCATCTTTCTCACCCATGTTTGCCTGCAAAGAATAGCACACACTACAATTCACTTACTGTTAGCATGTAAACCATTATATGGAAAGTATGTAACTAGGACAGATGGTGATTATCGAGATCCTCTCCTTCCATGACATAACCTAAATTAATTTGCCTCCAAAACATTGGGATCTCTGTATGTGACTTGCCAGTTGAAATCCACTTCTCTGTTTTAAATTGAGAATGTATAAACATCTATACATCTACCCAGTCTTCCTCTAGGTATTAATTCTGGGTATGCTCAACTACAGGCCCAAGTGATGGACACAGACTTGGATATCCCTGCTTAAACAAAAGTAAGTTAGTCAACCTCCGTAATTTATTCAGAAATACATTATTTACATTAGACATTACTCATTTTTATTTACATGTATACTACAATCTATGATTTCATATTTATCGATAGGTTAACAGCTACCGATAATCCCTCAAACATGTTAAAGCAATCTTAATTCCCATGTTCCGATACTTTTTGATAGCAGTTATGCCATTTTGTCATACTTTTATCCTCATTACGCACATCAAGCATGCTTTCTGTTTAGGTCATCTTATCAATTATAGCTCAGACAGATAAATTATATATATTTTATGCAAATGTTACTTACTTCCAGAACAGAAAAAATCACTTTCTGGAGCTTCGAGCCTTCTAAATCTGAAAGAGGGAATATGGCAAAATGCCGCTGAAAAGATAGGTGTAAAATGTTAGATTTTTAGATAATGTGACAATATAACTGTTGATAAACATTGCAATATTTGATAAAACATATTAATAAAACATATATTTCATTTGCAAAATTTGAGACTGTAAAAGTCCAGTTTATGAAGTGTAACAAGTTGGCAAAACGGAACTCAAATTAAAATGAGCCTAAAATGTGTGAATGTGAGTTTTTGGGATTTAAGATCTGTACCTCTTGAGGTAGTGAACAGAGTATATCGATTAATTTCTCTCCTGCTTAGGACTTAATAAGTATATTTCTGCAATGCTAGCTACACCTTCCCTGGCTATCAATTGCTCATTCTCCTTACACCCTTCCTGAAAGATACATCAATTTTGACTATATCTTCTTGTGTTCATTATCAAGTATGTTTACTGTATGAATTGTGAGGAAGGTTTCTTCTTATCATCAGATTCACAGCTCTTATCATTCTTTCAAGCCTGCAACCTCATCTGGACAGTTTTAAAGAAGCACCTTTTTTTAAATCCTTTGCACCACAATGTTATTGTAAGTAGTTATTATTTTGTGAGTGTTCATAATGTGTTCTATTAACACTTCCTGTGTCTTTGTCTATGAGAAGTATATGACTGGAATCTGCGCAGCACAAACAAAGACATTCTTGCTGGGGAGAAAAGGGGGCAAATCAGGTTAGCTGCAGAAGTATGTTCTGCAGCAAATAACAATTAGGACTTTTGGCAGTTACAAAGGGAATTTTTAAAAACGAAATAATGCATATTGTGCATATTGTATCTTAGATATTTATTTTAACAGCATGCCTCTCACATTTTAACGGTCGCATAAAACAGGTACATTTTATATATCTCATGTATTCTCAGAATTCATTATAAAAGCTTTGTCTTATAAACTCACCAGGAGCCTCTGGGAAAATGTCCTCTCTGCTTTGTTGGTATACTTTGGAAAGCTCATTATTGCCTTTATTAGGAGTCCCTCCAGTGACCGCCATTCGAAAGGTTTATTCAGTGTCACAAGAACCTTTTCATCTAGAAGCATTCTTAGCAGCTATAAAAATATTGAATCAAGTTCATCACATGATACCTATTTTGGCCTAATCTGTTTTTGTATTCATTTATCTAAATTCTGACTTCCATATGTTTGATAAACCACACTCTTATCACACCCATTCGACAGGGTAGGATTTTACATGTTAGGTGCCTGTGGAAACAAAATTCTGAAAATGAGTGCAAGGTTACAGAAAGTGGTGAGAGTGGGTAGGGTAAAGGGGGTTTAAAGGGACATGCCTCACTTGACAATTGTTTTTTTAAACCAGCAAGCAAACACTTTTAAAGGGACACTATAGCCACCAGAACAACTTTAGCTTAATGAAACAGTTTTTGTGTATAGTTCATGCCCCTGCAGTCTCACGGCTCAATTCTCTGCCATTTAGGAGTTAAATCACTTTGTTTATGAACCCTAGTCATACCTCCCTGCATGTGACTTGCACAGCCTTCCTAAACACTTCCTGTAAAGAGTCATCTAAAGTTTATCCTTCCTTTATTGCAAGTTCTGTTTAATTAAGATTTTCTTATCCCTTGCTATGTTAATAGCTTGCTAGACCCTGCAAGAGCCTCCTGTATGTGATTAAAGTTCAATTTACAGAGCAAGCAATACAATTGTTTAAGGTAAATTACATCTGATTGAAAGTGAAACCAGTTTTCTTTCATGCAGGCTGTGTCAATCATAGCCAGGGGAGGTGTGGCCAGGGCTGCATAAACAGAAACAAAGTGATGTAACACCTAAATGGCAGTGAATTGAGCAGTGAAAGCTGAGAGGCATGATCTATACACAAAAACTGCTTTATTCAGATAAAGTTGTTTAGGTGACTATAGTGTTCCTTTAAACAAATATACAAATCAAAATAAAGAAAAACTTTGTAAAGTATATAACAAACAATTATAAAGGGAGTTTCTTCAGCCCCCCTCTCACCCACCCATCTCAGTTTTAGACCATTCCACTAGCGACAGAAACAGGGGATCATTGTGCAGCCGCAGGAAAAAGCAAACTAAGACCTGATTCTGAGTTACATGAATCACACTGATCACACTGAAATAGGCCCAACACACATTTCCAGATGGGAAACTAATTAGTTAGATCAATGCTCCCCTTAGAGTTGGTGTGGAATGCATTAGAAAAAAGAAGCAGGTAAATATGAAAAAAAAAAAATGTTTATATATATATAAAATTATCTTTTTTTTTCAGCCTGTAAATTCTGCCTCATTAAATGTTAATGCTTTTAAGTTAAACAGTTGTCTCATTGTGATGCATGTCCTTAAGATTAAAGAGAGGTTAACGTAACAGTTAGTTTACGTAGAGCAGGGGTGCACAAAAGGTAGACCTCCAGATGTTTTAAAATTACAGCTTGCCATTCTATAGGTATTCTAAAGACATGCAAAGTATCATGGGAGTTGTAGTTCTACAACCTTTTTGGCATCTACCTTTTGGGCAACCCTGACATAGGGTGTTTAGTGCTAAAAGGATACAAGCTTAAAGAAGTAATAGTTTGTATCCAAGTGCTAAAGGAGTAATCAGGGCAATCCATTAGTTTCCGTGGTATTTCATTAGGCTCCATTTTTCCATATGGCTTTCTATGCAACCTGAGTCTGTATTTGAAATCAATGGATTTTACCTCATTACAGCGCTGCACCCCATTCTTATCCGGTGTAGGAAGGTTCAGGTCATCAATAAATAAATTAAGTGTTTTTCCATCTTTTGCACCATAGATGAAACCTGAAAAAATTTTAATGAAAAAAATAGTCAACTAAAATCTTCATTATTAGTTTATCTAGAAATACAATTTGGAACCATTTCCTGTGACTGCACACTAGAGTAAATCCAGATTTCTAAAATACACCTTGTCATACACCATACAGATCAATACATTTTTACCTTGTCTGTGAAATATATTTTGCTCTAATAGTTCTTGGACTTCTTCTGCTTTCGAAGATCCTGAAAACACCATTCTTTTCAGTAATGTGCGTGCTCTGTCTACAAATACAAAATGAGTTTAACCTTATGTGAGAAATAATGTATGTAGCAACAGGATAGAGAGGGTTGGTAACAGTGAAGTATATACTATAAAAAATAATGCTTGGAGCAGTTCTGCATTCACATTTTAACACGTCACACTCATAATAAATTACAAATTTGAAGGTCAAGTGGTTTATCAATACACACACACACACACACACACGAGCCAATATAGTTCCCGAATAATTTGGCACATACAAACGATCCCACAATATTATGACTAGCTCAATAAACATACATCTCTCTGGTTTGAAAAGAAGGTACCCTGAAGACGAATATTAAAATAAAAATAAAACAAAATAATCTTGCCAATTTAATCATGCTATAAACCAGACAAGATGAAACAAAAAAAACCTACAACACGTTTTTTTCTAACAAGAAAAATGGGAGAATAGAATACAAGTAAATAAGAAGTCATGTCATGTCAGAATTTTTTTTTATTGTTTTATTACCAGAGGTAAACAATCTGTTGGAAATACATAGATGAGAATTGTATATTTCCTTTCTACTGTACTGGGAATCATGGTAAAACTTGCAATAAGAAACTGTGCAAATTGGCTATAGGAAATGTCTAACCTGGAACAAGAATGGTATATACTGCCTACCATTAGTTTTAAATAGTCCCAAATCCATTTCATATAAACAATAAAATAAATAATTTTTCATCTAAACAAATGACGTACCTTGTGTTGAGATAAAATCATTCATTAATGCGGTCTTCCCACACCCCGGGGGACCAGTTAGTAGAACATGCTGACATCCCATACTGGCATATTCTAAGAAAGTGCGAACTATCATCTATCAAAAGAAAACAATGCACAAAAGAATTCAATTTAAAGATGTATTCACAATGCATATGGCATAAAACCTCAATAAAAATACATAGACTCGAATATATATATATGTATATATATATATATTGGGGAGACGCTGGTGATCACCTGGTTCAGCTAGGGTGAGTTCTATTTCCTATTTCTATTCTATAAAATCCTGAAGAAAGTCCCTGAGCGGACTGAAACTTTGAATTTTAATTGTCTAAATAAAGATTGGATTTTTTAAAAGAGCGAGAATGCAGCATTTACCATTTCCATTTACCTATTCACAGAGATTGTCATTAGTATATTTCTCCCTCAACACGTACATGATAACTTGGTTCACTCAAGGGAAAGAGAAGGGATCGACTGTTCTCCTACTCTCTCTACATTTAGTCTGACTATGACTGATGATGCTTTAATCTCGAATGATCCATCCTACCAGTAATAGACTGCTTCCTTTTCTCTCTGTCAGTGGGTGCATGCAGACATGTATGTAACACTTCAATGTCATCATTCTCCCATGATACATGTTGCCATCCATATATAAGGTATTTGTTAATACTATAGCATGAGATTAAACAAAATATGATGCTCTAAGACAATATTTTAAAGTAGGAAATGTGTCTTTATCTCCATGCCTGAATTAACATTTTTCATCTTTTGTTTTGTTCTGTATGTCTGACTCACCGTGTCTTCTGTCTCAATAAACACCTCTCCCATAATATCTGTACTGCCAATGTAAGTCATTTCTGGTAAACGTGACTGCCAAGTGTCCCACTCTCCAGACTCATCAAGGTAATAGTCAAAAACAGAAATCCCTTGATCATCATCTGGTAAACTGTGCGAAGGAAAAGTGCAGATGTTCACTGAGAGTCACACGTACAACCTAGTTTATTCACTAATCATCGAAACACAAAATAATACTATTAACAGTTATAACTAAGTTAATAGGAAAATCCAGATTTTAAATGGCATTCATATTGTTCATATATTGACTAGCATTTGAAATGTCCAATTTGCATCCCGCCAATGCTCAAAATGGTCAGTAAGAAGCTCATCAGATTGTCCTTTACTAACTATAAAAAAATGTTTCTATTTTAAATTCAACAATGAATTTAACAATTCATTTAACAATGCTTTATTGTTCAATTAAAATGTATGCAAAATACTAATTATCAACTATAAACTTCTCTCATTCTGGTACAGAACGCCCGACAGTCTACACAGGATCTTCCCGAACGTGCCTGACATATGCTGGAGATGCGGAGATGAGCGTGGCTCGCCACTACATATATGGTGGGAATGCTCACTCATTAAGCCATTCTGAGTCGAAGTCCTACAGAAAATAAGGGATATCACAGGGACGGAAGGAAACCTCAACGCAGAGGCAGTCCTCCTACACTCAACACCGGATCCCATAGGCACATACAGGAAAAACATCCGTAGACACCTAATCAACGCAGCCAAGGCACTAATTCCATTATACTGGAAACAAACGAATACCCCAACGATAAGACAATGGATGGAACGGGTGGAAGAAATATATAGAGCGGAATCAATACAGGCTACACTTCGAGGACTAGAGGACAAGCATGTGGAGAGGTGGCACCCGTGGCTACTCTACATAGCGGACCGACACACAGATAGGAACGGCCATTCGCAGCCTCAAGGAGCCCCAGGACCCCCCACAGACGGGGACTGATGCCTGGTCCGATACATACTACGCCGTGGTCACGGATGACGGGACCACCTTTCCCTTCATACCCCCCTATCCCCCCTCTCCCCCCCCCTGATCAACCACCCCCCACCCAGCTCCCCCCTCTTCATCCCCCCTCTCTCTTCCTCTTACTTCTTACTCAATTAACACTCATCGTCTCTCTAAAACTCTCCAACAATGGCTTCATTATAAATTACATGATAAACGTAGCCCACCTTAATCCGAGATTGCCCACAATTGTTTCATTCACTCACGCTTGCACGTCAAACTGGACACAAACACCTTCATCACGCGACTACACAACACGAATAAGACACGTCCCTGAACGACATCTGACCTATGACGACGGACCAATAGACCTTACTACCCCAAAGAGAATGAGGCTCACGGGTGATAAGGAAATACTAGAGGATCACGTAAAACAGACGCAAGGCACAAACTTATGAATATCCCTCTACTCAAGCTGCAATCCGATCACTCATATGTATGTCTTAACGTGTTAAATGCGACCAAATGTCATATAGAAATAATATGTAACATTGTTTGAGTGCAGTTTACACACTTAATGTTGGGACCTGCGAGTCCGTTATATGTTATTTACTTGTTCAATCTATTGATACCTGCTAATGTACAGGGATCAGGGTATACCCTGAAATGCTTATGTTTGAATAAAGCCTTTTTGAACCATATTCAAATGCAAATATGCAAAGAACTGCAGCATATTCGAAACTCTGAACAAGAGCCGTCAAAAGCTATTCATTCAATATGATTGATACATAATTAAGTGGTTTATTTAGCAATATAGTTCATAGTTTATTCTATTTTTAACTACACTAGTCTCATTTGAGATCCGCTGCATCTATTGCCATTTAAAACAAAACCGAAATATGTATTAAAGGAAAACACCACAAAAAAAAATAATAATAAATAAATAAATGTTACAATATTTGTTCTAGATCACCTGTGCTAAGCATCTAGAGACCATATATCTGACTGACTAGAACATTATATTTTAATGTTTTTGAGTATGTTAACAATTCTGCTTCAAGAACCTTTAATTTGCTTTCTGGGACCTGCATTACAAAAACGATTCCCTAGATTTTGCCATTTACGTTATACAAACTATAATAACAGGTTTATTGTGAGATGCACACAGATTGGTTCACTGTCCATGAATTTTAGTGCTGTAGCATCTACTACTGTGTCACAGAGGCAGTTCATCTCAACAGGGTCATTCTCAAGAATCATGTTGGGTTATTCACTAAAGCAGGGATTGTGGAAAACTGACAAGGTGTGTGCAAATACAATGTCAACATATGTACCGCGCTTATAAATAATAAAATAATAATAATATGTGAGTCAAAATACTAATTATTGTTCTGATGTGGCACACTTTACTTACACAGATGTATAGACCTTCAGCAGCTCACTAAACTTCTTTCTTTCTGTAGTTTCAATGAGTGCGCCTACCGACCAGATAAGGCAAAATATGAAGAGTCTTTCAATGTGAAGCTGTCCTCCAATGCTCTGAGCTTTTTCATTCAACATGACTGTCAAAAGGTTTGTGCAAGTGCAGAATAACCCAACTTCCGTGACTGGGACCAGTGGTCTATAAAACGGAATCACGTTAATTGGACAAGAAGTTCATGGACTGAATAATGTTCAAAAATCTATGCATAATTTGCATTGTGTATTAAAAATCAAAGTCAGCTTTCTTAACAATCAGCTAGATGGCAATGTCAAACTAAAACCACCTCTAGATGTGACTGGCCTGTAGTGGTTATGATGACAGGAGAACCCTGGCATAGTTTTACGGGAATGGGGCAAACAGTTTGCCTCCTCACCTGGGCCACTAGGCCAATGCTCTCTAGTGGTCTTGTGATGAGCTTCCGGCTTCATCATTCATTGGCTGAAAGCATAAGCTGACTGCTCTCAGCCAATGACTTACATTCTGTGCAATGAAAGTTGCACAGAATTGACATTAGCTAGCCTAGGCTCTAGTTCCAAATTGGATGATGACACCCCAATAATGCGGCTGTAGGTGAAGTTACCCCTCTGGCAGCAGAGTGGTTACACTGAAGTGGTCATGGTGCTTGGAGTAAGCATTTAAGGTTCAGTTACAATTTGTCAAGTTTAAATATACACGTATACAGCTGAACCACCCTTACTTAGAGCAGCACAGATGACCAAGCAATACGTTTTGCCTTCATACCCAATACAAAGAGGCTATTTAGAGCCCAAGATGTCCATCAAGATGAAAAACCTAATGATAAATGCAATTAATAAAACGGACTCAGAAAATTCTTAGTTTTAGTTTAAGACATGGACTGTGGTGTGGTGTCTGCTCTGTTATCAGCCACTGCTACACATAATCATATACATTTGGGTCAATGTAAACTCAGTTAATAAAAAAAATGTATGTTATTACTTGGTTTCATGTAGAATAAGATTGAAGATTGGATCCAACGTCTTGTAGAAGGCTTTTGAAAGAACCTGAAAATGTACACAACTCATAAGATGTCAATTATTTCCCTCTCCTCATAAGAATAGACATTATTGCTTAATAAAGCATATCTAACTTTTTATCTTTCATTATCAAAACTATACAGAAGAACTGAGAACAGTATTGATCAAAAACTACAAATATTACACAGGTTTCTGGCATGATTTAATAATCTCCACTGGTACAAACTAAGGTTATTTCATAACACGTTTTGTTATATTCTGAGAAATGGAAATGGGAATGGAAATGACCTAAACTATATATCTTTCATCTGTTTGTAGATCTAATTAGAATTAGCACAGCAAACATGTAGCTTAATCCCTGGGGTACATTTTATGGCCCCTTTACATATTTTGACTTCAGTACCTCCCCAAACCACACCCTATACTGCAGCCTAAGTCCAACGATAGCAAGTTCTAACTATTACATTATGACAACAAATCTCACGCCATGCCACCTTCCTCTAAAACGGCACCCACTCCATTAGAACCCTGCAATAATAAACCTATAGTGTGCTGAATAATTAACTCCAAATATGGTAAATTAAAGTGGTACTATCACTAATCATGTAATTGGATGTGTAGTTTCTCTATCAATATTATAGGGAACTCTAGGCCAACAATAAAAGGGTATCTAAATCTGACCCCTGTTTTTGCAAGTATTCATCCAGTTGCTGTTTAAACATCTGTATAGATTCTGATATAATCACCTATTCTGACAGAGAATTCCACATCCTTATTGTTCTTATTGTAAAAAAACAAAAAAAAAACTTTCCTTTGCCTTAGGTTAAATCTCCTTTTTTTCAGTCTACATGCTTGCCCTTGTTTCCTATGTATAGTCCTGTTTATGAATAGATTTCCAGACAATGGTTTAAATTGGCCTAAAATATATTTGTATAATGTTATCATATCCCCTCTGAGGAACCATTTTCTAAATGTGTTAATCTTTTTTCATAACTAAAATCTTCCATTCCTTTTATTAATTTTGTAGCCCACCATTGAACTTTTTCTACTGCAATAATACTGACATAATAATAAAAGTCAACAATCACAGTCTGTAAAATGTTTGCTTTTCATGAAACCATTCCACTTACAGCTTTTTCTTGTTGGTTCCTTTCTTCCAGCCAAATTTTAGAAATGGGTCCCCAGCCAAGTACATCACTTTCCATATACAATATTCCCTGTTTTTCAATGACAAAACATTAGTCACAGAAATATGTTTAACTGACACATTAACACGTCAGCCTAATACGTTTATGCAGTTTGTGAGTTTATATAACAGAGATGTGAACAGTCATGGAGCTCACCATGAAAAAGAAAAAAACAGGGACACTCAGCTACTGATCAGCAGAAATTTCTGCACATGTAATCACACAAACCCTAAAAATAATCATATTGTGATTGTGATATTATAAACATTTTAAACACTGCAGAAGCATTAAAAAACATTAGAAAACAACGATTACAAGGCCTGTGTAAGTCCTATAATGTACATTACAGTCTTGTGTAAAAGGTCCACTTTAACCAGATCAAAATAGACCAGGAAAGCATTTAAAGTGAAAAAAGATTTTAGGGGCATAATCGAGTAGTGAACAAAATAGATGCGGCAGTGGTCTTCACACTCCACGTGCATTCAGACATGGATTACAACATAACATGGGTACTAATCATGTATTAGATATTTTATGCTATCTTCTGTGTTAGGATATAGTCAACTTACTATATGTACAGACAGGCCTGGTGCAAGGATTTTTGCCGCCCTGGGCAAAATAAAAATTTGCCGTCCCCCTCCCCCCATGTGACATCACAATGCCCCACCCATATGATCTGCCATATGAACTAATTCCAGTGCTGCACACAGTGTGTTGTTACATTAAAAAAGCCTGCAGGGACCGGCTATAGACACCAGAACCACTACAGTAAGCTGCAGTGGTTCTGGGGACTATAGTGTCCCTTTAATGTGAGGTAAATTAGAGATTTGTGCCACAAATAATATACTAGATTGCCTACTTACAACCAGATGAGGATGGGCTCTGACTGCAGTCTGGCTCCACTGGTCTGGTGTAGAATAGGCTCTCTGGCGGCTGTTTGTAACTGTGGTCACAAAAGTCAATGTTCTGGGGGAACGTGAAGCAGCTCCATTTTTTGGGGCCCCTTGCACAGCTCAAGGTCTGGGCCCCAGGGCATGACGGTCAGTATGCCCATAAGGCCCACTCATAAGTCCACTTATATGTTCCACCCACCCATGAATTCGCTCACAGGGAGTGGAGTGTGTAGGGGATGTGTTATGTGTTAGAGTAGAGGATCTAAAGTGTGTGCTTATGGAATGTAGTGTATAAGGATACCATTTTGTGTAGGTGATGCAGTGTGTGTGTAGTGGATGCAGTGTGTTTTTGTGTAAGGGATAGAAAGCAGTGTGTGTTTGTGTGTAAGGGATGTATTGTGTGTTTCTGGTTGTGTTAAAGGGATACATTGTGTGAATCTGTGTTTGTATGTGTAAGGGATGCAAGGTGTGTTCCTGTGTATGTAAGGGATGCAGTGTGTGTGTGTGTCTGTAAGGGGTGCTTTGAGTGTGTGTGTAAGAGATGCATTGTGTTTTTTTGTTTGTGTGTAAGAGAAGCAGTGTGGATGTTGTGTGTGTGTGTGTGTTTGTGTTTAAGGGATGCATTGTGTGTCTCTGTGTATGTGTGCAAGGGATGCATTGTCTTTGTGTGTAATTGATGCATTGTATGTTTCTCTGTATGTAAGGGAAGCATGGTGTGTTTCTGTGTGTGTAGGGATGCATTGTGTGTTTCTGTGTATGTATAGGGAAGTATTGTGTGTGTAGTGTGAAAGAGAGAGTTTGTGGGGTAGGATAGGGGCAGAGTCCTACCTGACCCTTTGTGCTTCTCTTTCCCCCCTTCCTCAGCATCTCTCCCCTCTTGTCCCTTACTCCTCTCCCTCCTGTCCCTTAGATCTCTCCCCTGCCCCACTGTCCCTTAGTGATCTCCTCTCCTCCTTTCCCATACTGCTCTCCCCTCCTGTCCCTTAGAGCTCTCCCCTCCTCTCTCCAAGTGCTCTCTCCTACCCTCTCCCACCCCATTAGTGGTCTCTCCTCTCTCCCCCCTCAGTGGTCTCTACTGTCCTCTCCTGCCTCCCTTAGTGTACCCTCCTCTTCTCCCCCCTTTCCATTAGTGATCTCTCCTCTCCCCCATCCCCTTAGTTGTCTCTGCTCTCCTCTGTCTCCCCCTAGTGTCTCTCTCCCCTTTCCATTAGTCATCTCTTCCCTCCTCCCCCTTTCCATTAGTGGTCTCTCCTCTCCCTCCTCCCCTGGTGGCCTCTTCTCTCCCCCTCATTGTCTCTCCTACCCCCACCCTTAGTGTTCTCTCCTCTCCACCCTCCCCCGTAGTGGTCTCTCCTCTCACCCTTAGTGGTCTCTTCTTACCCATCCTCCACCCCCTTCTCTCGTTAGTTATCTCTCCTCACCCCACTCCCTTAGTGGTCTCTTCAGCCCCCCCATGGGGTCTCTTCTCCACCACTCACCTTCCATTGTGGTCTTTCCCCCACCCCCCTCCCCTCAGTGGTCTCACCCCCCATCTCCTACCCAGTATAGCGTGGCCAAGCTCCTGTCAGGTCCGCTGTACATGAGTTTCTGTTTCCTGTACCCAGCCGGACTGACAGGAAGTGCTCACTCAGTGGACCACGGACCGGAGCTTGGCCACGCTACACTGAAGGACTGGCAGGAGGGAGCACTGTGCGCTTCCCTCCTGCTGATCCCTCATATCTTGCACCCCTGGGCCGGTGCGCCCTCATGGATGCACCAGCCCAGGCACAGCATGAGGGGGGGCCATCGCTCCAGGCGGCGCCCCTTCCTAAGGGGCGCCCTAGGCGACTGCCTAAGTCACTTACAGGAAGCGCCGGCCCTGTGTACAGAACATTCATGCAAACTTCTTGAATTAAATGGGGGAATAATGGCTCCTTTAAATAGAGCTTCACTATCGTGACAATGTAAATGGCAGTTCAAACTGTTTGCAAGGAGTTGGAACATTCTATTGTTTTAAATGGTTATCTGTGCACTGTCAGAGCACTACCACAATTATTTTCTTTAAATAAACTACATTTATTTACCCATTGGTAAATAAACCCATTGGTTTTACCCAATTATTTCAGTTATCTTTTTTTTTTGTGCAACTCAGTGTATTCCTGGCCCTATTTAGTCCCCCTGCCCCTCCTTTGTCCCCCATAAAAAGGATACAAACTCATCTTATTTCACCAGACTTGAAGATCTCAGCCAATTAAAATGCTTTCCTATAGGAAAGCATTTACTTGGCTAAGATGATCAACTCTGATATTGTCAGCCAAGAAGGTGGACCAGAGGGTGGAGCCAAACACAACCCAGGCTAATCAGCATCTCCTCATAGTGATGGGGAATATTTAGCATCTCCATGCAGATCGTGGAGATGCTAAACATCAGTGCTGTACACTGTGCAGTACTGCCCCAGGAAGCATCTCTAGTGACCTTGTGAGGAGTGGCCACTGGAGGTATCCTCAGCTGTAATGTAAACACTGCATTTTCTCTGTTTACAGCAATATGCTAGCAGGACTGACTATGCTCATCAGAACAACTACATTAAGCTGTAGTTGTTTTGGTGACTATAGTGACCCTTTAAGAAACTGAATAAATATACTAGAAAACTATAATACACAGCATAGCTTGACCCATTGATAGATAAATAAAACAAGATATTACAATGTTCTTTCTGCATAGTAACATTATTCTGGTGATTCATTGTATACGGTGTGAGATTTTTTAGATGGTTGCCATTTTCATGTTGTGTAGATCTAAAGGTTAGTTAAGCAGTTCTTGGATTTAAAAAACCCCAACAACAATAAACAGGACAGTAGAAAAATTAAAATAATGAAAACATAATACTTAAAAACTTTATATTTAAAGAAAATATATACAATCATAAATGCTGTTCTTTTGCAAATAAAATGTAACAGAGATTCTACAATGATTTATTGTAGAAAGAAAGGAACAAGGGTGTTACATGATTGTATTTGTTTTCTTACAGCTTTTATCAGTGTTGCGGGTGATGCAAGTTCCAAATCAGTTGTTTCAAAGACAATTTTCAGGTTTTCTGAAACGTCCAGGCGGTCTCCGTTGCTTAACTGTAGTACCTTGGTAAAAATGTTATTTAGAAAATTCATGTCATATTTTATGTTTTAACTTCATAAAGGTTAGGTTATATCGGTTGTATTGTCTCTTGTTAATGCTTCCATGTAATGTATTCTACCATAGATGCAAAGAGACAGTAAATAAAAGATTTGAAAAAAAACAAAAAAAAACGGTTTTGTTCACTAAACAGTGGGACTTTGGGACTTGAGTCTTGTTATAAGGACATCTGACCTATCAATATTTTTTATAAAACTTTCAAATAGATCATCTTACATGGAATTTCTCTGTTATATACCCAAACAAGCATCAGCGTACCAGAGGCATCATGGGGCAGAAAAGCTGTCCATTTGTGGAAGTGCAGTGAAAATGTGGATGGTGTTTACTTTTGCTTTTTTAAGCCCAGTAAATGCTTAAATAGCATTCACTGGGTTAAAATTGGGACATGTCACTTTTGTTGAAGTGAAATTATCTGCTGTATTAAACAGATTGTTGCACTGAGCACTTAGTATTGTATTCATTTGTTGTTGTTTTTCTTGTCAATTAATTTATCCACATCCTGACTGACTTCTAGTAAGTTTATACCTTTTTTGAAGGCATTAATAATGACAATTTTATTTTCTCACTAATCTCAAAATTGTAGCAAACTGAAATGTGAGTGGCATAAGTGGATAATAACAGAGTACAATTAAACATGTTTAGCTTGATAATTGTGTCCAAATATGTGTTCTATCTGTCAAGAGAACTGTTGCTCTGTAGTTTTGCAACAAAAGTCTTTCCATACGGACATTTTTATGTATATATGTTTACAAATGTAATGTTACCTTCTCTTGTCCTAAAACACTGTTAAAATTATCAGCCCAACTGGAGCCCAAATGTCCATCAAACCAGATCCATGTATTGCTGTGATTCTAAAAATGAATGAAACATTATTTGCAACACTGGGTATTTTAACAGTTATTAGTATTATTAATTATAACTTACTTAAAAGTGCACTTTTAAAATTGTTTTGCACAAGAATCAAATAGCATTCTTAATAGCATTCTTAACAATGGATTTGCTATACATACATATGTCATAGGTATATTTTCTGTTTTATAATTGTGTTTTAGTAATGCTAAGTAGATGCAAGCAACAAGAACTAATAATTAAGAAAAAACCATTTATGTTTACAAAAAAAAATAAAAAAAAAATAGCTGCCTGATGCCACAGCGATATATGTATGTATGATCTGAAAAACCATATAAAAAGATTCTGAAATGTACCCCATTATTTGTGCCTAGAATAGGTGTTTAAAAAAAATAATAATAATACAATTAGCCAGTTTTGAAGTAGACGTTTAGAAGAGAAGTGAGTGCACTGGATCTTGTGTAGTTTACAAAAATATTTTTATAATCTTGTTGCTTGCGGACTCCTGTTTGACTTCTCGTTCAACCAAATGCTTCTCTATTAGAAGCATTGATTGAATATTCAACATACTCAGTCAATGCATGGGGACATCGAACATCAAGAACTGAGTCTGACCCTATATCATTGCAGAAACACTAACAGCTACTAGAGTAGTTTAACCCTTCAATGTAAACATGGCGTACATCTAAACAGGTTTTACATTACGGGAGCATAACACCAGGGCCACTACACACAGATGACTTTACTGAGGAAAAAACAACTTTTTGTGGGCAGTCATCTAAGGTATAATGAATACAATGTGCCCACTGGAATAGCAAGGGGACAACATTTTATATTTTGACCCAGGGGCTAGGAATCAATGCTATAGAGAAACACTATACTCTAAGATGAATGCCTGGAAAAAAGAGGCTTTGCAAATCCACAAGTAGTGATATAATGGGCATATATTGTTTGAATTGGTAAGAACATAGCCCTGACTGCCTTGATATGTTGCTATAATTTTTAAAACTGAAATATTTACCCAGATTGCCTTCTTCCATGCATAGGTAACAACACCATCCTGCCAAACATGTGATGGTTTCTGGACACCAAACATCAAGGTATCACTATCCACGCTTAGAGGGTTAATTTTCACCAGCTTGTGAACAGACTCCTCTGTTGAGACATGATTCAAAGCCTGCACAAGGGCCCTGATGCATGAGCTTTTCCCAGAGGCTGGATGCCCTGCTACAATAATACCTGGAAAGTGGAAATAAATTATGACATGACATTGTAACAAGAAAGAACCTAATTATGTAATCAAGTGAGGATCCTCAGCCACCAAAACAACTTTCATTATGAAATTATTTATTTTTTCTTCTGGACCACACAAGCAAATAATCAGTTTCCTTTGTATATGAAATATTGATTGTAAAATCTGTTTACCAGTGTTTACTAGTGATAGGTTGAAAAGTTGTTTGACTTTATTCAGCCATGGAGAGTGAGGAAATAATTTGCTTTCTTCTGCTTTCACCAAAATGGCTCGTTCTAATTCCTTGTGTGATATTTGTAGCACTCCTGATGTGTCGTGCATTCCCATAAACACATCTCCAATAATGTGCTTGAACACCAAAGAACTCTGTAAAAGAAATTCAAATGTATGTCACTCTGTATGCTAGTGAGTATTTGGCTCTGCCTTATGTAATTATGTACACCCTACAACATGTAGCAAGAAAATGGCCAAATGTTTGTAACCAGGATGAAATATGCTTACATCATTTTGTCAGTGAATTGCACTGTGTAATATCAGTGATTCACATAGCTTCTGTTTTCCTTAAAGCAACACTATAGTTTCCCTCTGCCCTGAAGGTCTTTTCTCATCTAACCCACCAGGTAAAGGGTAACAAATAACCTTTAAACACTTGCCTGATGCCAGCACCGAGGGACCTTAGTGCTGACTCCATCTCCTCATCCGACATCAGCCAGGGGGGACCTATTGCACATGTGTGGCAATGCTGTGCATTAGGCCTTCCCTGTAGGAAAGCATTTAACCAGTGCTTTTCTAAGGGGGATTTCATGACGCTGGGCGTCCTCATGCGAAGCGTAGTTAAACTATTTGAAAGAGCAGGAAGCACCTCTAGTTGCTGTTTGGTAGACAGTCACTAGAGGCAGTCTTAACCCTGCAATGTAAAGATTTAGTTTCTCTGAAAGACTGCAAGACTAAGGGGACAGTGACAATGAAACTAGAACCACAGCAATGAGATGAAATGGTCTGGGTCTGTAGTGTCACTTTATTCATATTATTAAGTTGTAGAGAGGCAAGTGCCTTTGTGTAAAATATACAATGTTTAAGATAAGTTTGATTGAGGACAAACTTGCTAACTTGCTTTATAAAATCCCATCATTTGAAAGAATTGGACATTTACAGGGTTATTCACAAAAGTAGTGAATTAGTAGTGAATTTCACATTTAAGGTAAAAATAGCTGAAATGGAAGTTAGTTATCTTTACATTTGGCTACTCTGTCCTTAAAGGACCACTATAGTGCCAGGAAAACAAACTCGTTTTCCTGGCACTATAGTTTTAATAGGTCCCCCCCACCCTCATGGCCCCCCTCCCGCCGGGCTCTTGGGGGAGGAAGGGGTTAAAGGCTTACCTTTCTCCAGCGCCGGGCTCCCTGCCTGTGATAATAACATTAACCCATTGTGTAAGGTAATTGTATCATAGGCAGAGGGGAGGATTTTGTGTGGGAGTGTCTGAGTGTATTGTACGTGTTTATTGGTTGTTTTACAAAACCCTGTGGGTGGTACTAATGTGTAACAATAAACCCACAGCTCTGGCAGTTCTACTTCACCCTCAATTTGGAGTGCTACAAGGGATTGCTGTGCTTGTCATACTCCCTTGCTATATCACTACTAAGCTCTTGTAAGAGCTTGTTCCTGCCTTGCTCTCTGGAGGAGTCTACGGTGGTTATGGTGTCTGCTGCAGTGCTTGGAGTCCTCAGGAAGCGCTAGGAGCATCCATCAATGGAGGTACCAAGTCAGGGTGCCAGGTGATCCGTTACAGCTACCACGAATTGTTTAAATTGCAGACATAGACTCTTTTTCTCTATTTTTTTTCTTGCAGATTCTCAATATAAGAAATTTGAGTAAAGGGCTTCTTGGGGGTCAAAGTAACCCAAAAAGATGTTTTACATAATTTATTTTAGTATTATTATTACAATTGAAGATGCCTGAGTTTTATGATTAAAAAATAGGTCATGTAATGTCATGTAAATAATGTGGATCCCTGTAAAAAAGCTAATATCAGCAATGCAATAATATGATTAACCATCTCTGCTTTTAGTGACTCTTCATCTTACATGGTCAGCCATTCGAGGTCCTATTACATCTTGCAGTGCGTCAGCTATCAATGCATGGCTTTCCTTTGCAGCCACTAGAGCTGGGTTAGAAGAGTTGGACTTCCTGTTTCTGTCAGTACTGTTACCAGTTTTTAAACTGGGTGCTGGACCTAAAATGGAAACATTGTTATACAATTTATCAGCTTCACTGTGAATGAACTCATTCTAACTTGCCAAACGCAAATAGTACACTGAGTTGCTATTTTATCTTTTGTCTATTAGTAGTTACGGTTCAGCAAAATGACTCAATGTGGCAGCACTTATTACGCAAGATTTCATACAGCTCACCACTGTCTTCAGTGGGAGCTTCTTCCAGGCCAATGCTATTTTATTAACAAGGGTACCAGGGCTGCACCACTGTAGCAATATATACAACATCCAGGAAGATCCCCAAAATGCAGTGTATTGGTGGCATAGGAAGTGAAATATATTGGGTGCCTTCCCAGTGCTGGAACATGACAATACGTGCATATGGTGGATGGTAAGATACCATGACTATGCTAGGAGCAGGAAGATTTTCCTCTGATCTTACTTCATACAGAAAAAATACTTTGAAATATGCATGTATGGTTTAAGGAATTAATGTCGAATGACGAAAACATAGACAATACTATTAGCCATTAAAAGGTCATTATAGGCACCCAAACAACATTAGCTTAATAAAGTAGTTTTAGCGTATATATCATGATTTTTAAGTCTCACTGCTAAATTATCTGCCATTTAGGAGTCACTTTTTATACAATCCTGAACACATATCCCTCAATTTGACTTGTACATCTTAATAATAACAATATTGGTGTCCTTCTTTGAGTTCAGATGTTCTACCATATGTGAGGGTTTGTATTATTTGGGCCATGACCAAAACCTCACATCAATTACCTTGCGTCCTATTCCTAAAGTGACTTGGTCCCACATGGCTATCGACTTCATTGGAGATTTACCTCCATCAAAAGAGAACACTACAATCCAAACAGTGGTGGATCGTTTTTTAAAATGGTCCACTTGATTCCACTTCCTAAAATACCTATGTCAGCAGAACTAGTTTCATATAGTTATGAATATAAATATACAGGCTACATATACTCCCTCAGGAAATTGTGATTGATAGGGGTACACAGTTTATATCCATTCTAGAGGAAGTTCTGTTTTGAACTAGGAATTTCATTGTCATTTTCATCCTCATATCATCCTCAAACAAATGGGGCAGCAGAAAGAGCTAACTAATCGTTAGGAGCATTCTTGCAAGGTTTTATATCTCATAATCAGGACAATTGGTCTGACCTTTTCCCTGGTGTAGAATTGGCCAGCAATAACACAACACACAACTCTTCCTGAAACAGTTCTTTCTACACTGCCTCTGGTATTATTATTATTATTTATATAGCGCCAACAGGTTCCGTAGCGCTGCACAATGTGTAGACTAACAGACACGTATTTGTAACAAGAATAATAAGTATATTATTGTTGTATGTTGTGGATATTTTTATACTTATTATTATTCTTACTGTGTGTTAAAGGTCTGTTCCCTTGGGTGTCAACACTAAAGTGTGCAGCAGCATATTTATATTTCTTATCACTATAAAGTAATATTCACATTAATCACAATTGCTTGTTCAGAGGACTTCCTACCCTGTTTTTGCCTTTTGAATGCCTGTTTTTTAGCGCTTTTATCGCTTATTATTTTGTATTTGTTACAAGACAAGTTTGACACACAGGAAGTGAGGGACTGACCCTGCTCAATGAGCTTTCATGCTAGAGGGAGTGGGGTATAGTGACACAAAAGGTAAGGATAGAAAAGTAGGTTGCTAAGATAGTATTCACTGAGGGCTCAGTGTTTTGTTTTGATGACAGTTTCAGGGGAGGAATCAGGGTGCTGGGAGAGAAAGCTGTTCACAGTTTAATTATTATTATTTTATTATTTATATAGCGCCATCACATTCCGTAGCGCTGTACATTGGGTGAACTAACAGACATGTAATTATAACCAGACAATTGGACGTACAGGAACAGAGAGGTGGAGGGCCCTGCCCTATGAGCTTAATTGATACGCTTTCCTAAAGAAGTACATTTTCAAAGATTTTTTGAAGGAGTGGAGACTAGGTGAGAGTCTAACAGAGAGGGTAAGGGCATTCCATAGAAACGGTGCAGCCCTAGAGACGTTTTTAAGGTGAGCATCAGAGGTAGGAGTACGTACAGAGATTAGATGCAGGTCTCCGGCAGAGCTTAGGGCCTAGATGGGACATAATTGTGTATTAGTGAGGATAGGTGGGTGGGAGCAGCATTGTGTAGAGATTTGTAAGCAAGTGTCAGGATCTTAAATTGAGCCCTATATCTTACAGGATGACAATGGTGGGACAGACAAAGGGGGGAGGCATGAGAGGTGCAGGCGGACAGGAAGATGAGCCTCACTTCTGCATTCATTAAAGACTGTAACGGGGCAAGTTAGGAACACATAAGACCACTGGGAAGTGGATTACAGTAGTCAAGGCGAGAGAGGACAGCAGCATGGACAAGCACCTTTGCAGTATCAGGCGTTAAATAGTGTCGGATGCATGCAATGTTTTTGAGATGGAAGCGGCAGGACTTGGCAATCAATTGGACATGAGAGGTGAAGGAGAGGTTGGAGTAGCCTCCCTTCTGTTATTTCTTCTAAGTAAGAGAAGGTTATTCTGAAAGTAAGAGTTACACGGCCCCATAGGTCTTACCCATAATTCCGTTCACATGCATGCATCATCACATTGATGTCGCGCACGCACCTTCCAACGTCAAGTGCCCTGTCATGGTTTCCTGTTTGGTTATCTGAGAGCATGCTATTTGTATTAATTCTTGTGTATTTTTTACCTTGGCTTGTACTTTGACTATTCTGACTTTTATATCCCTTGAGCTTTGGTTTGTCTAATGTTTACATACCTTCTACTCCCATGACCTCAGCTTGTCCTGTACTTTTCTATTATTAATGTCAAAGTCTGGTTATACATTTTAGCATTTCTGGTTCATATATTTAGTTTATTTAAGTTCTGTGTGTTGGGTATTAGACTATCCTGACACTTCTAAAGCAAGTTAACATCTGATTGAATGGGAAACCATTTTTTCATGCAGGCTGTGTCAGTCATAGCTAGGGGAGGTGCGGTTAAGGCTGCATAAACAGAAACAAAAGTGATCTAACTCCTAAATGGCAGATAATTTAGCTGGGAAACTGCAGGGACATGATCTATACACCAAAACTGCTTTATTACGCCAAAGTTGTTTTGATGCTTGTAGTTTCCTTTTAATTTAGAAAGAGAACTTCACATACTTGATACATTTGTGAAATGCTGGTAAGATGCAACACTACTAGAACGAGACAGCCTTCCTCCTTCTAAATCCCAACGGCTGGACTGGCCATTCGTTATCTTCTCCAGCTCACGCCTTTGGCACGCTCTGTATATAACTTCAGTCATGGACTTGAAGCTAAAATGGTGGTGATATTCCTCAGGACTTCAAGAGAAAAACAATGATAAATAATACAAAAATGAACACTCTGGTAACTGTTTAAAAGTATATAATATCTGAACAGGGATTGTATATTGCTCATCTCAGATTTCAACACATTTTCCCTAAATCAGTGGTTCCCAACCAGGCATCAAGTACAACAACAGAATTGGAAACGTCTAAGGATATCAAATTATGGAGCTATCTAGTAAACAGCTGAAAGAGCAAAAATAGGAAACGCCATTGCTTTTTCAGTTGCTTACTAGATAAGTTCCTAATTTGGTACCGTTAATTATGGAAATGCCACATAAGGACAGGATACCAAATTCGAGAACTATCTGGTAAACAGCTGAAAGCACAAATAAGAAAAGTATTTTTTTTTAATGCTCTTTCACTTGCTTGCCAAAATTGGGGCATAAATTCGTCAGAAATTTGATGTGCCCAAATGCATATCTACCATAGACTGTGAGTTTGTTTTGACTGTAGTTGAAATAAACATAACTTTTTTTACGCACATGGCTGTAAGCATTCTAATGTTGTAATTACGAAGAAGAAAAATGTGTGTATTTATATAAACATCTTACATGTTCCATAGCTCATTTACCAGACTCAAATATTCTCAAATTCTTATTTTGATTTGCATGAAGTATTGTTATATATAGACTTAATTCAAAGTAAAAAGTCTGAACAAAAAGTACAATGTAAAAAGTGATAACAAATATAATAGAATGCAAAATACTAACAGCTGTTCCTTTAACAGTTCTGAAATGAGTTGGAGTCTAGTGGCAAGGGCTTTGGTGTTCTTGAAGCCAAGGCTTGTGAGTCTGGCCTTTAAAAGGACAGTGTGATTGGGCACAACCAGTGAGACTGCTCTGAAGACAGCCTGCATGTGACTTGATAGATCCTGACACCCAGAACTCCCTGATACTGTAAGAAACAAGCTGCAGTTTGGGTTCGGCACAATCTATGGAAACACAGAAAGATAAAATTAGTAGATTTCACAATTTCCATAACATCTCTTTTAATGTAATATGCATCATCCAAAAAATATATATATATGAATACCGCACTCAATGTTGTAAAATAATCAACCGTAGGTAAAAAGGTACTGTAATTGAATTTATTATTTTTTTATTTATTTTTTTCTTCAATGTCTAGGTATATAACTTAATATGTGAGATTATGATTTGATCAAAAGAATATATTACATCATATAGTCAATTGCTATTTACAAAAATAACCTCCATAGGTATTATATAGATAAATAATCGATATGTTGTAAGTATTCCTGTTTGCAAATCTAAGGAAAACCTATCCATATGGATAGTAGTTGAATCTGTGGTGTTCTATGTACATAGAAAAAAGAAAAAATGAAAAAAATGAAAAATGAAAGAAATATGTAAAAAATGAAAAAAATGAAGAAAAATTTGAAAAAATATAAAAAAAGAAAAAAATAAATAAAAAGTATACATATAATAAATGTCCTGATGTACAATAGTCCAGAGAATAGTGCACTTTAGATAATAAATAGGTGGATCTCACCAAGTTGGATATCCAGATGGATTGTAGCCTTAGTAGCAACTGGAAAAAATGAAGACTCTGTGAAGAATGGAGAAGTGTCTATTGGAGGGTTTTTAAACCTGCTAAATTCCTGTTGTGCGCTGAAAAGAGGACTCAATAAAGGTGTCAGATGTGGTCCTCGTATGTCACCCTCAAAGTCGTTGCTGCTATGTATCAGATCGGAGTTATCCGCAATGAGAGTGCCGTCACAGTACATGGGCTGCGCGCTCGGGACATCCCCAGGGGCCTTCGAAGGGACGTGGATGTCCCGAGCGCGCAGCCCATGTACTGTGACGGCACTCTCATTGCGGATAACTCCGATCTGATACATAGCAGCAACGACTTTGAGGGTGACAAAAGTGCACTATTCTCTGGACTATTGTACATCAGGACATTTATTATATGTATACTTTTTATTTATTTTTTTATTTTTTTATATTTTTTCAAATTTTTCTTCATTTTTTTCATTTTTTACATATTTCTTTCATTTTTCATTTTTTTCATTTTTTCTTTTTTCTATGTACATAGAACACCACAGATTCAACTACTATCCATATGGATAGGTTTTCCTTAGATTTGCAAACAGGAATACTTACAACTGTGTTTATATATCGATTATTTATCTATATAACACCTATGGAGGTTATTTTTGTAAATAGCAATTGACTATATGATGTAATATATTCTTTTGATCAAATCATGATCTCACATATTAAGTTATATACCTAGACATTGAAGAAAAAAATTAATAAAAAAATAATAAATTCAATTACAGTACCTTTTTACCTACGGTTGATTATTTTACAACATTGAGTGCGGTATTCATATATATATATTTTTTGTATGATATTTATGGGGCTTTTTTAGGGATAACCTCGAATACCAGCACCACCTATGTGATTGAGTGCCAGCATAAATTATCTTTTTTTAATATGCATCATCATTGACTACAGAGTTATTATATTGGTTCTCAATTATTTACATAATTAACTTGGTTTCTCACCATATCTGCTACTTTTGTGACAATATTCATAACACCATATACAGTGCTGAATTTAAAAAACTTCATGGGCAAAGAGCAGAACCGTTTATGGGCTAATGAAACAAGTGAATTTACATACTAATTGTCAGAGACATTAATTAGATTAAATGACCACAAAAAATCACCCAAACACTTCATCTTAATGAAATGGTCTTGGTGCAAGGGTCCTGTCATTTTAACCCTATAATGTAAAACACTGCATTCTTTTTAGAAAAGGTAATCTTTACATTGCAGAGTTAAATTCACCCCTATTGGCTGTCTTCTACATAGCCACTAGAGTCACTTCCACTGCACTGACCAAATAAAGCTAGTGATGTAATGTTCACGAAAAGACCATCTTTGTTTTCTTACATATGCACAGGCACATTTTAATAAGCACTAGATATGTTGAACACAAGTAGATTTTTAAATTGTAAATAATATAATAACTGTTATAGATTATATTTTGACATATAGCAAACCTAATGCTAATTTACTTAGAATCTAAATTCTACCTAATGTGTGCTTGAAATGTTACATATCTGGTCTTTCTATTATGAACATAACCTCAAAGCCAGATACCAAGCACTGTACAGTATGAGTACTATGCCGTGACTGGTAAAAAAATATTAATACATAAGAGACAATTCCAATAAACAAGTGGAAAATAGAATAAATTAAAAAATAAAAGATGTATATTGTGGCTGTTTAGCCTGATAAAGAGGCAGAAACTGACATTTTTGGCTATTTTGGCATTAAATTTGGAAATTCACTTTGTACTCCTGACAATTCTTACTTTAGTGAATAACCCTGCTATTGTTGTGATTCTGGGGGTGGACATTTCTGGTTTATTTGAAAATGATATGAGATTGAGTACTTGCCTTCTCAATCCTTTTTTTTTTTTTTAATTAATTAAATTTTTTACTCATTAGCAAGAGTAAATAAAGCTTATTTGTAGCATTTTTTTTAATAAAAACTGCCTTCTCAATCCTTATTGCTATTTTATTTTCATTTTATAACCGAATCCACTTGATATTCACTCTCTCAATTATTTCTATATATTTTCACTTTAAACCCAAATAATCTCTCATTTCCATGATAAATTCACAAGCACCAAACGTTAAAGTAGGTCATGCAATAATATTTTAAACATATGTTCACATTTATAGATCCAATGAAGTGATTCAAACCTTATATTCATCTTGTAAACCATTCTTATCGAGCGTAGCTTTCAAAGAGTCATAGAGTTCACTGGCACCATGCATGAAAACAGACACAGTATTCTTAGAAAGCAGATCAAAATCATCAAAGCAGCTCCAACATCCGTCCTATGTATCAAATGCAGGGAGACATGCAGAATTCACTTGCTGTACGTTTAAGACAATATATCTGTTCATTAAATTTAGTGATGTATACAGAAATAAATGGCATACAAAGCTATATATATAACGAGACAATGTTTCAAGCCATCTGTTCAATACTTGACGGCCTATTAGTGTCAAGAGTGGTATTAAAGGTTAGGTCACAGCTTCTTCATTTGATTTTATTTCTTTAAAATCTAGATGAAATGTATTTTCCCCTGTATACTGCACATTGTATAGTGATGCTATGGTCTATCTTTAGTATCCATCTGAAGTTTTCGTATGAGGGACCATAAAACAGCCCCATGATTTATATTGCATGTGGTTAAAGGGACACTATAGCCATCAGAACAACTCCAGCTTAATGTAATTGTTCTGGTGTATATAGTGTGTTTCTAAAGTATTTTTTATGTAAACACTACAATTAACAGAAAAGGCATAGTCACTGAGACGGCCACTAGAGGTTCTATCTGGGTCAGCGCTGAAAGCAAACAATATGTACTTGTATTCACTACTTCCTCCTTAAGCTTGTGAAATATTTTACAAGCAAACTAACATTACAAAGCAAACATTACATTAATGATGTATAAAGGTGAAATTGATTTGTAAACGAAGTATACGTTTATTCATGAAATTGGTATTTAACCCCTTAAGGACACATGACATGTGTGACATGTCATGATTCCCTTTTATTCCAGAAATTTGGTCCATAAGGGGTTAAAGATGTTTGACCAATCTATATGCTGACATGAAACGAACCGTTGTAATGAGTACTGAAGTATTAGAAACCATACTACAGGTCCTACAACAGTTCACAATATAAAGGAGTGCTGGACACTCTTTATTTGTTCTGGATTTGTATCTGGTACATGGGTATGTTTTCTGCCTCCTAACATGTGCTATGCACTAGAGATACTCTTGTCCTTGCACTCCAAAATGAAGGTGAAGCCACAATTCCCCAAAATGCACTCCTGATGTTTAAATTTGTCTCACTGCAACTATTTAACATGAATTCTAATAAGCACCTATAGTGTTCCTCAGCGAGTATTTCAATTAAATTAGCTTGTCAATCAATCAGCAATGCACAACTGATTATCAGATGGTGGATGATAAAAGCATTATGTAAATGAGCAGTCTCATTTAGTACCATGTCAGCTGTTGTAGTTCATTCATTCCATTTTTTGGGGGCGGGGGTTTCCTTGCAACCATTAAATAACTTTTAGATACTCACAGCAGCAGTTCCAGTTAGCACTCTTCTAATAGCAGATGCCTCCGTTGTTGATGAGCATGTGAAGAAGAAGAGGAACTTTCCCAATAAATAGGCGAGGCCCTGGGGTAAATCACAACAAAATTGGATTAGTTTGTTTCATTGACTTAAACAGATTCTCATCTCCATCCTTAAAATATAAAATATTATATAAACATGTTAACTATTACATAGGGTTGAATGAAAAAGGTAATCAACTCTAGAGTATTTTGAAATATAATAGTTTTAAATATGTAATGCCTATTACTTATTGTTTCTTCTGTATCTTAACAGAAGCCTTTGTGCTTCCATTTTGACACTGAACTCAGAACTTACACTTTAACCTCTTTTTATGCTGACTGAAGTTATATAGAACTCTGGCTGCTTTTCATGACTGTGGCAACTTGTGTTTATGCAAAAAGGGGAACTATCAGGCTGTTGGTTTGTGTGTGTGTGTGTGTGTGTGTAGCTGCAGAGCATATGGTCAGCCTAGATGCAGAATATATGTATGTCTGTCTTGTTTTGTTTCCTTTTATTATTATTATTACTATGTACATAGAGCCAACATATTCCGCAGTGCTGTATAATTATAGAAAGGGGATATTTAAAGGCCCTGCTCTTAAAGTGTGCAATCTATGGGGATTTGCGGTAGGCAGATATATATTGTTGGTGTCTTACCCAAGGACAGTTACTGGCAAGGGGTACAGGGATTTATATCAATGATGAAGGAAAGATTGCACAAAATACACTTCAAAGGATGCCAACCAATACAATTTAACATGTCCAAAAATACATTTTATATTGCTGATGTCTGCAATATTAAGGGTGGAAATAGCAGCTGATGCTTAGATACTTTTAGGGAAACATTAGTTTTAGTCCTCAAGTTGTAATGCTGTGCTAAAACCATTATTTTAATTAATGCTGATCTACGAATCATGAGATATGACATAATTGGTTTTCATAGGCAATGCTTGTGGTTTTTGCTGTATAAATATTTGCAGAAGACCGCTTACTGCAGAGTTCTAACTAGTATCTCTCCCCTCAGATCACATCATTTTCTTACTGTATTAATGATCATTAAACATAATTTTTTGTTGGAACCTCTGGTCTATAATTGTTGATGCTGTTCAGAGATACTTGTTGTCAACAAGGGTTACACCAGCCAAAAAACAATATTTTAATAAACCACTGGTTTTGGTTAGAGTAACTATTTCTGAGATGGTCTTTCCAACCCCCAAATTAAAACAAAAAAACTAAAACTGATCTTGATCCAGTACAGAGTCCAGGTTCTCCCTGTTGTCAGTTACTCCTTGCCTGACTTCACACCCTCGCACCGTGAGAGGAGGGATGGCCGGGAGCCTGCACTGGGGGGGGGGAGGGAGGACAGGAGCGGTACAGAGGTGGGCCAGTGCTGACATTGGTTGTCTGGGGCCAGCATGCACCAGATGCCAGTTTTGAACAGAATTTACAATTGCCAGCTTGGAACTTTGTTCTGGGATTGTTAATGATGCTGTCACAGGTGGGGTTACACCTTTGGCTAGTAAGGGATTCATTTCTATGTGTGCAGCATTTTAAAGCAACATACTGTACATACAGACTCTAGACACCATGCCACTTCAAATCTATAAGGTGTTCATGGTGCATGGAGTGACCTTTTAAAACAAAATTACAAAAATTTAGTGACAAGGATAACTGCATCATGTAATGATCATGAGGGTAGAAAAGCCATCTCGGGACACAGATCAGTTTGTGATAACAAGGAATATTGATTTAGAGACATTTGAGCTTACCACGGAGTCGTGTTACAGTATTATGGGATTCCTTGATCTTTAACATCAGAGGTTATTAAGGAATGATTTCTTCATTTAATGAATTAATAACATTAATAATGATTAATTACTAGCACTAGAGTTTAATTCAGGGTAAGGAATTATATATAACATATAATTTTATTTAAGACAAAAAAGACTTGCTGTGAGTACCTTTATTGTCTCTGATTTGCCAACTCCATGTTCTCCTTCTAAGACCACGCCACTTACTTGCTGAAGCATCTTAAAGACAAAATAACCCATTAGACACTCATGCTCAAGATGACACAAACATTTTCAAATCACTGTATTATTTAGAGGAGTGTTGAGCAACTCAAAAATAAATACACATCAAATTAATTGTTTTACCAAAAATGGGTCCTGTTTGTCTTAAATTAATCCTTCTCTCTTAGAATGATTTTTAGTTTTTAGAAGTACCTTTAATGATAACCATTTTATAAAATATTGATTTGTTTATAACAAATAAAATAAAATCTATTTATGAAAACACAATCACGTTAGTTTTTTTAAATGTATTTGTTTTTTTTTTAAATTACAACTTTAAATACTCAGATCTTATTTTACATACAATATAAAATTATAATTTTGTTCAACACATCTAATACTTATTAAAATGTGTCTCGTTATATGTAGAAAAAGAAAGATGGTGTTTTTATGAATACAACATCGATAGTTACCTGTGATATTTTAAGGAAACATTTTTCAGTTACAGGATTCATGATAATAGGGATCTGTGCTCCATAGAACTCACAACCATAGGTATACCAGGCATCAAGGATATTTATCTCATGTCTCTGTATACCATCTGTAAAAACATATACATATAGTATAAAGGGTCACTCAAAGCACAATCCAGGCACCACTATAACTTCAATACTTTTCACAAAATAAATTCTTTACTAGTCGTTCTTTGCTTATTCAACTCTGCCCCCTCTCCGCTTAGCATAGTTTTGAAATACCATGCAGATAAGAAGAGAACAGTGACTGACTATAGTGTTGGAGTCAGTAAAGCTTAACAGGTAGATGCTGAAAACTAAAAATGAGCAGATCTGGGTTGAACATTCCCAGTGGATATTTTTATTACTTAACATGTTAGTCTTTTTCTTGAACTATATTCAGGTCCTTCAAAAAAGAAGATTTTGAAAAACATAAGCAAGCCACTTTTTAATTGTTATACCTGTATATGACCCTCCAAATTCCTTGGCTATTATTAAATAGGTAAAATGGTCAGAAATATTGTAAGGCTCTCGTACAGTTATTAATCTTTCATGCTGTACACAATGTATGGCCAAGTATGAGTTTGTTTTTTTATCTACTAACAGGACCCCACCTATTTGTCTTTCGTATTTTTTTTTTATTTTTTTTTAAGAGGTGACTTATTGTGGGTCTCCTTCACTAATACATGAGTTCTGGGGTTTTATATTATACACTGCTCAAAAAAATAAAGGGAACACAAAAATAACACATCCTAGATCTGAATGAATTAAATATTCTTCTGAAATAGTTTGTTCTTTACATAGGTGAATGTGCTGACAACAAAATCACACAAAAATTAAAAAATGGGAATCACATTTTTCAACCCATGGAGGTCTGAATTTGGAGTCACACTCAAAATTAAAGTGGAAAAACACGCTACAGGCTGATCCAACTTTGATGTAATGTCCTTAAAACAAGTCAAAATGAGGCTCAGTAGTGTGTGTGGCCTCCACGTGCCTGTATGACCTCCCTACAACGCCTGTGCATGCTCCTGATGAGGTGGCGGATGGTCTCCTGAGGGATCTCCTCCCAGACCTGGACTAAAGCATCTGTCAACTCCTGGACAGTCTGTGGTGCAACGTGACGTTGGTGGATGGAGTGAGACATGATGTCCCAGATGTGCTCAATTGGATTCAGGTCTGGGGAACGGGCGGGCCAGTCCATAGCATCAATGCCATCGTCTTGCAGGAATTGCTGACACACTCCAGCCACATGAGGTCTAGCATTAGTAGGAACCCAGGGCCAACCGCACCAGCATATGGTCTCACAAGGGGTCTGAGGATCTCATCTCGGTACCTAATGGCAGTCAGGCTACCTATGGCAAGCACATGGAGGGCTGTGCGGCCCCCCAAAGAAATGGCACCCCACACCATTACTGACCCACTGCCAAATCGGTCATGCTGGAGGATGTTGCAGGCAGCAGAACATTCTTCACGGAGTCTCCAGACTGTCACGTCTGTCACATGTGCTCAGTGTGAACCTGCTTTCATCTGTGAAGAGCACAGGGCTCCAGTGGCGAATTTGCCAATCTTGGTGTTATCTGGCAAATGCCAAGCATCCTGCATAGTGTTGGGCTGTAAGCCCAACTCCCACCTGTGGACGTCAGGCCCTCATACCACCCTCGTGGAATCTGTTTCTGACCATTTGAGCAGACACATGAACATTTGTGGCCTGCTGGAGGTCATTTTGCAGGGCTGTGGCAGTGCTCCTCTTGTTCCTCCTTGCACAAAGGCGGAGGTAGCGGTCCTGCTGCTGGGTTGTTGCCCTCCTACGGCCACCTCCACGTCTCCTGATGTACTGGCCTGTCTCCTGGTAGCGCCTCCATGCTCTGGACAATACGCTGACAGACACAGCAAACCTTCTTTCCACAGCTCGCACTGATGTGCCATCCTGAATGAGCTGCACTATCTGAGTTGTAGACCCATGCTACTATTAGAGTGAAAGCACCGCCTGCATTCAAAAGTGACCAAAACATCAGCCAGGAAGCATAGGAACTGAGAAGTGGTCTGTGGTCACCACATGCAGAACCACTCCTTTATTGGGGGTGTCTTGCTAATTGCCCATAATTTCCACCTGTTGTCTATCCCATTTGCACAACAGCATGTGAAATTGATTGTCACTCAGTGTTGCTTCCTAAGTGGACAGGTTGATTTCACAGAAGTGTAATTGACTTGGAGTTACATTGTGTAGTTTAAGTGTTCCCTTTATTTTTTTGAGCAGTGTATATTCATTATATTTTTGTGGAATATTATGTTTTTCTGGGTAAGTTTCTGTAGTGCTAGCTGAGCTTACTAAATGAGAGGTTAGGGCTTGTAATTCTCTTCACATTTATCAAGATACGAGGGGCAAGTTAGAATGAACAATGGAACTGGATTTTTTTCTTTACTCAGTCTCCTTTTTAATCAGTGGTAAGGTGCTGAGGCGTGCTAAATAATTAAGGTCCTCATTATTTCATCAAAATGTATTTTCCTGCACACCACAGAGCTAAATCTATCCTGAAATCTGTAAAGGTCTTCTATAGCCATACTGAAGCTTTAAAATTCACTAATTAAAAAATATATTTCTGAACATAAGTGTAGACGCATAACTTATTACTCACCATCTTCCTTCAGATAAAATCGTGTGAGTTTTTGCCAATCAAAATCAGATGTATCAATGTTTTTTTGTGATAATAAGGTCTCCATGACATCACGTAGATGAAGGGATTGCTAGAATAAGAGAAAGACAATTAAACAGTTAGATTAAGGCCCACAGAGTCGGTTTCACCATTGTATAGTAGTGGTTTACGGTCTTAAAAACTTTGAAGTAAAGTGGCCACCAATGAAGAAACCTTTTAGGTGAAAATTAAAATCATGGATTTTAAATATGTTGTAAAAATAATAATTAGGTTAATTTAATATCATTAATATTTATAGTTGGTCAACATTTTACAGTTGATTGCTGAAGCTTCAAATCTAGATTTAAAGTAGGTGTTTTCATAAGGATAAGATTTAACAGTCTGTTACAGATGGTGTTGTTACCAGACTATATACCACACTTAATGTAAAACAAAATGTATCAATGTTTACTTTATGTAAAACAAAAAGGATCACTAAGCCAGGGCAGATTAGTACAGTAGAGTTTCATGGAATGATTTGAATGGGTTCATCTCTGAGATCAACAATAAATAATTTAAGTGAAAGCACAACTACCCAGTGCCATCTTAACAACATTATTGGCTCCCGGGCAAAGCAGTGCACTGGGGCCCTGCCTACACAACCAGTCACAGGAATAAAAATGTAAATTATCGATAAAATTACGCTTATATTTATTGGTACCTCCAACAAATGCAATACATTCATACATTACAAACACACAGACTGCTAAATACACACACAAGGACTGCTGAATATACACACACACACAGAATGCAGAATACACACAGGCTTCTGTATATACACACAGGCTGCTATATACAATCACAGGTCGCTGAATACATACACACAGCCTGCTAAATGCATGAACCGACTGTGTAATACACACACACAGACTGCAGAATACATGCAGACTGCTGAATAAATGCACTCAGACTGCTGAATACATACACTCAGACTGCTGAATACATACACACTCAGACTGCTGAATACATACACACACGGACTGCTGAATACATACAAACACAGACTGCTGAACATACACACACAGACTGCTGAAAACACACACACAAACTGCTGAATACACACAGACTGCTGAAGGGGTGCAGTGTGTGTGTGTAAGGGTTCCAGTGTGTGAGGGGTGCAGTGTGTGTGTGTGTGAGGACTGCAGTGGGTGTGGGGTGCTGTGTGTGTGTATGAGGACTGCAGTGGGTGTGGGGTGCTGTGTGTGTGTGTATGAGGGGTGCTGTGTGTGTGTGAGAAGGGTGCTGTGTTTGAGAGGGGTGCTGTGTGTGAGTGTGAGGGGTGCTCTGTGTGTGTGTGGGGGGGGGGGTACATAGGAAAAAGAGGTTGTTTGTTGGTTATTTTTATTTAAAATTAGTTTAAAAAAAACTTCATGTCCCCACCCTTCTTCTTACCTTTGGTGGGAGGGGGGACACTGCCAACCCTGGTGGTCCGGTGGTGAGTAGTAAGTAGTAAGTAGTAGTGGCTGTAGGCTGTCTTCCCTCATCCCGCAAGAGGAGAATGCTGTGTTGGAGCATTGCCACGGCAACGCGCGGCAACACTCAGACCAGCATGCTCGCGGGAGGAACTGCCTCCCAGGTTTTCTCTCCCTCCTGCCCTCCTTCTCTCTAATGAAGGACCTTTGGGCCGGTGAGGGAGATCTTTGACCTCCCCACCGTCCCGAGATGGCCCGAACCAAGCGAGCAGGGCCGGCTCTCCGTGGGCAGGCAGGGTAGATTAAAGGATCTCCCCTGTTGGCCCGGTACATGGGCAATGCTGTGGGGCCCCCATGCTTGTGGGGCCCCCATGCTTGTGGGGCCCCCGGGCAACTGCCCAGCGTGCCCATGTGGAAAGACGGCCGTGCAGTTACTTCACTAAGTCTTTGTGCATTATAAATATACAGAGCTTGAGAGACCTCAGAATAAGTTAGTAAGCCAATATGAAAATTAACTCTTCTTGTATGTAATGTTTCTTACACCATCATCCATTCATCCTCTAGTCCTGTGTGCCTTCAGATCAGTTCAGTTTACTACACACTGTCAGATTTAGGCAACCTTTGGCACTCCAGATGCTTTGGACTACATGTCTCCTGATGCTTTGCAAACAATATGGCTGTAAGAGCATTATGGGAGATGTAGTCCACAACATCTGGAGTACCTAAGGATGCCCGCCTCTGTGTGACTAGGCTGTACTGATTTTCTTTTTGCCCACAGGCCAGAATTGGTTAGTCCTGCATGATGACACCTGGATTGCATCAGTATTACATATCAGTTGTTGCAATGTTGTCTTAATATAACGTTATAACAAACATTCATCTGTTTTTCAATGTGCAGAGGATATAGATGAGTATTATGTTAATTTTATTTGTCTTCCTTTTATTACATTTATTGTGAGCTTTTGAGGACCATTGATTTTTCATTGTGAGTTTAATGACTGAATCTAACAAAAGGGGAATCTTTAATGTAGGCACTGTTTGCTCTCTACCTACACCCCGTTTTCAGTTGGGAGCTATGTATATGTGTGCAGTAAGCTCTAGTGCTTGATTGCCTGCATGCACCTAGGATGTAAATATGTCCCTTGTATTATTAGTCATCATTGGGAAACATACAATAAATCAATGTAAGTGACTGTCAATAACTGTCCTTACAAGGTGCAATTCTAATGCAGTGAGTTAGGAGAGAAGAAATAGGGAGGCATATTACTGGCCTTTCATTACACTGAGTTTAGTTAAAAAAAAAAAAACTTAGATAAAAAGATTATAAACCCCTAAAAGGTTTATCCTGACCAGAAAACAAGTTGAGGTAAGTAAGTACACAAGACAAACTAATAAATGTTCAAAAAAAAAACAGGCTCAGATCTACAGGAATAGAGAACGCAGACAAATTGAGACAACACAGGATCAGAAAATACACAGAAAAATTAGAAACATGCTTTAGGACAGAGAAACATGAAAAGATGATGAACCTTAGCAAAGAAAGCCTGAAAAGTATATGTTCATTATCATTTTGACCGCACCAGAATACCTGAGGAAGTATGTGCAGAGTGGCAAGCAAGAATTGGGCATAGTAGAAGTGACAAGAGCTGATTCGTCATATACAAAGGCATTGGAAGGAGTAGCACTCACGTACAGTTAATTGCTATAACTGGTGATAAAGTAATTTTTAATGACATTTATACCATTATCATATTTTCCAGCTTTATTTTCTGGCATTGTGGGATGGGTTCTTCTGTGTTTTTCCAGTATCCCTTGGAAATGACTGAGGACAATTTGCTTATTAGTCCCGAATATTTTTTGAGAACACGGGACTGAGCCTTGCGATCCTGTTTCATCTCAGCAATACAACTTTCACAGTCTTTTGTCCACAGGTAATATAAACCAAGCATCACCACCTGAGATGGGTTCTAGAAAACAGGTATGAAGGAATTAAAAACAAATTATAAGCACATAAACAACGCATATATATCGCTTCAAGTACCATAGGGTTAAACTGGTGTAAAAGATCTCTATGTAACTGAAGACAATTAATAGCTTAGTTATTACTTTTATTGTACTCCAGCAAAAAAATCTATAGTTTTATATAAATTTGAGAATGTCATTTTTTTTCATTAAATATTACATATAGTTGAAATTATAAAATATAATTTAAGGAGAATTTGTATGGATGCCCAAGTCATTAGATTACATTAAAGAAGTGGATGATATGGCATAAGATTGGAATTTGATGCCCATCATTCATGTACATGAAATAATCCTACTAATTATGTAAATTTCAATTAGGGAATTGCATTTACTCCATCAGCAAAATGTGATACAGCAAATCCTTGTAATGCAGAAAAATGGAAGCACACGTACTACAGATTGTAGACGAAGATGGCATGTGATTACCACCTCTAATAATGTGTCTATTATTCATTTAACCCCTTAAGGACAAAGGCAATTATACAAGTTCTGATCAAAACAAAATCTAAATTTGAGCTATGTGTCTGTTCATCCATAATTCAACTCTTTCATATTAAGTGCACCCACATGTATTATATACCATTTTATTCAGGAGAAATATTATTATTTCACATCAAATATTGGTATATGGAACACAATTTATTACGAATAAAATCTAAAAAAGTGTGAGACATTACAAAACTTTTATATTTTCCAACTTCTGCATGGCATTTTAATGTGAATGTCATAATAGTGTCTGCTTTTACTGCAATAAAACACATATTTGTATGCTGTGCTGTCCCATTAGTACAACAGTGCCCTCTATGTACAGGTTTTATGGTGTTTCGGAAAGTTACATGATCAAAGCTTGCACATTTCAGTTTTTAAAACCATCCTTCTGCATGGTGGCATAGCACACCCTAACAATGGTAACAAGTTAAACAGTGCTAGAAAAGCATTCATTATTTATTTTGGGTACCTTCTGTATCCATTCATCCATAGCCATTCCATGAATAATGTCTTCAATAACTTGATAGATTTTGGTGTTTAATGATCTACATATAGTTTCCTGAAGCTGGCTGAGCCAAACTCCTACACCAGAAGCAATGGCAACCTAGGGTACATAAAATACAGTTTGTTTTAACCATTAAAAAATAGTAATCACAATATTACTGTACCATTGGCTGGTAATACTGACAACATCCTGTATACATGCCTGTAGTATTGAGAACCAGTTGTATAATGTGCAAAATACAATATTTGGTAATTTAACCATCATCCAAGTATATGTAGCAAGAAATGTCAGAAAGGCAGATATCTAAATACTTTGTAGTACACTATAGCATCCAGTATACATGTTTGTATTCTGAACACTATAGTGTTCCTTTGATGAAGCTTATTGTCAAGCATAGTTCCCTGCCAGAAGAGGGTGTCTGAGAGTGATAGTTTTGTTACTTGAACAATGCATAGGTGTTAGATACACTGACTAATGTTAAAGCAGGTCTGTTAGGAAAGTCTGTCCTGTTGGTTAGCCCTGAGTATAGATTTGAATAGAAACTAAAGATTTGAATAGCAAGAATGTAATACATGCTTCCAGGTAAATACCCCTGAAAGTATCCAGGTGTAGTTTTGAAACATATGAATAATATATCATCCCTTGATCCTAACAATCATCAACTTTTCCAATGTCTTACTCCATCCACTGTATGCATGACAATAGAATTTACCTGTTCTTCTAATTGTAACATTTCACTTGCATGGGCTCTGACCGCTACAGCATTCATCCTCTTTACTGGCTCTATGTATGTAATAGAATGCTTCCTTTCATGTGATACACCTGCCTGAAAAAAAAAAAACATCAACAGCATTGTGATTTTAAATTATATTACATGCCATGTTTCAATCACATTATGTGGATGTATATTGAATATAAAGCACATTGTGATTATTTTAGTGTACTTTATAGTTACATTTATATTTTTAAACTCTTGCTTTCATGAAAAAGAACCCATTGCAGCTTGCCAGGTTTAAAATCTTTGCAGCAACACCTTGATTTACATCCATGGCTAACTTCCAGAAACACCTGGGACTTGAACCCAAAGCAAAACTGAATGACCCCTACCCAAACCCAACATTAACCCCTTAAGGGCACATGGCGGAAATATTCTGTCATGATTCCCTTTTATTCCAGAAGTTCTGTCCCTTGCCACGATTGCGAGCCAGAATGTCAATTAAAATTTAAGCTGTAAAGAGGAACATGCTGTATTGTGAAATATTCACACCAGTCCTGCCTAAGCATACTACTTAAACAATGAAAAGAAGTACAGTGCAGCCCCTCTGGTCAGGGCCCCGTCTTGACAGTCACCTGGAGGGCTCCATTTTCTCCCACTTAGTAGACTGCAGGAGCACAATGCCAAACAGAAAAAAGGAGGGTCCCCTTTACAGTGAAAAAAACATACACACACACACACACACAATTTCATGGAAGGTGGAGCAGTTGCAGAGAGATGACTGTTCCAGTACTGAAATAAAATTTTAAAAAGTTTATGGTTTTCCTTTAATTTTTTTTGTTTAAATTATAAAAGGGGTCCCTAAATCTAAGAGTATTAAGTAACATACTAAAGTTCAATTAAATATATATATTCTTTTAACCTTAGAATGGTCCTATGATTATTCATGGTAAAATTTTGTTGTGTGTATGTCTGTCTGTGTAAACATGTTTCACTATTTTCTTTCTAATTTATTTACCATGTGTTTACAATGTATTGCAAAGAGAAACACAAGACAAAACAAAATGTGGCTGTAGGTGGCTTCCTAAAAATTCTAGAACAAAAACGTTACTTACAGATTTCAGAGATCTTTGGAATAAACTTTCTGTGTCAGTGACATATGTTGTGCTTCTCTGTCCAACAGAAAGCCAGCCTTCATTACCAGATCGGACGCTTAAGAAATCAAGGTTTGGAAGAGACAATTCAACAAATTCATCTTCAGTGCTTGTGCATTGCTCTTCTTCTAGAACCTCAACATCAATCGATAAAACACCACCAAAAAGTGACCTGCAGTAAAAAAGAAAAAAAAAATTATTTGTATGACTCGTACCTGACCTTTTCCCCCACATGCAAGTAATATGCACAACAAGTAAGTGCACACAATACATTTTGTAGACTTTACATCTGAAGCGAAACAGAAACTAAAATAATAAGATCGGGTTGGTGGTCATTGGCACATCTCTATAAGCAATAGATCACTCTTCAAAATGGTTTCTGGTTTGCTATATGAAAGAGGCTAACTTTGACACCCTTAGTCAGTAATACTTTGCTGAACCGTATAATAAATTTTTTTACATGACAAATAATTGAGAAAAGATTAAAACATGTCTAACCATTTGCATGTGAAATCAGATAGTTGCTTGGCAAATGGATAAACCTGACATTCAGTGCAATATGTGGACACATCTGTAATGTCATCAAGCATTTTGGGTACCTGAAATGATTCTGGAGATATTTAATATCATGAGGGCGGCTGAGCACAGACAGAAGATCCAAATCGGACAGGAAATAGAAACGTGAGAAAGCTTGCCGTGTTCTGCCAAGGTAAGAACTTAGCGAACTAAAACAGATTTCCATCTCCTGGTAGAAATGTCTCAGAAGGACCTCCTTGGCAACATCTCCCATACAGCAGCACTGCAACAGACAGAGCAAAGTACATTAAGAACAGCATTTATTGTATTGTCTTATAGTAATGTGCTAGTATCTAATATATTATTTCATTAAAACAATAGCCAGCCTTAAACATTATACTATAGTCCCCATAGGTTATCTTGTGATGAAATCTGTAATAATGTGTTATTGGAGACCACAATGCTTATATTAACTTTTTGGAATATCTTGACCAATGTTTCTTTCTTGAAAATAGTTTTACTTTTGTTTTATTTTATTTTATTTAATTGATACTTTTTTATATGGTCGTAAATAAGAAAATGATTTCTTTATAGGGAAATGCATTTTATATCTGTTACCAGATAATTATTTCTGATCTGCTACCGAATGTCTTATAAATCTTCCGATCTCTTAATCATTTAATTAAAATGGTTAAAATTAAGAAATAAACTAGTTGTGTGTGTAACTAGAATATGTAGAAAACACGATTTGAGCAATGCACTGGGTTCTACAGTGAATGCCTCAGAAAAGATGCCAGATAAGCCATGTTTTGTAATAGCACTACCTGATTTATGACTACCACGTTTTAAAATTTCAACAGTAGGCCCAGCGTAATCCTCAAAATTAGGGAGCAGAGTTACAAGATTACAAGATTCAGCAATCCTAAATTTCAAAGTAATAAAAAGTTGGCATTCTATTTTATTTAACAGGTCACTCCTAGTGCCAACACACAAACATGTAAAGGTGATGGTGCATAGAACGCACTGAGGAAATTCTCAGCTTTGAGAGTGGGTTACAATTGCAGCGATTTATAAAAAGAAAATCAGTGCACCACTAAGCCTGCCCTTCAGAGAAGTTTTTCAGAGTTGCAGGCTGACTCTGCTAATTTTGTTGAGGTTTACTGTTTGGTGTCAGTGTGCCGTGCACATACAATACTGACTTGACTCATCCTCCTCTTATGACAGAACCGAACCACAGATCACTTTAGCGCCAACTGCAGTTCAACTAACAACTTAAGGACACATGACGGAAATATTCCGTCACGATTCCCTTTTATTCCAGAAGATGTGTCCTTAAGGGGTTAAATTACTAAACTGTGAACTAGGCTGTTGGTAAACCGATAGCAGTGACGTATGGCAGTTCCACTCATTATAAGGGCTGTGCATGAGTTTATGGGAGAAGCGTCCCATCCTGATGAACCACTAAACAGTCCATCAAGAGAAATTTTTTTATTTTATTTATCTTATTATTATTCTTTATTTTGTTTCTTAACTTTAATATTCATTGAAAAATAGGGATTCATCTTTACCCCATTTTCACTTTAAGATAGATACATTTTTACAATGTTAATTAGCTGTTCGGTAAATTAGCTGTTAGGTACGTAAATTTATTTTGTTTTACTAATCTATATATAATAAAATAATATCAATAAAACGTACTACTATTATCATTATTATCTTTCCTACTGCTGATTAAATTATATTATTCAAAGCAGGGTATAATAGTAATTTGCCACCAGTTTTCAAACATCATAGATTACCTTTTGATAAAAACTGTTGCTCTAGAAAAAAAAAAGCTGTTTCCATACAATAACTAGAAAGGACAGTTCTGCGTTAGTCTTGACATGTCACTCATTTCCCAGAGTAACTGACAAGAACACAATACGTATATATATTACCTGTAAAACATTTTTTGTCTTGTAGGTTGCACGCATCATCATTGTCCAACTTCTGTTAACTTTTGCAAACCTTCTAGCCTCTTGAGGCAGTTCCTAATAAAAGATTTAGAACATCAATCATAACCACTTTATTGAACATAATATTGAATACAGAAAAAAAATCAAAGTTTGGATTTAAAATGTTTAATTTCCAGCTTCAAAATCAATAGTACTATATATATATATATATATATATTAAAAAGAAAATAATATATATATATATATATATATATATATATATATTAACTTTTAGTACTATGAGCCATTATAAAAATGAAAGAATAATGGCGTAGCATAAGAAATAATAAGAGAAATTGCACTTTAAAGAAAAATGTGCCCCATCATTGCTTACATAGGGCTCATCTTGAAAAAAAAGTCAAATTTCTGTTAAATAACTTGATCATGATTGCTTCAGTATTGTTAAATTCTAATCAACATCTTGATAAATAGTGAAACCTAGATTGTAACACATTACATATTTCATTAATGATCCCTGTTATATAGGGTGTATATACATGTATTTTCTAATTAGTATACATGGAGTGTATACCTTGTAATTTGTTTCCTAAAACTGTGTGCATTCACTGGTACTTTAGCTACAACATTCAGAATTACATAATAAATAACCTTGATAATGATGACGTTACTGAAGGCTTGCTCTAGGTTTTGCCACAGGTCCTGCACTTCTACCCACAACTCCAAAACTTCACTGACACGCTTCAGTTTTTCTGCCCAGGTTGTTGCTTCTTCTCTCAGAGGGTCAATTTCTTTGGATGTCAACATCTGTGCCAATAGGATTTGAGCATTTTCTAACTCTTCGAGCAATTTCAGAGCATCCTCTTTCACCAGGAGTACTAAGCCCCTATTTTTGTATGGCGTAAAGCTGAGAACCTAAGGAAAGGAATGAATAGAACAGTAAAAAAAAAAACAGCAGTAATGATAAGACAGTGATAAAGGGAAAAGGGCCATATTAAATTATCACCCTGGGTAGATTGTTTAATTAGCAGCAGCCAGGAAAATTTATTTTAATGCCTGGATTTTAATTGATAAGCCAACCCAGGTGATAGCTTATATGTTTAAATTAGATTTGATAGAAATGCCCCAATGTATTCTTTCTACATTATTTCAATAATGGGAAACCTACATACAATCTTTAGATGACCACAAAAAAAGTCTTATTCAATATTCATCAAATGGCTTGAATGGGAGGAGGGGTGGGGCAATCTTGAGAGGTCTTTGGGTTGGTCACTATTTTATTTTATAATATTTTACTTCCTATATCCCCAAATTTGCCCTATATAGTCCTAGCTTTTTTTCTTTTTACGGTTACAATCTGTAATGTTTAATGATTCTCAATATGGATTGCTTAATTGGGGTGTGTGCTTGAACATCCCAACATCCACAATGATTTCTTTACTATGTTCACCTTCACTGTAAATAAACTGCATTGTGCACATGTTGATTTGACCTTGAGTTTGATATGAGTCTATACTCGATGACTGTTAATGAAAACTAAACATTGAAGTTGTCTGGGTTCAGTGTCCCAGCCTCGTAACCCTGCAATGTAAAACAATGTAAAAGAATTTCAATGAAACTACAATTTTTACATTGCAGGGTTAGGACTAAATAGTCCTTTCCCAATTTATCATCATCATTTGTTACGTTATTTTTCCATCCAAACAAAATAAGAGATATGGAATTATCTTGATTTTAATGATTTTAAGTGTGTAAGATGCACTTTAAGTAATAGGATTGCACTTTTTATTCTTTTGCACTTTTTATTCACTTGCACTTTATATTTTTAACAATGTGATTTTAAATGTTTAAGATATCTGATTAAACTAGTTGATTTGAATATTATTAGTCATGAATTACAACTATATATATGTCACATCATGCCTTGTTCTGCGGATCAGTCTGGTGATGGCTTCTGGTATCCAGCACTCTTTTTACAATTCTTGTTTAGTTTTTCTTGTTTTTTTGGTTTTCTATTCCATGTCTGGTTTTCCTTATGCTGGATTTTCTGGGTTCATTCCATATTCCGTCCCTGGAATTCCCAGTCTCCTGGATTCATTTATATATTTGTTTTATGTTGCCACACCCGTTTGTTTTCCAATTTCCTTTTGTTTCAGTCTGGACCTGCAGCAGTGTTTCAAGTCTCTGCCCTTTCTTGCAGGTAAGTGCTATTGTGGTTTAGTATGGTTCTTTTAGCGAACATTAGGCAGTGTAGGACCTGCCGAATATGGGGTACATTGGCGTTGTGGCAGGCTTATGCAATGTATGATCATATAATGTAACTAAATCCCCATACTTTTCATATATACTGCTCAGTTATGTCTACTCTTGTTTTGCATATTATATCTTGTCTTGTTTTATTTTGTAATCCCAGTTCATGTACAGTCCTGTCCTGCCCTGTTCTTGTTTTCCTCATGTCTTGTGTACATGTTCTTGGTTCTGCTTTCTGTCCTGCTCTGGTTCTGGGTTCTATTAGTTCTGTCTTGTTTTCATGTTTGGTGACTATCCTAGCCTTGCCTTGTTTCTGTACTGGATACATGTCTGCTGCAGAGCCCCCCCTATCCAGTTCCTGGGAGGTCTGCATATCAAGCTCCTAATTCCTGGGATCCGCTGTAGCTGAATCAGGGTTCTGGTATGTGGCCGCGCAAACGCTGGTGCTCAACGCCAGAGGACGTGTGGTTACCCTTCACCAGACCCTGCTAATCCACCTCCACACTGTGACTCCTACTCTGAACATCAGGCATACTGGGTCCCAGTCCTCGCACCGCCACCCGTGACAATATATGACTTTTAGAGACTATTGTTTCTAATGATATTTTCTTTGTAGTGTTTTTTTTAGAGATGGGATCCTTTTGATGGGGGAGTGTGGAACTTCAAATTACCTGGTATAGGGTCTGTGGACAGAATCAACCCCAAAGAGCGGACAGAGGACAAAGGGGAGGAAACAACACTGGAACACACGGAAGTGCCGAATAAAATGCATACGGCACACAGACGCTACAGGATCAATGTAAGAAGATTGAAAACAGCTGATTCGGATCCAAGGAAACACCTACACGCGATCAATCATCAGGACAAGGGGCGCCTATTTATACTGAACTCTGGAGGGTGGGAATCAGGTGGCATTTTTGAATGCATGTTACTAGTTTGTTTTACTATGAAATGTCCCTGAGGAAGTTCTTTGAACAGAACGAAACGCGTAGGACCGGGCCTATAATTTTTCCTTACAGATTTCTATTGCCAAATAAAGAAAGCTTTTTTCCCCTGATTCCTGCTCCTGTTCCTTTTGGCTTCTGATTCCCACAACCAATGAGAGAATAAGAAGCTTCTTTTAGCCCCCCACTGCTATCGGGGGACGCACCTATAAGGCAATCTCACAGTCTACATCTTGTGAGTGTAACAAATAACGTGTCTGTCTGATCATTTTAACTGTATTACACTATGTATTTTCAATTGTTTTTTTCAGGTTGTCCAGCTGTATCCCTTTGTTTTTTTTTTCTATATACAACCACTAGAGGCGCTTGCTGCCTGTACACAGAGTTTAACTCTGTGAAATTACGCTGGGTGTCCTTACGCTTTACATTTAGGCATCCAGCATCTTTAAAACCGCACAGGAATGATTTCAGTATAACTCTGAGGTTGGGGCTCTAATGCGCAACACTGCTGCCAACTGGCTTCCTTCCTCTGTGCCTCTGCAGTTATGAAGAAGGTTTAGCCTGTGATAAGCTAAATGCCAGATGTTTCCAGTCTAACACTGTCCACCCATTGAGAGAAATAGTACACACTAGTAATAGTATTTGGATTGGCAAATATTTAACATGAGTACATGCAAAGTTATGCCTTAAATAGCTCTAATTGAAAATAGGTTATTTAGTATTACCTGCTCACTCCATTCTTCTTCAACTTTTCTCATTTGGATCTCAAAATCCATTTCTTTTTTGGCAACTTTAGCTATTGACATTAACTCAACTTGGAACCTGTGGTGAAGTAAAACGGGTGTTTAATATCAGTTACACTGGTATGATCCCATCTATGGGAAACACCCTTAAATATTTTCTTCTCATAAGGCTTTCTATATTTAGAAAACCATCTATATATTTTAATGGCTTATAATTAAGACAAGGCATGCACATAGCACTCCTAATATCCTGACAAGTTATCAAAATGAGATATTAAATTGTATTCAGTTAAATCTAGCGATATCAGGAGAATATTGATGTATAGTTATAAATTAGATCATAGTTATTAACAATTTTGTGAAATATCTTTGCTGTGATTAACTTGAGCATAACTCATTTGTAAACCTATTTCCACACTGAAGTTCATGTAACCCCAACATACTTTAATAATTCAATGTCCAGGATGTGAGAGACTTTCAAGACATTGGCTTCTAATGGGAAAGAGCTTCCTGTGACAGACATAACTTGAAGCCAGTGGCGGTTCCGAATTTCCTTAAACAAAAAATAATTACATTTGAAAGCATATGTTTATATTTCATAGAACCAAGAAAAAAAGCAATAATTAAACTATAAAAATTAGAATGCACGTTAGATCTTACTTGATATGCAACATTGCCTTAAATGGACACTATCAACACCAAACCATTTTTGCTTTATAGATTCTACCTGTTCAGTGCCACTGCTCAATTCTCTGCTGTTTATGAGTTGAATCGCTTTGTTTGTGCAGCCCTAGCCTCACTTATCTGGCTGTGACTTACAAAACTCGGGGACGTAATTAATAATGCACAATAGGGCATTTTAAACTACCTCCAAAATACTTTAAAAGGGTTCGAATAATTCTTTAAATATTTCCGTAGGTTTCCAGACTCATACTTAAATTCACATGATGGTAGGATACATTTTTCTAACATTGAACATAATGATACATAAATAATTTTAATGTGTCAAGGTTCCTGCTACTGTTTGCAGGCTGTATGTAAAATATATTAAATATATTGATTGTAAGAGGAGCATTATATTAACATAGTTTAACATATAAATAATGTGTATCACAGCCTGATAAATGTTGTCAAAAATGCAACCAAATTTATAGAATGAACAATTGTGATGATGGCTTGGCTCATAATATACCTTAGATTTCAGCTCGTGTAGCAATGGAAAGATGTCAACATAAAACTTGACCTCTCGTGCCATCTCATTGTACGCATCCCAGTCCTTCAGCTTGTCATTCCAGATTAGGCATTCAGACCAGTACTGTTCAATCTTCACAAAGACAAAATAAAGAACATTCGTACATAGATGGTCACGGATCAGCTTTCTTCATAAAATATTACTGAAGGAAAGACTATAGTGTCAGGAATACAAACATGTATTTCTGACACTACAGTGATTAACTAACTATTTAGGTCTCGTGCCCCCCCCCCCCTTTCGATTGCATGGGGAAGATGATTTCACCCACCTCTTCTCTCATGCTATGCTGAGATTGTAAATCATGATGATCTCAGCCAATCCATAGGAAAGCATTGGGAGGCTTTGGGAGGCTATTGTGCTTGCTCAGCAAAACGTGATGCTGTGCCAATCAGCATCTCCTTGCAGAGCAACTGCTGTGACTGCCAGACTGACTACAATGGCCATTGGAGTTATACATTGGAGTTTCTTTGGTTTTTATTTTATGTATTGGGGCTGAAGTGTACTATAGTGATTGCTGCTGCCCAGGAGTAGTGGGAGTTTAAGCACAGGGCTTGATTTTGAATGTTTGTATTTGCTTTTGTATTACACAGCCATGTGTAAGTGCTCCCGCCCACCCCATGTGTTCCCTATTAAGGGTTAATAACTCTGTAGGGGTTAGAAAAATACCCATCTCTGTCTCATAATAGATTTTGCTTTCCAGCTGAAAATAGCAAGGTGAATTGTTAGTTTAGGACTCGCCTGAGAGGTTTTGCCTTGAGCTTACACTTTAATTGCCATTGGAGTGACACTAAAAACCTCCAGTTATTTAAATGTGCATAGTGATTTGGGATAGTGCGCAAGTAATTATTTTTCTTTGCTTATTATTGAGCTTATTGCCTATAACGTTTACTAGGTTTCCAAATTGATTCAATTTTCAATTCATTTAACTTTTAACTATAAAATGAATTACCATATCCAGAAATGGTGAACAAACCTCTTTGTTACTTTTTGATAGATCTACTTCAGCCCACAGAGTATTCCGGAATATGAGGTCAAAGTCAATGAACTTCTGGAACAGGATATAAAGTGTTCCTAAAAGTTGCAAATCCTAAAAGAAAAAATATGCAAGGGATTTATTCATTAAATTCAAAGATGAATTAAATCCAAATGGTAATATTTATCACCAGCAGTATATTCTCTTCTGGGCCTGATGAGTGAGAAGAAGTTACATCTAAACCATTGTGGAATGTGCCCAGTATCTCACTTACTCTCATAGCTATTGTTTCTAATTACATAATGATACAGAATGATAAATATAATCTTCAATGTTGAATTAAACTGTAATTCAATTTCAGTCAGTTTGACTTGTGCAGTGCATAAATGAAATATAAGTGACTATCATTCACAAAAATTTTTTTTAATTTTTTTAAATGTATTCATTATTTTACCTTTCCTGTTCTGTCTAGTTCTGGAAATGCCTTTGGAACAATATTGAAAAGTCGTTGCACTGAATTCAGGGTCTTTCTCTTTGCATCAAAAACTTGGTATCTACAAAAAAGCAGAATTGAGTATGTTAAAACACAGAAAACAAGTATTTGTTCTTTTAAATATTCAGTTAATTTAAGTAGCAGAGCAGTATAAAATAAGCACATGCAGAATAAGTTCTTTAGTATTGTTTAGTATTGTACAAAACTCCCACTTGCTTATCGAATTTAAAAAAAAAAACAGAAGTCATTATTAGTTCCTTTCAAACCTTTTACTCACTCGAGAGAACCCCAACCCAACTTAAGAATCTCTAAAAGCTGTGAGCCGATGGAGATAAACCTTCCGCTGATATTAATCTTACAGGTCCTTTTTAAAAACATTTTGAAATAGTTTACTAATTGCTTCTATGTTCATCTATCTATCTATCTATCCTTACTTTTGCTTGAAGTCATGCAGCCGAGTGACAGCTTCCTCAGGTTTCACACCAGGAGCGGCAGGGCCTTGTGTATCAAAACTGTTTCGAAACTGGATCACCTCTACTACAAAACTCTGGGAGAAATGGTTAAAATGAATTTACATACATAAATATTGTAATTTAAAATAGAATATATTTTAAATTGCATATATTGAGACAACACATTGAAGAACTCATAATTTCTGTAATACAAAAATACCATGACTCACTCGAAAGTGTGTGTCTTTTGGTATAGTTATTAGTTTCCTGTGTTTAAAAACAAAATACAAGAGGAATTTATTAAAAGAGAAGTTCACTTATAGTGAATATTCTGATATTATTGAGACCAGTTTAAAGGAACACTCTAGGGTCAGGAACACAAATATGTATTTCTGACCCTATAGTGTTAAAACCACCACCTACCTCCCCCCCCCCCATGCCTCCCTAAATATAGTAAAATCCTACTTGTGTTCAAGTCTGCATCTGCTGCCTCTGTCCCTTATCTTACAGCTGACATCATCAGAAGTGATGGTCTGAGTCAATCACAATGCTTCCAGATAGGATTGTCTGAGACTGTCAATGAGGCAGATCAGGGACAGAGCCAGCACAAGTCAAACACAGCCCTGGCCAATCAGCATCTCCTCATAGAGATGAATTGAACCAATGCATCTCTGTGAGAAAAGTTCAGCGTCTGCATGCAGAGGGTGGAGACACTGAATGGCAGTACTGCACAGTGTGCACCTCTGCCCATGAAGCACCTCTAGCAGCCATCTGAGGAGTGGCCAGTAGAGTTATCACTAGGCTGTAAAGTAAACAATGCATTTTCTATAAAAAGACAGTGTTTACTGCAAAAAGCCTGAAGGGAATGATTCTACTCACCAGAACAAATACAATAAGCTGTAGTTGTTCTTGTGACTATAGTGTCCCTTTAAATAAGGGTATTTTACAGCTAAAATAGTCAACTTGAAATTAAAACATTGAAAAGGGGCTCTTTTAACCCCTTAAAGACACAACTTCTGGAATAAAAGGGAATCTTGACGGAATATTTCCGTCATGTGTCCTTAAGGGGTTAATGCAATAAAAACATTCTAGTTAGCACATTATTCATAAATAATAGATGTTATGTAAAGGCTGCTTTATTTCAGGGCTACATGTGCCAGAATGATAAAGGTGCACTGATATACGATTGCTAATTAGTTGCTGGAACATTTATTATATCGTACAAGCGAATAGTACATTATAATTATTACTTAAGCTCAACAAGCTAAAGGAACAAGGTAGCTGGGTTGATTCTAAGAATGATTCACTAGTAATGTCTCCAAAGTATAAATCACAGACCAAACTACTTCCAAGTAAATAGAATACGTTGATGTATCATTTAGGAATTCTGAGTTGTATTGAAACTAAAATAATGTAATACAATGGACTCATACTTTTACTTGTTTGTCAAGCTCTTGCTTAAAGATATCCTCCTTCTTCATTAACAAGGTTTCTTTAACCTGTACAAGACAAATACATTCATATGATGCATAGAGTAAAAACCACAAGTACTAATATGTTAGTAGTCATTCAGAAAAGTTATTTTTAAATGTGTAGAATCTGGAATACTCTACTAACTATGTACTGTAGAAATAAACTTTAAAGCAGAATAATAATACATAAAAGAGAAGTATTTGCTATTATTATAGCTGGGACTATTATTATAATATTAAAGACATGATTATGATTTTTATATAGACATAAGTACCTAAGCTACGTTCACCTAAGCTGAGTGTGAGAATACTTGGCACTGTCAGGGTCATTTTTCAACATTTCAAATGTATCAAATTAAATTTGAAATGAGGCTAAAATTACCAAGCTGTGACTGTAGCTGTGTTGGAGAATTGTTCCAAAATAGAAAATAATTAAGGATGCACACTCCAATAATAATCTAAAATATAACACTTTGTTATAAATCAATACAAATAAATACAAAGTAACAGAAAATATATGACCAGGTACAATGCATCAAAGCTAATATACTTAACACATAGAGATCACCATCTTGCAAAAGCCAAACAGTACAGAGCAGGAGTCAAAACCTCCCCCAACGTTTCAGAACCCTACTGGCTACATGCATGGCATGCAAAAATAAGCATGAAAACTATTTGGATAAACCAAAATGGTGTGGAAATTGGCCAATACTGAAAGGTAGGTATGTATATATATATATATATATATATATATGTAATATAAATAATATGATGTATTAATGTGATAATATAATACAAGTTAAAATATGCGTTAAAGTGGCAATATTTAAACAGGTCACTTGTTAATACTCTGCATATAGTCAGATTCAGTTAAAGAAAATGGACAAAAATATTTATAGAATGTTTTCACTTACAACATATGTAAGATTCAGTAACTCAGTCCATTTATATCTTAGATTGTCAACCTCTGTTACCTCTTCTCTTGGGATGCGTAACTGATAGGACCTACAGAGCATAAAATAATCATTAATAAACAAATAACTATAAAATCTGTCAAGGTATTATTTATTTCAAATCCATGGGAAAACGTAAAACTATTTTCAGTTATTTGTACCTGCACCCTTTATCTCCCAAACAATTATTCATAATGTTTTTGTAACATCTAAAAAATAAAACTGAAATGCACTATAATTCATAGGTCAGAGTGAGAGGGATAATTAATAACTAATATAGATACTAATTACCTATATTTGGGATGTTGCAGATTAGTATTGATCCCATTAGGGTTTGGTCTGTTAATAAATATTTGAGATTTCAAGGTCATAAAATGGAAAAAGTATATTCAATAAAAATCACCATGCATTGTAAATGCTGCAATTTAACAAAAAGTAACCCCCAGTAAACACTTACCTAAGTTGCTCATACATAATTTCTATTGGTCGATAAACATCATCAATTTTATTTTCCATGTCCTGTACCTCCTCTAGAAGTGTTATACAGGAATGTAACTGCTCCAAGCTCTGGACAGGAGTGGTAAGTTGCTGCCACACATTCTCTCGATATTGAACTACACTGAGAAGAGTTTGCTGTAGGCAAAGACAAAAAAAATAAAATAAAATATATTTACAGTATTTTGGAATATATTAATCAGCTAAAGGGGAATTAACACTGAAATAAAAGCATGCAGTTTGTCCTCGAGTTAATACATCATGCAAGTATAATGGTAGGATTGGCAAAATGCCTATTGTGGATTTTTATTTTGTAAACTAGGTTTCCCTATCTACAAATGTCATTAAAGTGACAGTAAATCCAGAATAGTTTACCAACATCATTCAGTGTAACTCCATGATAGCATGCGGAAGAGGGAGCAATCAGTTGTCCTCTGACAATCAATATATATGCATTGATGATGATTATTATTAGCAATAGTACTATTCTAAAGGCTAATGACAAGTACATACCTTAAATTGCTGATGTAAAATGTTTGCGTAGTGAGATTTCCAACTTCCTGCAAACCCTCTTAATGTATCCTTTATAAGTGAGTAATCTAAACAGATACAACCCAACTGCACCGTCTGTAAGGAAAATCACAAGTAAAATAAGTACACAGAGTGCAATGACAAATTTACTGCGAAAATTTGAAATCTAACAAAACATATCCAAGATGAATGTATTTAGATTCCTTGACTGTTCACGCATATCCAGGAGTATGTTACTACTACTCCATTCATTGGTATTTGATTGATCTCAGAGGGACGAAATGCTAAATTGACCCTGCTTGAGTTATCACACCAAATGAATATGAAGGAGATTTCATGTGCACCTATAATTTCTGGGTTATGCCATCGTTACCTAAATTCATAACAATAAAACATGACAGGATTTGCGCAATAACAACATTTTCTGCACATACCATTTAAATTAAGACAAAAATTGTTTTGAGAGAGCGTGTGTCTTAATAAGAAGACTCTAACAACTCTCAAAGGCTCAAAAATAGACCTCAATTTTATATTGTCGGATAAACTTTCCAGATTAATATTTTTGTATGAACTTGAAATATAATTTTTATATAATATATTATTATTATTATTTTATTATTTATATAGCGCCATCAGATTCTGTAGCGCTGTACAATGGGTGGACTAACAGACATGTAATTGTAACCAGACAACTAGACGTACAGGAACAGAGAGGTGAAGGGCCCTGCTCAATGAACTTACATTCTAGAGGGACTCTCAAGAGTGGTAGATCAAAATATTACAAAATTAAAATAGTTTACGTAATTTTAAAATCAGTTTAAAAGTGTATCCAGAAAATATTAAGTCATTTGAAAAGCTTCTCCAAAAATATTAAGTCAAGGCTACGGTTTATTTGAGATCCAGCTACATGGACGTGTAAAGTGCATCAGCAATATCACACATTTTCAAATACTTTACTTAAGGTTACGCTAACATATATAATTGTGAATGTTACATAAAGAATGTATACTCTCCATTCAAGTTATGGTAATGAAAATTAATTTGTGTATTTTATATTGTTTTTTGACATGAAGAATTATGGTAACATATCAGAGAGAAGGGTCTCTAAATAATATTCCTGCTTTAGCAAAGGAATGGTCAATAAGTATCTTAGTCATTGAGACAACTGTGAACCAATGGGATATCCTCTGACCGCAAGCTTTTGGTAACCTGGAGAGAAATTTCAAGAGAAATCAATAAACTGAGATAACTCACCTCAGGACACTCTTTGATTTTATGTTCAAGATCTACAAATCGCTGTACTTCCTTTTGAATAGTAGTAAGTCCAGGATTACCAGCTAAAAACTCTTCACTCTGTCTGTACATGTCATCTGACCACAAAAAGTCATAAGAGCTCAAAGTGAACACTTGCTTCTTAACAACAGGCTTCAAATCTGCAAAACATGAAAACATATCAAACTACGGCATATGTAACATTCCATTATAATTTCAATACCTATTATATTAAAATATGTATAATACTGACATTAGTGACACCATTAAAGTTATTACTGTGCTATTCAATGATATATATTACTCATTGAATGCACATTGAAATCTCCCGTAAGTGAATAACCCAGAATGTATGTCTATGTATATTATATATCCAAATGTGATGATTGGAATATTATTATTTTGTATATCAGTAGATGATTCCTAGTGCAGAACAATGAAATGTTCAGGTATGATATATTGTGTGTGGAGAAATACTGAAATATGTTACACAGCCCTACTCACTTTAACGCACTGTTTAACTTCTAGATTGTTCACAAAACATCTGATTAGTAGTACAATGCTAGCTATGTTTTTTTCAGACCGAACGTGGTTGCCATAAAATTACATTCTTGAGAGGCCCTGTACTTTGAGACACAAAAATACAGTGCATACTTATCAACCAGAGACTCTGTCTGAAAAGCATCCTTCATTTTAAAGTTGTTGACATTTAAATATAGGCGTTAGAATGCTGTTTATAATGATTGTAACGTATTTCCCATGAATAATGTTTAAGTATTTTAGGATTAGGTATGCCTAGATATTGGGTAATGTAGTGGACTGTGTCTCCTATTACTAACAGCCTATAGCCTGAAGTTATCTGGTGCAGCAGACCCAAGTATCAATGCCATAAATTGTCAATACTCACCATTAACCATATTTAAAATATGGTTTACAACATGTCTTAAGGGCTCATCCTCAGTCATCAACACATTGAAGGACTTCCCCTTTTTTACTCCTGCCCACCAGGTGAAGGAGTCACTAATGCTGAGAATGGAAATCACAGCTTGACGGAAAGCTTCTTCTGCCACCTCTGCAGGTGGGTCAATTGTTATATTTGGGATCTTAAATGACAACATGAGCTTAAACCTATGAAGAAAGAACACATGTACTTGTCATCAAAGAAAAATATTACAAACAATACAATGTGCCACATAATATAGCACATGAGAACTAAGGTATAAATAAATATAGTTACACTAACTTGGCATAAATATTGCAAAGTGAGTGATTTCCATATTAGAATATTAATTTTAGAGACATTTCTCTGAGAGAGTTCACAAGCTGTAAAATGTACTTAAGCAATCATGTAAGTCTGGGGAAAACCCAAGGCTTAACTCATTCTTCATTTTCAGTTTTCATGCTTATCCTGTGTAAATTCTTACACTTTTTGATAGGGACACAAATAATGCGAGTGACATTAGCTTGCTGACACATTCTCCAGTTTTAAAATTACCCAGTACCTGTGATTAAACTTCTAAATGGCAGATAACTGAGCAGTGAGAATGTAGGAGCATAACCTATGCAGGGCCGGTCCAAGACTATTTCGCACCCTAGATACCCAAAAAAACAATTGCCAACTTTGTGTCTCTTTTTCCCCTTCCCCATGTGTGTTTCCCCCCCAAACTCAATTGTGGTTCTCCTCCCTCCCAGCCTCTCTGTATCTCTCTTTGTCCCCCACAGCCCCTATGTGGGTCTCTTTGTCTACCACAGCCCCATTGTGTCTCTGTGCGTGCCCACCAGCCCATCTGTGTGCCTCTTTGTCCCCCCAGCCCATCTGTGTGCCTCTTTGTCCCCCCTGTCACTTTATGGTTTCTTCCTTATCCCTTTATGGTTTCCCCCACCCTGTCCCTTTAGGGTCCCCTCCAGACCCTTTTGTAGTTTCATACCCCTCCCTGTGCTAGCTCACCTCCCTCATGTAGTGTAGCCAAACTGCAGACCATGGTATAGGATCTTCGGTTTCCTCTACTTGGTCTAACAAGATGCAGACCAGGTGCAGACTGAGGTGCTTAATGTACCTAGCGGCCACGCCAGCCCTGAAGCTATGCACTAGAACTGCTTTATTAATCTAAAGTTGTTTTAGAGCTTAGATAATTCCTTTAATCATACATTATTTCTCTAAGCTCCCACTCTGGGCTAATCCTAACATTTTTGCAGGGTCTACAGGCTATGTGAAAATGATTTTCCCAGGGGCGTCCCCCCCCCCCAGAGTTCATCACTTGGTGTTATCTTATGGACAGTTGAACACACTGCAAGTGAGTCTCCCTGAGCGAGCACCTATGCTTTTGCAGCATTTTAATTACATACTATCAAACAATTCACTACACCTCCTCAATCCCCCCCAAAAATGTGCTTGAAGAAATCCCTGAATGTATTGTGCTGTGAAGAAATGCCTTTTGCATAGGGGTGTCTCGCTGTTGTACAGCATGATGATTCAAACAAGGTACCTTCTCCCCTTTCCATTTATGGCAAAGTGGGAGGCAGCCCTGGGATGTCATTCAGGAAGATTGAATGGCATTCCATAATAGAGCTGACCCACAAATGTTCTAGTTTTCCCTAAATGTTTTCATAGTTTTTATAAAATAGAAAAGTACTAGAACACATATTTTTAGTCTCTTATATCTATTAAAATATAATAATGAAATATTAGAACATAACTGTACCTTAATCTCTGTGCCCCTGTGTAAGATGTTGTTACTAGCTTTTTTATAGACTCTAAATGGCTTCTGCTTATGAATTCAGACTCAACTGATTCCTCTTTAGTATCTTTATTGTTTTGCATAAATATTACTGATAATTCACTAGCCAAGTTTTCCATGTCACATCCTGTAAGCTGAGCCAAGGTGATTAGTGACCGACATACACAGGTATATACAGCATTGTAGAGGTCATCACTTAGGGATTCTGGAAAACAGAACGTGTATCGTTTTAAGAAACTGTAGAATAAACGGGTCCTATTATTAATGTTATATTATTAGGTCATCCTCTCATGTACTAAACAGATATCATGAGATAAACAAAGCTCCTTTTGAAAATTATGGGAACTTCTGGAAACTTGAAAGTATTGTTCTTACCTTTTTAATCTTACATTTTCTACTTCCATTTTTTTGCATATTTTAATGCACTATTAAATAATGTATTTTTAAAAAAATACTATTTTGTGTGTCACCTGCATATTTCGGAAGTCCGCCATGGGCACAAAAACTATGATAAAACATGTTTACACAGCTATGCTTGAATTCCTAACATGACATGCAAGAAAGCACAGACAAGCATTGTGTCTTATAATTCAGCCTGCATTTATGCAGTTATATAGGATAAAGTCTTAAACACGATGCCTGTCTGTGCTTATTTGCTTCTCAAGCTGGGAATTCTAGAAGAGTTTGCAAATACTTTTTTGAGTTTCTGTGTCCTAGGCAGACTTTCCAAATTATTACTGAGATCAGAACAAGCAAAGGTCAGATTTACGGAGATACAGAGAAACAAGAAAACCAGCCAATGTCCGGACCTGCTTTGCTCGTCTGAGGCATGCCGGCCTTCAAAGTCTTAAAAATCTGTTTGATAAAGGTAAATTTATTTCCTTTGATACAGGGAGAGAGTCCAGATACAATACCATATAACATAACGTAGGTCAGAATCAGAGGAAAACGTATAGAGCGTATTACCGGTCCCTATTGGGCTAAACGCAAGATAATAAGAAATGCTGACAGCCCTCACAAGAACACCAGGTAGAATACATGATAATGCACATGGACAATGTCATCTGATCAATAGAGGTCACAGTTTACATTTTCAAACAACATTCGTACCAACACAGTAATAATATGATCCGTACTCTTGGAATTTGCATTAGACCCAGCTGAGGTATACTCAGTGCCAGCTAAAGCCAATTCCCAGTTTATATCATGGAGAGCTTGCCTAGATCAGGAATTTTCCCACGTATTTCTAATTAACCCCTTAAGGACACATGACGGAAATATTCTGTCATGATTCCCTTTTATTCCAGAAGTTGTGTCATTAAAGAGTTAATAAGGTTGAGTTCTGCCAGCATCCACTGCAATCAGCTGTGAGGCAATGTCACATGTAAAATGACATGCATCTTTAAATAAACATTACAATACTACACAGATCAGGCAGCAACTTATCAGTAACTTTGTCTTCTATCAAATAAGCAAACATCTAAAATATATTTATTACCTGTTATGCATTAAATTTATATATGTGTGTATATATATTGTTTGTATATTATATTTTTGTAATATTGTATCCTATTGTAACACTGCAATGTTTTGTGGACCCAGGACATACTTAAAAACGAGAGAAATCTCAATGTATCCATCCTGGAAAAATATTTTATAAATAAATACACAAGGGTTTAAATTGCTTATTTGGACATTTCCGTTCAACAAATATGGTGTGTGAGTGTAAAGGTATATGTACATAGGCGTTTGTTTGTCTAATTGTGTTGAAATCCATCTACAACATACCAAACACTTGATTAATGATCTCTTCAGAGCAACAATTACTAGCAGTTTCAGAGGATACAGATACTGGCTGTAATTTACGTGATGATTTATGGATCCAAGAATTCGAAGTTAGTTTGGTATTCTTCAAATTTGCAGCTGTTCCATGATTTTCTTCTGTGGGATCCTGAGAAATAGACACAATCAACATAAAGACATATTACTGTAGTAACACTTCTATGACCTCTTCCTTATAGTTTCCAAGCATTTATATTAAAAGACCACAATTTAACTTTATAGACCAGGTAATGCATTATGTCTGTTATGTTGACCCCCTCACCCCCTACAAATATGGCCACTGTGGGATTCACTAGAATTTAGAAGGGAAAGAAGAAATATTTAGTTAAATGTATTTATTAAGTGTACTATGTGAAAAAGAAATTATTTGATAATTAGATAAACTGTTGTTGATGAGAATATCTAAGCAGAAAGCAGACAATAAAGTGGACATTTCCTGTGATAGAGATGAAGTAAGGCTTGTAGGTACTATACCGGAAAGCTCTTTAACGTTCCAATGATATCAGAAAATGCACTTTTAATTGTAGATGCCATCCCTTCTAAAACATGTTTTCTCTCCAGTACAAAACTTTTGATCAACTGCAAAAAATCCTCAGGACTCTGGAATTGAAGTTCGATAATTACTTAAAGCAGCATGTATAATGTTTTATTAATCGTTACAATGGTATGGTTCTATATTACATGGCCTATACATGATTAACCAATTATGAACAATTTTATTTTGATTATAATCTACTTTTACATTTTGCATGAAAATATGATATGAGTAGAGTGGTAACCAAACAAACCATTTTATGGTGACATCTTATCTTAAAAAAATAATATAGACTTCTGATCTTCCATAGACATATTCACTGGGGAAACAAGAAAGCTTAAAGGAAAACTATAGCATTAGGAATACAAACCTGAATCTATACATAGGTCTATATAATTCCGAGCCCTGTTTGCCATAAACCGGTGTAAAAAAAACACCCAAGTTTTACTCACCTTTTTCCAGCACCTCTGCGCTGTTCACCTTTCTCCTTCCTGTGATGTCACCAATGTCCAATCCAATGTTCCTCATTGAGGAGCATTGGAGACCTAATGCTCATCCCAGGTGAGTGCCGTGCGTGCCCTCAAATTTTTCCACAGCATTCATTCATTGCCTTCTTATGGGGACTTACACATCCGTAACCAAAATGTATTGGTCATTGCAGCGGAAGCGCCTCTATTGGCTGACATCGTCACTCTTATTGGCCCTTCTGCAACACAGGGTTAGGGGGTGCGAGGGAGGAGGCACTGTAGTGCCAAAAAAATACAGCTTTGTTTTCCTGGCACTATAGTCTTCCCTTAAAAAGACAGGGACACTGCACCCAGACCCACTTCATTAAGATGAGTATAGTGTCCCTTTAAGTGTTAAGCAGCTGTCAAACTGCGGCTTCTTTAAATATCAGGAAAATGCAGATATGGCTTTATTTAACCTACCTCGGCCCATCTTACCTACACACATTTGCCTGGACCTTCCCCTTCACCCATCAAATGTTTATAATGCATTGCACTATAGTGAGATTCTCCAGGCACATTTTATTTGTAGAAAAAAAGGTTAAACTAGTTAAGATTCCACTTTGATTAATTTCCATTATTTTCTGTGAGCTCTGTTGTGCTCCTATGAGACATTGGTATGTCTGAGACAAAATCAGTATGTCTGGTAAGCCACAAGGATTCAAGGCAAATATTGAGAACTATCCGTGTAATAATTATAAGAATATCGGCTGCATTCTTCAGGACAATTTTAATCAGTATGAAGGCTGATGACTTGAGTACAAGTACAGAATCTTCATTCAGGGATTTTAACCACCCTATTAATATGGGATTACATTCCCACACATGACTCTCCTCAGGCACTGCCCCATCTACATAGCTGTAAAACTGAATTATTACTAAGTATTAATTTTTACATTATTATTTACTTAATAATGTAATAAACATTCTCAAGAAGGCAGGGCAAACAGGTTCGGTCTCTGCTTCTTGTGTTTGAGAAATTAATATTCTATCCATAATGGTAGTTTTCAGATACTGTAAAAAATGCAAATGTAAAGATCAGATAACCCCTCTAAGTATTCATTTGTTTTACTAAATAGCTACAGTTACAAAATAGTGATAATTTAAACAGTGTAGTTGTTTTTCTTGAGGACACATTTGAGATATATGTTACATAGACAAGTGGAGAAGTCAGCAATCACACAAATATACATACATGTGGCTATTATATACTTATTTTGTTAAAAAATAATATTAAAGGATCACTATAGGGTCAGGAACACAAACATGTATTCAGTGTCTGCATGCAGAGGGAGGAGATACTGAATGTTTGGATGCATTTTAGGCAGCCATGACCCAGGAAGGATCTCTAACAGCCATCTGAGGAGTGGCCAGTGAAGTTATCACTAGGCTGTAATGTAAACACTGCATTTTTTCTGAAAAGACAGTGTTTATAGCAACAAGCCTGAAGGTAATGATTCTACTCACCAGAACAAATTCAATAAGCTGTAGTTGTTCTGGTGACTATAGTGTCCCTTTAATAATTATATTCATTAGTTAAAAGAAAATGTCTGCATCTGTTAACTTTACTGACAGGAGGCGCATAATGCTAGGTAGTAAAAAGACTGCGGGGATTCTGCCCAAGGGTAAATGTTATGGCCCCTCACAAAGCTTCATCCTATACCATGCTCTGTGTCCAAGCCTCGAGGGTATAATACTGAGATCTATAGAGGATCCCATGAGACAGCGGAAGACATCATAGATTTGGTCTCATGATGACCGAGACAAGACCTGGTTTCCACAGACATCACTTCTAATGGCTGCTGTGATTTGACTAAAGTTGATGGCAAAGCTACACCTTTTGTTACCTCATGCTTCCTCATAAGACAAAACAGATTGCATTTGCATGGGCATTTTAATTAAATATTTAGAAGTGACAGAGACACTGTAATATGCTCTATGACTCACATTATGACACCAACCATTGAAAAGAAATATGCAGTTGACTGATATCCTACATCATGCATAGGCAACCTTTGGCATTCCAGATGTTTTGGACTACACCTCCCATAATGCTTTGCAGGCATTATGGGTGTAAGAGCATTATAGGGGATGTAGTCCACAACATCTGGACTGCCGAAGGTTGCCTATCCCAGTCCTACATCATTATATTTTTTTTTTCATTATAATTAAGCCTCCAATAAATCCTTGTATTTTAAGCTATGATCACCGTTATGTCTGTTCTGTTATTAAATCAGATTTAAGTCCACAACAATTCTAACCTTGAACCTAACAGATTATTAATGACATATCAAGTTGCTATACCTTTGGTCCATTAGTTATTTCATCCACAGGATATAAATCATAATAACAAATCTCTTCAAGGCTTTTCTCAATCACATTCCTCTTTATGTCTGAGACTTTGTTAAAAATGTCTTCCAATCTACATGAACAAAAAGCTGGTTAATTACAATGTATACAATAAGAAATTATATATTTTTATTTTTAAAAACCTGTCATAAACTGGAGCGAGGAACTAATAGGAAGAGGTAGTGGATGAGAAATTTAAAATATCGTTGATTATGCAAATATTTTAATTTAAAATTGTATAGAAAATGATAACTTATCTGTCTTTAAAGACTTTGCTTGCTACGACTGAGCAAGTAGTCATTCTAATCAAAGTATTGCAGTGCAGGCTTATTGGCCACTGAGATGTACTTTGGGGCTTTGCTCAGACAGAGAGCTCCCGGCTTTCTGTTAGTAGAAGTGGAGGCAGTGTGCGACAGACAAAAAGGGAGATTTCTAGTAATTTTGACTATGCATAGTCTATTTTAGATAGTAGTCTATTTTAGATGGTATTATGACAACATTTTTCAATATTTGTACTTTTTGACAGCTGTATTGGCTTGATGAAGAAGTCCTTCTATGTTGACACTGCTCCACGATAAGGTAAATAATCCTGGTTGAAAGTGGTGGTTTACTCTCTCTAGATGTGGAGCAAATAAGGCAGAAAAGCTTTGTGGGATCTTCTTTTGAAGTTTTCTATATTCTTCAACCATGTCTTGCAATTCACTCTTATACATCTTGAATTTTTCAGCCTTAAAAATATTTGCCAAAAAAAACTTTGTTAACATTTAATTGCAATGTGCACATTCATAGCACTGATTAATGCACCGAACAATTCTATGTAAAATTAAACATAAAGGAAGAATGACAATACAATACAAAAAATAATCATTAAAACATGCAGTTTTATTGAAGCCTGTTGTAAAACAATTTAATTAATAGTAAATATTAAGATATTTGTCAGAAATGTACCTAAGAAATACTGGGATGCTCGAGTTGAAAGCATTTGGACCATTGAGCATCTAACCGATTTGGTTAACAATGCCATGCAATCTTATAAAAAATCAATAATCAATACATTTGATATAATTGGTTTACAGATGTAGCTGGCACAATTGAGAAACCTCAAACTCAGCAGACTCCTCCATGAGTTTGGTCCTTCAGATCCATGTTTGGGTTTAAAGATATGATAAGCTACTCTTTGATGTTCCATTTTTTGGTTAAAGCACTTTTCATAGGTTCCTTGTGTAAGATTTTGTCAACAAATGGAATGCTACTCCAGTTATCTATGTTATATATCAACACTACAATGAGTCTTTATACCAAACCATGACTGTATATATAAGTTATAGATCACAACGTAGTTTAATACCTGATTAAATGCAACAAGAGCAGCTTCTGGAACATTGATCCCAAGCCTCAACATCCATTTAGTCTCTTCCATCAGGTGGATTATTCTGAATTTGTTTGATGTAAAGGAAACTCAATTTAGATACATATTATCTGGTACAGCATAATTATTAATAGCCAAACATTTAAATATAACGTTATTAACCAAAATTCAGATTATTTTTTTAATGTTTTATTTTTTTATACTTTGCTAAGAAAGGTTTATTACCTCCAGTCAGTGTTGACTTTAAATTGTTTTGTAACTGGATCTTGAACAAGTAATGTGTAATTAAGACCACTCAGACTTTTGTCAACCTGTGTCCTCCACTTCTGATACCACAATTCTTCATACTTCAGTAAGGCAGTGGCTAACCGATTGTACAGTTTTACAGTTTGGGAGTATGTCAGGCACATTGTAATAATTCGTACACTTCTGAAAACCTGAACGAAAATGAATAGAAAATGAAGCTACATTGTTCATCATCAATTAAGACATTTATAGCTTATATTTTCTAATAATTTCTCCTTCTTTACATGGTGACACGTCAAAGAAAGCTCACAAAGAACACTGTAAAATAGGATATTAAAAAAAAAAACTGATGTGGGACTATAGCCCCAGTAATTAGTAAAGATTTTGTTTGGGATTGGGGTTCCCATTGATGGGGATGTTAGAGCATGCTAAAAGACAAAAATGAATCCCTCTTTTGCCTTCCGTTTTATTTTTCTATTTTTAACCTGTGACAGGGGACATTGTTGGAATTTAATATAATCATGTTTAATAGGTCATGGTGCATACTGTTCTGATCACTATGCATAATTAATTCTGAATCCTAAAATCCTAAAATCATTTTAGTTTCCCCCATATTGAAGATGTTCAATATTTTTACAGATATATGTAATAAGCCTCTATTCAAGTAAATGGAGTTAGTGTTTTGGAAAAGCAAACTGTATAACAACAGTGCAGAAGTGAAATAAAACTATAGGTGACATTATAATGTAATAAAAAACATGTATTAAGTCCTAGCATAAAAAGCATTCAAAAGTGTTCAAGCCCTACCAGAGGCTCCACGCAGAAATGGAAGAAAATGGGTACATTCTTGACATTTGTAAACTACAATGTGGCATATGAATATCTGTGTTATATAGATGGACAAATTGTTGCTTTTGTGTAAATTATTATTAAATATTGTTTGTTTAATGGTGTTATTTGTTTAAAATATACAAATAGATAGCTGGTAAGGATACAGTACAACCAGATGAAAACTTTATGGTGATTCTGATACTTATCAGGGGTCATAAGCAGCCGTAAGCACTAGAAGTAATAACGGTAACAAATGCCACTGAACTAATAATTAAAACTAAGTGAGCCTGTAAAAGAAAAATTAACTAAATCTATGTCGGAAGAAAATTGATCTTGCAGTAATTATTAAAATTCCCTTTTTGTAGGTAGGTAAACAATCAGACCACATGATTCTGTCTTGATCAGTTAATATTTTTAAATCCCCTTATGGTTTTTTATCTTAGTAAATGCAGCAAATTGGCCATTAACTCACCTTCATTGTGCTTTCAATATTTGACAATAATTTTCTTGACCACATTATTGCCCCCACTGCAGGGGGCATATTTCTGGGGAGCACTGGATCTTCCTGTAAATTTTAAAGAAAAGGGAAACTTCTTAATCTCAGATAATGCAATGGTTGTTACTCACTAAACTAAATTAAAAAAAAATATGTTGCAATGATATATGACAACCAAGTTACAATACGAGGCTAGATTATATTATTTTCCCCATAGACTTCAAAAGAAGAATGGCAATTCAGTAAACAGTAAATTCTGAGAAGAGAATCCAACCCATTATATCTAACATACCGTAGTTAAGTCAGAGAACATCTTCAACTGAAGACTCTGCCACTTACAGTCTATAAGTTCAGTACTTTGACGTCTAGCATTAATCCTCATGGCTAAAGCTTCTGAATGATAGGTGGTCCTCAACTGTAACTTAGACAGCTCAATCGTAAACAGCAAATAAATGATAAGCAAGGAAATAATAATAAATGATATGGAGATATTGGAGACATACCTTAAATGTTTCATAAATATGTCTATTATTCTTTAGTTCCTCATAGAACCAGTCAAATACTAGTAAATAACACTCATTCAGAATGTGTTTTATTCCTTGACGATGGTTCACAACAGAGAACCTTTAAAAAGGAAGAGATATTGCTTACAAATCATTTTTATACATAGAAACTTGAACTTCAATTAGTCAACCAACATTTAATATAGAGATTGTTACAAAAAGAATGAAGATCCCTATAGAACCTCTTTATATAAATTTCATGCTAAATAATTCCAGTTTCTTATATATGTAATACAAAGGATACCTCTGCATTGCTAGGCAGTAAGGATTATAGTCTCTAACAAAGTCTATTTTTTATTGCGTATTTATCCTTATAGTGACACTATAGTCACCTGAACAACTTTAGCTTAATGAAACAGTTTTGGTGTATAGAAAATGCCCCTGCAGCCTCACTTCTCAATCCTCTGCCATTTAGGAGTTAAATCCCTTTGTTTATGAACCCTAGTCACACCTCCCTGCATGTGACTTGCACAGCCTTCCATAAACACTTCCTGTAAAGAGAGCCCTATTTAGGCTTTCTTTATTGCAAGTTCTGTTTAATTAAGATTTTCTTATCCCCTGCTATGTTAATAGCTTGCTAAACCCTGCAAGAGCCTCATGTATGTGATTAAAGTTCAATTTAGAGATTGAGATACAATTATTTCAGGTAAATTACATCTGTTTGAAAGTGAAACCATTTTTTTTTCATGCAGGCTCTTTCAGTCATAGACAGGGGATGTGTGGCTAGGGCTGCATAAACAGAAACAAAGTGATTTAACTCCTAAATGACAGTGAATTGAGCAGTGAAATTGCAGGGGAATGATCTATACACTAAAACTGCTTTATTTAGCTAAAGTAATTTAGGTGACTATAGTGTTCCTTTAACCCCTTAAGGACACATGACATGTGTGACATGTCACGATTCCCTTTTATTCCAGAAGTTTGGTCCTTAAGGGGTTAAACTTCTATGTCTGCTAAATCCAATACCAAATCATCATTTGTTATTCATACCTTTTTCTTTTTCATTAATTTAATTTAGTTTCAGTTTAATTTGACAGTTAAATATATAAACAAACAGACTTGGACTAAGAGAAAAAAAAACAAAAAAACAAAAACAAAATCAAGTTATGGCTGTGGTAGGGCTCGGGGCAGGGGACGTCATCAGGACCAAATGTACTAAGAGGATATTGTATATTAACAACTAGTACTTTTGGGCCAGGGTCTAGAAAGGATATGGAAAGCTACTATTTCAATCCATCTGTCCCAGTAATTATATTGATGGTACATCAAAGGGGATCGTCTGGTGATAGCTCACTCCATCTTACATTGTATAATAATTTGTGAATGAATCTTGGGCCAGCTATCCACCAAGGGAGATTTCTCGTTCCTGGCTATTGATATTTTGACCGACATTAAAATAAATAATAAAACAACTGGTCCAAGACTTCTATCAATTGTCTTAATGTCCATGTGCAACAAAGCCATGTTTAGGGTCAGTTTTAACTTCTTTTCTACTAAAGTTGACAAATACTGATTTGTTGCTTCCCAAAGATGTTGGATTATCGGGCAATCCCACCAAATGTGTTTAAAATCTGCTATTAGTTCAGGGCATCTCCAACATGTGGTGCAAGCTGTAGGATACATTTTTGCAATTTTCCGAGGGGTTCTGTACCATCTATTCAATATTTTATACTGGGCTTCATGCATATTTAAGCAATGGCAAGTTTTGTACAATGTCGTAAGAGAATTGTACTATTTTTTCATGCTTATGTTTATATTCAAATCATAATTCCAATTTGCAATTGCCAGAGGAGTTGGCTTTACTTGTATTTTGTAAATTAGTTTTTGACATTTATTAACTAGGTGAGTGTAATGTGCTTGTTCAATCAGTTCAGTCAAAAACGTAACTGGGGGCTCAAGAGTATTGAATTTTAAATGACCTTTTAAGAAGGATATTATTTTTTTTATAATTAAACCATTCAGTAGATGGCAGATTATATTCGGCTTGAAGTTGATCAAAAGAGTAAAAAAGATTTCCTCTTATTAGGTTAGAGATCTTTTTCAAACCTTTGTGAATCCAGATTTCTAGGTTTGTATCTACCATTAAGTTTGATAACATTTTTATATATATATGTGATATTATTTTTCCTTTTAAACCATTTTTTTTTTAAAAAGAAACCAAGTTGGAAAAATCTGTTGGACTATTAATGACTTTGATGTTTTGATATAATGTATATCTTCTTTATCTATTGACAAAAGAAAGGACTTAGAATCTTTGTTGTCTATAGTTAAAATCTGTTCCCTGATATACCAGTTTTCATTCTTAGATTCTACCTTATTTACAATTAAAATATGTGCCAATAGATTGGCTTGTGCAATATCCTGGATGATTGTTATACTTTGGCCTCCTTCGTCTTTTTTCTTTAACATAGTTTCTCAGTTTATTCTAGGGTTTTACCTGACCATATAAATTTATTAAATGATGATTGTATTAATTCAAGCCAACTTTCTGGGATTCTCAGGGGTATCATTCTCATGATGTACGAAAACTTCTGTACAATATTATTATTATTATTATTATGATATTTATAGAGCGCCGTCAAATTCCGCAGCGCTTTACAATGGGTGGACGAACAGACATGTAGTTGTAACCAGACAAGTTGGACACACAGGAACAGAGGGATTGAGGGCCCTGCTCAATGCGCTTACATGCTAGAGGAAGTGGGGTAAAATGACACAGAAAGGTAAGGATAGTATTAGACTAATGACAGTTGCAGAAGAGAAATCAGTCAGGAGCTATTAACAGTTTAAGTGATACGCTTTTATGAAGAAGTGGGTTTTTAACGATTTTTTGAAGGAATGGAGACTGGGTGAGCATCTAACGGAGGAGGGAAGCGAGTTCCACAGGAACGGTGAGTATCATATATAAAAATATATGCTTTTAACGTAATTATCTTCCCTAGCCATGAAATTTTCTAGTTTTTCCATTCTCTTAAGTTTATATTAGATTCTTTGATTAAAGGTAGGAGGTTAAGTTCCATCCATTTCTTTGGGTTTTTTGAAATATTAATACCCAAATAAGTAAAATGGTTTTTGACTTGTTTGAATCCATATTTGTGTTCTTTGTTGTCTATATCGGTTTTTGATGTATTTATATATAATGCCATAGATTTTTCAACATTTATTTATAATTAGAATATTTACGGTAACCCTAACCCTACCACTAACCCTATGCCGAACCATACCCCTAACCCCTACCCCAACCTTCCTCTAAAGCTTCCCCTACCCTTCCTCCTAACCCTAACCCTTACCCCAACCTTCTCATAACCCTAACCTGATGAAAGCTCAGAACGGGAGCTGAAACATTGACCTTCTGGATTGACAGAAAATAAAGAACCACCTTTGGAAAAGCCCAGAGTGACGTATTTTTTATATATATATATATATATATATATATATATATATATATATATATGTATATATGTATAATATCTATAATGTCCAGGAGGAGTATTGGGCCATTCTTCCTTACAGAACTGCTTCACTCAGTTATATTCTTAGTGTGTCTGGTGTGAACAGCTCTCTTGAGGTCATTTTACAGTATCTCTATGAGGTTAAGGTCTCTGCTCTGACTGGGCCGCTTCAAAAAGCAGATTTAGTTTTTTTATGCCATTCTGTGTTCAATAGTGGTTTATTGAAAGAGAACAGCAGAACAATAAGATAGCAACACAGTTCGGGTTAGTAAAGTAGGACCTAATTGTCTATTGCAGAAGTAAGCTAATTAACAAAGGAAATATGATATTATTCTGTAGATCCTGATAAACTTGGGAATTTATTTGTTGGGGTGATGATTTCATGTTGGTATGGTACTGCATGTTCTATGCAAACAACTCAACTTTAGTTATAGCAGGCCACAAAATATTTTTCCAATAACAATGTGGAGTGTCATAGTGGTCTTTGGTAAAATTCAGTCATGCAGCAATGTTTTCATTTGGAAAGCAGCAACTTTCTTCATGATGTTCAGGGGCAGAACTACCACTGTCACAGGGGGTCTGGCTGCCCTGTCAATTCCTGCTGAGGCCAGACAGGCCAGACTGGTTCACCAGGATACTGGTAAATTTCCTGGTGGGCCAGCATAACTTCAAGACTGGTGCACGGCCACACCGGCAGGGTACGTTCAGTTTCCGGGTGTCAGGAGGGGAGTGCACAGCATAGTGCTCCCCCTACTGCCAGTCACTGCATGTAGCATGGCGGAGCACACTGTGATCTAACTTGATGTGTTCCATGAGCGCAAGAGCACTTCCTGTCAGACCAGGTAATGCGGTCCAAACGGCCTCTCTACATGGAGGTGAGCAGGAGGGGTGGGAGATGGGGTGAAGACACAAGAAAAAACAGAGGTGAATGAGACACATGAAGGAGCTGGGGGAAGAATGATGAGACACATGGAGGGGCTGTCGTAATGAGACACTCGGAGGAGCTGGGGTGGATGAATCACATGGGGGGATTGAAAGACATAAAGGAGCTAATGGGAGAGTGAGACACATGATGGAGCTGGGGGGAGGATGAGACTCATGGAGGAGCTCGGGGGGGTGGAGGGGGCACAGGGCAATTTTTTGCACCAGGGTTGAATGGTTTCTAGTTACGCCTCTGATCATGTCCATATAGTAGACTAATGAACAGAGATGTTAACCAGTTCCAATGATATCTTCAAGTCTTTCTTGTTTACTTCATTTAGAATTGTGAGGTATGCTGTTAAGGACATCTTGTTTAAGAGCTCTTTTTTGCAAGGCATGGTTCACATCAACAGAAGCTTTTTGAAATAGCAAATTTAAAATGTTGA